TTGCGACCACTCGACAAACCTCGGCAGATTCCTTTACTCTACATCTACCCTCGGCTGTATGACGGTAAGTAATATTTACCTACGCCTATACAATTGCGATGCGGCGCCGGTTTACTTCTTAGGAAAACTTGCCACTTTTAAAAAGAAGTTATCAAAATTGCGTCGTTCGAAGCGTGTTTAGAATTTTCAGAGCAAAGTTGTCCTTGTTTGAAGAAAATCTGATAAACTTGAAAGATTTTGATATATTTGTATGAAAAAACATTCTTCAAATGTGTCGCCATGGGCAACGCCGTTGGTAATCCGGGAACTTGAAAGTAGTTCCAATGTCGGACTTCGTCATACAGCCGAGGCTAGATCTAGGGTACTGGAATTTGCTGAGGTTTGCCGAGTGAGGTTGCGACGAAAGTACCAAATAGCCGTTTTACGACATCAAAAAGACCTGATTGACTTGGCACTATACAAGTTGCGAGCCAATAGGATCAGCGCGTTAGAAGTAAGTTATATATGCGTCCAAAAAGAGCGTCCCCTTGATTTTTAAATTCAGCTTCAGCGTATGCTGGATAATTATTTCATACGTCGGAAATAATTAAAGTTGTCTAAAACGTTATAGTGTTACAGGCTGGCGAATACGCTACCTGTAAACTATAAACACGTTCAGTGCGTTCTAACGTTTCAAACACGTTCAGTAAGTTCTAAGGACGTCAGAAGTACGTTTCCTATAGGCTAGAAAAAGGTTAGGCGTACGCTGCTCAATTGCCTGCTGGTAGCCGACGCATGTCAACTTATGAGTAACTTACATGTAACGTGCATGAACGCGTGCATAGTTTCCATGTCGCGTACTTCTAACTTACGCCTAACGTGTAAGCAATACGTCGGCATACGCTGAAAATTTTATGCATGCACAAAATTTTGGGCCGCGTTCGGCTTACAACAACTTATACCATCGTATTTCAGCGCGCTCGTAACTTGTTAAAAACGTACCCATAACGTATTCAAAGTACACCAGCGTGTTCGCTAAATTTCTCATACGTCGGCATACGCTGATGCTATACTCCAATGTGTGACAACCCCATAACGAACAGAAAACATGTATAAACGTGTGTTAATTTGTTGTATATGGGTACAATACAATTTAGGAACAATGAATGGAAGATAATAAAGGGATAGAGTAAGAAAATTAATATATATACTTTACTTCATTGCGCATCTTTGTACTTTTGGAAGGCATGGGCGCATCTGTCTACGTTTGTAAAGCATGCTCTGTGGCGTTATACATATTTTAAAGGATAAATTGGAGTTTCCTATATGTTATATCTAACGCCACAGGCATGCTTTACAAGCGATCTTTTACAAGTTGGGGAGATGGTTATAATGGTTCCTTCAATTATTTCATCACATAATTTCGATGTTTTGTCGTCCCACTTTGAAACACATGGTGGAGTAGAACTAGTTTATTTGTCCATATCGAATTTTTAATCAAGTTATACTAGACCAATGGATTTTGTGGAGGCTAACAGGTCGATTCTAGAGAGGTGCCCAAAAATGAAGAACATACTTCTGAAAACAAAATTTATTAGCAGTTATAAACAACCGACGAGTATCCGAAGGATGTTGACATCTTCTAAATTCGATATGGACAAAGAAACTAGTTCTAATCCTCCGTGGGTTTTAAAGTGGGGCGACAAAACATTTACAATTAGGCAAAACATGAATTGTCATTGACAGAATGTAGTGTATATGTTGATGTTTGCTGGATGCGGTGAACGATATACTGGAAAACTGACCAACATCTAAGTCGCATAATTAATCTTCATCGCTCACAAATCAAAATTCCATAAAATAGAATGGTACCCGTGAGCAAATATTTGTAAGAACGTGGGAAGGGTTGCTTTAAAGTCAGCCCAATCTATAAACTGAATTTTGAAGACATAATTTTGCTTGAAACCAAAGAGGCTCGTTTAACTCAATGTAAAAGGAAATTGACCGAATTACTTGTTCCCGGAATGCTATATATATTGTTGCTATGACGACGTTGATTTGTATAATGTTATCGTTATTGTTAATATTGTTATGTTTATATCCTGATAATGCCCCTGTGGCGGAAAATATTAAAATATTAGACAGTCATATAGTTGTTCAACATGTGATATTTGTTGTTTCTTTTTCGGGCACATCACTAAATATCGATACATGTAAACGTGAGACTTAATTTGAACAATAAGTACTTGCCGAAATATCTTATGAATGGAAGAAAGTCAACATCTTCAGTCCTAGTTCAATTATACTTAATATGTTGGGTAATATGACATCAAAAAATCTTGGAATTATTTATTCAAAATCAGTAAGTATGGAAATGTCGAACACTGTGTGTTTAGTTAATTAAAGAATAACACCGCAGACATCTCTTAAGACAAACCTAATGGTGTTTCTAACAATTGAACAATAGATCAATATTACTCTCAGCTTTTCATTTTGACAGGATATACTATTTTTATAACATATCATATTAATCTTCAACTTGCCAACAATTCTATCTGTTTGTTTAATCCTGTCTTAAACGTCTTTTATCTTGCGTGAAACTTTCAACTTGTATGCAGTACACGTCTTCCTTAACCATTAAACAATCAACAAAGAGAATAATGCAGTTTACCCGTTAGGAAATTTAAAAGGGCAGAGCCTGAAATATTTCTAAAACCAATTAATTTCTAAACAATTGTTGATTTTTCAGGCTGTGTCTCCACTACAATACATCATACAAGGAAAGAATATCCAGTCACTTGACTACAAACATCTAATCAGGGCCTCCACTTCGGAAATTAATAAATATTGTTTTGAATTAAAATTATTTGAATATTAAATGGTCTATGTTCCATGTTGGGTTGCTATGTGTTTAAACGTTGATTAGACTTGAAATAGTTTATACTAAACGTATAATTATCTTTACTCTAATTATTAATCTCTTCGTCACTTCTAAATTCTTTCCCTGTTATAAAATATAAACTAACACTTCATCACTACTGGATTCTTTCCTTGTTATAAAATATAAACCACAGTGCTCTCGTGTGTTTTGTAATTTATGTATGTTAGAATGTAGTCTTTTAATTCAACCACATATTTAATTTCTTTCCATTATCGAATTACATATTGAGAATTTTTCTGTACTTAACTTTAAAAATGCATTATGTAAGAGCTAAAGCTGCCTATTACAGGTATTACAGGTATTACAGGTATAACAGGTATTACAGGTATTACAGGTATTTAATTTGGCTTTAAATATATTCTTCAAAGAAAGTAGGGGATATTCAGAAACAATACAAAACTGCGGAAATACACTGCTGTTTTTATTAAAGGTAACCAGTGTATGTTAATAACGGGTCAATTGCCTACACATGAACATAAACAGTTCATAAGGGCGGCTTATCTGACGGCCCCATTTCACTCGCAAAGAGATACACTGTCAAAAGTAAAAATGGACGTTTTTCATTTTTGTCTTAATAATGAGTAATTGCTTCACCAATCCTCAGACATTCAGCAGTTCGTCGTGGCATGCTCCTAATTAACCGTCCAATCACGATTTAGGGCAATCTGACCCACTCCTCTTGCAGTGCCAAGGTCAATTCTTGCAGTGTTGTCGGTTGACGTTAAAGTCGACGAACAGCTCTCCGGATCAAATTAAACGTAATACACTAAAGCAAAGATATGCAAGAACCGATAGGAAAGCAAACATGGATAGGATAAACCAGCATGCGGCAGTTTTCATCAACCCTTCCTTGAAGTGTCAAATTTGACAATGAACCCCTCCCATGTGTATGGCGCTATTGCATGTCGCATGTGCAGCTCAGTGGTTCTGTTGGGGCGATAAGTTCTTCATCTGTGAATATACTCTCAAAGCATGTCAAGTGTCCATGACTATTTATCATATCACAACCGGCATAGTTATTTGCATTTCAATATCCCCTACTTTTTTGAAGAGTATATTATATAAATTACTATTGGGGCATTTATTTACCTGACAAGCCAACTCTCTAGAACATAGGATGGCTCAGGTGTAAACGGATTAAAATACAATCGCCATTTAATGATTTCATTTTAAAATGGAGAAGCGAGAATAAAGTAATTTGAATGAAATTTTCAATATACATGTATTCAGTTTGGACTAGTATAGCAAGAACGTTCAGCTCTTTATCTAAATCTTACATAATGTATGTTTAATCATTACCTATACTGTGATGCTCGTGCTGGAGAACAGTTTAAGTCCTAATTTATCGTTATTTTACAATATTTTACATTGTTTGTGTGATCGTGATAAGCTTATACTGTTGTAGGAACTGTAGAGGCAGCTAGCTGGGCGTGACTTATATTGTTGTAGGAACTCTGCCTTAGAGGCAGCTAGCTGGGCGTGGCGTAGAGGCAGATGATTGTGGTTTGTGCTCTGATGTAATGTATGTTGAAAATTTGTAATTAAAATCGATAAACTTAACAACATACCTGGAATTGTCATCCCATTACATTCTTCGTCGAGTCTTAACGCCTACAAGTTCGATAAAATACATTATTCTCTTGTAAATTCCAAATATAGTATATTTCGACACAGTCACTTCCTCAAAACATAAACATTACCACTGCGCCTGCGTAAACTGGGACACTCGCATATCATGTAGGGGTATAATGTACTCCGCAATCGGGTGCATTCGGTTAATTATGTCTATCGAAGGAGAATTCGCACGTTTATTTCGCTTCAGTAATACTTATTGTCCCCCGCCTTTTGAAGAAAGCAGAGGGACTATCATTAAAGTAGACCTGTCTGTCCATCTGTCTGTCACACTTTTTGGGACACAATAAATCTCCTAATTGAGCTAGAATGTTAAAACTTGGTGTAGGTGTTTATTATATGAATGTGCTGGTGGAGGGCGAAGATGAGCACTTTCTGATAGGGTAAGACGAGATATGCAATTTGATTGGTCAATGGTGTGGGACACGATAACTTTAGTTCTAATTTAGTGGAAATAGTTAGCTTGTTTTCTATTATTTTCAAAGCCGTTTCTAAACGTTTTTGCAAAATAAATACTTTTACAATATCAATAATTTATATTTATTTTCAGGAAATAACTGCGGTAGAAAAACTTGGTTTCATAAATTCTCCTTTCAAGTGATGACCCCCACTCCCCTCCCCAACCCCCCACTCTTGAGCGACAGGATTATATGACCGAGTCGGGAAGTTTTATGGACTGAGTCTGGTTATTGTTTTGGTATATGCACGGACCTTATAATAGCTCCGTGGTATATGTTATGTGGCCCACTTCCAAATTTATATCACGTGCCACTATAACATAGGTTAAACTTTGTATGTAGTTAATATCATCGGATGGATATGGTGGCTGAAAGCGTCCATTTAGATCGGCGTGTTTCTAGATACAACGCGAGAGTCGCCGTTAAGCCAGCACGACGAAAAAGGCGCCGATCGGCGACTTTTTCGTCGTATTAGCTTAACGGCGACCCGCGACTATCACAACACGAGAGTCGCCGTTAAGATACGCGACGAAAAAGTCGCCGAAAAAAATCGGCGCCTTTTTCGGCGACTTTTTCTTCGCCCTGGCTTAACGGCGACTCTCGCCTCAGAAGTTTATATTTAGTTACATGCGCAATGGCTACATTTTACTTCTTGTATATAAAATCAGAATGTAGGAGATTTTGGATGGGTTTGGGCTATATCAACATTTTCAGTGACACTAGGGCAAATTAAAATTTATGAGTGTTTACAGACACGTGTACTTTCAAAACCTGTTTAGTTACACTGGAATTAGATTTAAAATGTACACGTCTTTACATCACTAAATATTTCCTCATTGATTTAATGTTAATTCTCATATCTTGGACCAGCTCTAACTTTTTCCCAAATTTTCGTTGGGTAGAACGCTTTCTGCCACAGATGGAGCAACATGTGGCAAACTCTTGCACAAAAGCATGTATGAGGTTCACAAGTAGAGACAAGTAAACATGCAATTTTCGGCCCTACATTTCAACCTAACCAACCTCTCAAAAACATGAATATTCACCAAAACCTGGCTTAACGGCGACTCTCGCGTTGTATCTAGAAACACGCCGATCTAAATGGACGCTTTTAGCCACCATAGATGGAGACCAATTTTATATTCAGTGCGACAAACAACTGTGGTCTTGAACCAAATGGCAAACTATACCAAACAGCAAATACAACGCGAGTACGATTTCAAAATCAGGGAGGCACTTTAATCAAATCATTCTAGAAAACGACTTACTAAAATGGATCAAGGCAATTTTATGTGAATAGTATGTTGACTTATTATTAGTGATTAATTCATCACAATTCTCTAAGACATTACGGGAACATTTAGAGTCTGCACACAGTCTATACATCAGTATCTGGTGTGTCCACCGCGAGTGTCAATAACAGCAGCGCAGGGTCTGTACATGGAGTGGACCAGACGATTGATGAACGCCATTGGCACCTGGAACCACAAACACGGAAAAGCCTGGCGCAATCCATCGGCTTTGTTTCGTCTCGGTACGACGTTATTAATTCTCCTCAGAATTTCATCCCAAAGATGTTCAATCGGGTTTAAGTCTGGACTACGGGCTGGCCAGTGCATGACGTTGACACCGTTCTGCTGTAGAAAGTCCCGAGTACCTCTGGCGGTGTGGGTACGGGCGTTGTCATGCTGGAAAACGTTGTTTCGATGACCTGCGAAATGTGGCATGACGTGGGGTCTGAGAACTTGATCACTGCTGTGATGCCATCTGCAGTTGATACGCAATACCGACTCTCATCTGTGAACAGAACAGTTCTCCATTGCCTGTGTCGCCAGTTCTGGTGTTGTTGGGCAAACTGTAGACGTTCACGTCGATGGCGAGGGGCGAAGATCGGTCCACGGTAAGGTCTACGGCAATGGATGTTCTCTTTGGTGAGACGTCGGCGCACTGTATCAGTACTGATGGGTCTTCCGTGTGTTCCCACGGTCTGACGTGCTGTCTCAGATGCCTGTGTCTGGTAGACAAGCGACCATTAAGGGGGGTTTATACAGAGCGCGAACCCGAACCCGAACAAATATTGGTTTGCGCGAACGACCGCCCCAGAGCGAATTTTTCAGAAGTTCGCGCGAACTTTTCCCCAATGAACCAATCAGCGGGCACATCCCATGACATCATTTCCACAAATAGAAACCGCTAGGCCTGATCGTTCCCATTCGTGTGCAATATTCTTGGGTTGATGGCCTTCTTCCAGTTAGTGTCCTGTTTGCAAATGTCGTCTCTAATCCATTGCAATATGATGTCAAATTGCTCCTCTGTCATTCGAAAATACTGTTGGAATTTTTCCGGATGAAAATATAGTTCTTCTACGAGGTGATGGTATTCTCCAAACTCACGTGCAATAAACCAAACCTCATATATAGGCTAACAGCACATGCACTCCAAGAATATACAGGAGTTTGGGCGACCCAAAAATGTAGCCAAAGTTTAGGCAATCCATCAATACGGTTGAGTTTGAATGTTTGAATGATATCAACTTGCGGGAAGATACGAAATCAAATTAGTTTCCTCGCGGTAGAAAGCAAAGGGGTGACAATTCGAGTCGTAGTAGCGCCTGGAACAGGCAGTAGGTCTGCTACTGTGCCATGCAGATATGAAAGCGTTCATATTCAGCGTCACTTATCATGGATTATATTAAATATAGTAAAAGAAAAAATAATTATTAAAATAAAGAGAAATAAATGAGGCTTGTATTGCTGAAATCAGATTGACTTCCCGTTTAAGAAGTTACAGAAAAGGGGATCAAGCCATTTAAAAACGGGACAGATCATAAAATGGAATGATAATGGTACGAAAGCCCAGAAGGCTCATTCCAAATTCCAACGTCCACTCGACACAAACTAGGTCATTTCGGGACTAACATGGTTTTTAATTTTATTTACATAATTCGCTTGCGCGTAGGGGTCTTTAGCAGTGGGAGGAAACCGGAGGACCCAGAGAAAACCCACGAGGTTGGGGTTGGACAGGCGACCCTACTCCTTGTCACGTACAACCGGGGATTTGAAACAACGCCAGTCGACTCAATGACAGACTTTATGATACAGCGCGCGCACGATAACCATTCAGCCATCCCGCCCCCTCAATTAAACAATTTAGAATTTATATAAATTGTAATTTTACACAACTAATTACTTCCAGTTTAACTATCTGGGCCGGATAATTACCCGTTCCAAATTACTAGATTCCAAATTCCAGATTCCAGATTCCAAATTCCAGATTCAAGATTCAAGATTCCAAATTCCAAATTCCAAATTCCAAATGCGAAATTCCAAATTCCAAATCTGATCCGACCAATCGGATCAGGTTTTTGCTTTTGACTAATCAGTGAGAGTATAATAACAATATTCCAGTTCGGGTTTGCTTCGGCAGATGTGAACAGTTTGGGGCAAAGTTCCTCTCTAGTGAGCTACTCTGCTACTCGGTATCTTAGGACTGGCATTTTTTTTTTTATTTGCTACAGCAGCAAATTTGGAATTTGGAATCTGGAATTTGGAATTTGGAATCTGGAATCTGGAATTTGGAATTTGGAATCTGGAATTTGGAATTTGGAATGAGCCTTCTGGGCTTTCGTATAATGGCGGAAAAGAACGCAAAAATGACGGGAAAATATCGAAAAATTAAATGAGATAACTTTGAATGGAATTTTGTAATTTTCAAGTACCAAACATTCGACCCCGATCCCGCCTTTTTTTCACGTTTCAAGATGGTGGCACTTCCGGTCGATCGACAGACTTCATATTTTGTGTACGCGTCAGTAATTTCTTGGCTAGTACAGAAAACAAATTCAAGGCAATCTGGCCTACTTTTTGTCGATTTTTTTGAAAACTTTGATCCTTAATTTACCCAAGCGGAGATAAGTTAGAAATCTTTGAAGTCGCATCAGTAAGAACTACTTACATTCCAAATTTCATGACAAGAAGTTGTCAAGTTGGTCTCAACTTCCGGGATGAAATCACGGCGACGAATTTTCGAAATTCGATAATCTGGAATTGCAGGTAAAAATGAATTTCATCATGGTACTCAAAGAAAGAAGAATTAGTAAAATAGGTAAAAAGAAAACAACCCCAAAAAACACGACTATGCATTGTTAGTTTTTTCGTTCGTACAATTCTGTGATTGTAATATCAATAATGAAATATGAAAGTTTCAAGACAGTAAACCTACCACAACTACAGCATAAAACCTGTACAACAACGCCACAAATATACAACTACTCTAATTACGTACCACACAACTATTCCACTTACTAAACAAAACTACTCTGATTACGTTAAACTATACGTGACTATATCAAACAAATACAAAACTACTACACAGCTATAATACACGTTAAACTATGTGAGACTATAATCAAGTACTGCAGATACAAAACTACTAGACCTACACAGCTATAATACACGTTAAACTATGTGAGACTATAATCAAGTACTGCAGATATAAAACTACTAGACCTACACAGCTATAATACACGTTAAACTACTAGACCTACACAGCTATAATACACGTTAAACTACTAGACCTACACAGCTATAATACACGTTAAACTACTAGACCTACTACTAGACCTACACAGCTATAATACACGTTAAACTACTAGACCTACACAGCTATAATACACGTTAAACTACTAGACCTACACAGCTATAATACACGTTAAACTACTAGACCTACACAGCTATAATACACGTTAAACTACTAGACCTACACAGCTATAATACACGTTAAACTACTAGACCTACACAGCTATAATACACGTTAAACTACTACACAGCTATAATACACGTTAAACTACTAGACCTACACAGCTATAATACACGTTAAACTACTAGACAGCTATAATACACGTTAAACTACTAGACCTACACAGCTATAATACACGTTAAACTACTAGACCTACACAGCTATAATACACGTTAAACTACTAGACCTACACAGCTATAATACACGTTAAACTACTAGACAGCTATAATACACGTTAAACTACTACACAGCTATAATACACGTTAAACTACTAGACCTACACAGCTATAATACACAATTACACCATTTAACTAACTACTGGTATCAAAGTTTTACAACAAACAACACAACCAATAAACCAAGCCGTGGATTGTCGAAAACCAACATCGTAACTTGATGATTTTATTCAATTGAAAGTGGGGTTTGGGGGGGGGGGGCACAAAAACTGTAATCTCCCATCGCTCGTTGTAATGCTGCCCCGTTTCTAAGGTGCTGTTGGTTTTTATATTCACTGATTATTTACAGATCAGGGTTTTGAAATAAGAATGTTTTGAGTTGAGATTTCAACTGGCCCACAGACGGTGATTGTTTTATTGATTGTGGTAGTCTATTCCATAGAAAAGGACCAGCATAAGAAAAGGCACGTTTTCCAAGTTTTTAGAAGATGTTTTTTCTGAGAACGGAGATTTCTGCTGGTAGTATGGGTTCTACAAGACTTTTTATATACAGTTGTAAGATGGAGCTTGGCCGTTAAACGCTTTGAAGACGAAAAGGAGTAACTTGAACTTAATCCTTTGCTGAATTAGGAGCCAATACAGGGGAGATGTGTTGATGTTTTCTAGTTTTAGTGGGGAGTCGAGCTGCTGAATTTTGAAAATGTTGTACTTTGTTAATCTGATAGTCTGGTAAGCCGTATTGTAAACCATTGTGGTAATCTAGTTTAGTTGAGATGAATGTGTGAATGAGTTTTTCTTTCCAATTCGATGTATATGATAGAAGGCAGTGGAACAAATACTTTGTATGTGAACTTTAAACGGTAGGGTCGAGTCTAATATAGCACCAATATTTAGAGCTTTATGGGTTCCTGAAATTATTTCTTTATCAAAATTAACTAACGTTTGATCAATTTTGAGTTTAAAGGAACTGATATGTGTTGTGTTTATGCGATCGAGACATAATTCCCACAAAATTAGTGAATGTCAATTAGTTGATAAAACTTTTAAATCATCATCTGTTTACGTTGAGATGAAAGGTGTCGTGGTGTGTTTCAATCGATCTATAACTATATATCATTGAACCAGGGCGTTATATATTATTTCTAATTAAGACAGTTTATTTTATACACAAAGTGACGAGTTTTCTTTGAAGGCTTTCGTTTCGTGTTTGTACACCACAGATTTGATTGTTTTATTTATTGAACAAATCAGACATTATAAAAACGTGTGTAACTGTTAATAGTTTTATTTATATGTTCAGTGTTGTACTTACTGTACAGGTACTATGCTTCAGTTATTACTTCACTTAGTTTTAGTTTATTTAACTGAAGCAGGTTCGGTTGAATATAGATACGAATCTCCCAAATCATGTCAACATCTGACAGTACCAACAGCTACAGCTTATAAATCACTTACTGTTGACTGGATGTTGGATTGTGTTCGTCAATGTAGTCATGATTCTAGTTGTTTATCGGCAACTTTTGATGGCTCTCAAACTTGTTACATGTTTTCTGATGATCAACTGAACTGTACAGTGACTCAAGGATCAGGTGGAATGTTCATGATAAAATTAAAGGTAAGTTTGTGAAGAATGAAATTCATTTTCTTTAATTATTGTCAAACGTTAGGATTAATGTTTAAAAAACGCAGGTCAATTATTATTTTTTTATTATTTTGTAATCCACACTTTTTGTTGTTATAGTAATTACCAGGGATGTTAAAAGTTGGTTTTGTGGTGTTTTCCATTTCCATCATTGTTTTAACAATGGATATATCTAACTTGGTTCTTTTTGTTGGTGGGTGGGGTGGGGGAGATTTTTTAGTTTTAAAACAAGGTTTTCATTACACCATAATGACGTTATGTGGAAAGTCCTCCAAGGTTCTGCGCGAATAAGATTCATATACCATGTACACTAGATAAAGCGGGCGTTAATCTGGATTAAAATTGTCGTTAACGCAATCACCAACATAATTCCAGTAACTACACTAACTATAGTGTTAAACTCTTGGCACGATGATTTATGAATGCATTGAGCAGCACTATCACAACCTCGACTACGACGGTTGTATTTCTAAATCTATGCTGAATTTGTCTTATGTCACTTTGTTGGTACTGAGAATTTGAAGCTGGATTTCTGTTGTGGTGCTACCATCTCTATTGATATTGAATGGAACCATTTGCGTTTAATTCGAATCGTCTTCGTCAGTGATTTTTAAAGGGTATTCTTTCCTATAATTTGTCTGAACATCAATAATCGCCGATAAATAATCACTGATACAATTGTTGAAATTGTGTCGGTTTGTTTCTGTGATTTGTCGTTTTGACGTGAATTGAAATATATTTTATAGGCTATTTCATTAACTAATACGACTATACCACAAACAACTACAGGACCAACTACTGAACTAGCATCAACTACAGGACCAACTACTAAACTAGCATCAACTACAGGACCAACTACTGAACTAGCATCAACTACAGGACCAACTACTGAACTAGTATCAACTACAGGACCAACTACTGAACTAGCATCAACTACAGGACCAACTACTGAACTAGTATCAACTACAGGACCAACTACTGAACTAGCACCAACAACCATGTTGACCTGTCTCAACAATGGAACCCTGGATTCTGTAACACAAACATGTAAATGTTATAATGGTTATATAGGAGATACATGTCAACGTATCATGATGGGTAAGACATTTAATTTTCATCATGGGCTTTTTTTTTGCTTCCATTGGAAATAGTTATACCTCTCCAGTTTGGTGTAAAGGATTGAAGATGAACCAAACAATATCCTACTAAAATGATGAGTTCGAACAATTTTATACTGACCAAATTTAGTGTGAAGCATTCGGACCACGAGAGTGTGAACCCCATATATTTTCACCATTCTCCTATTTCTCGTCGTTCGTCCGTCCGTCAGCAATTTCTCATAAATGTGATGGAAGCTAGAGTAAGATTTTTTGCCAAATTTGATGTGATGCATTGGGAACATGACCGGATGAACCGTATTGATTTTCACTGTTCTCCGCCCACCTGTTAGAGATGTGGGCGTATCTTGCATTACAACCTATTCCGAACATCCAGTGGGCTTCGCGAAGTGACCCTATCACCGAAGGTCAATGGTAATCTATTTCACTCTTTTGAAGTAGAGGAGACGAACGCGCTTTCTCCATGTTTTGAACTGGGTACTGAACAAACAAACTAGCCCCAGCTGGAATATATTTTATTAATTAGGTCAATTAAAATAAGCTGGCGTAGAAAGTTTCATGATACAGTTTAAAGGCAAGCTAATGATCTTAAAATTGATTCTATGGTTAATAGGTAGCCAATGTAGATCTTCTAAATTTGATGTAATATTATGTATAGGTCTAGCAGTTGTATGTCTTCGGCATGGGGATGGAAATTGGGTTGTGTAGGCTGTGAACCTGATAAACTCAAAACGGATCCCAGGAAAACACTCTGGTCAAGAATCTTAGGAGTGAACGGTTGATCACCCATGACGAAAACAATACTGACCTATGCAACTCCTTTGATAACGGCACTCGCAAAAAAAACACTACTATCTCTGTCTGTCATGGAATTGTGCCTATATCTATCAGGGAGTCAAGATGTTGTTCCTATTCCCGGATAAGCCCATTTATTTTCATAGAAAGGGTTTTAGCCTCTTTGGTTCATGTTTTCTTGTCTACTTTCACATTTGTCGTGTTTACGAGTATTGATTTATAGTTTTATATGTCTTCTGTTTTTCAGATTGTACTGAAGGCTTTAAATCAGGCCATTATAATGAGGATACGTACGATAATTATTTTATTAAACCTACTTTAGCCCCAACAGCTTTTGAAGTTTATTGTAATATGAAAGACGGCGGTGGTGGTTGTGTTCTCATGAGGAATTCGGAATGGTGGCCATCTGTGGACAGAAATGAAAACTGGAACACCTATAAAGATGGTTTTGGTGAGCCGGAAGCCAATCATTGGCTTGGGCTAGACAAGATTCACTACATCACGACAAGTCGTCCACACCATTTATTTGTGCAGGTCTTTAATAATATAGACTGGAAAGAAAGATGGCGGAAATATGAAAACTTTAAAGTCGAAGATGAATCCACCAATTATCGTATGACGTATTCTGGGAGTTTTCCATGGACCCAGTCAGAAGCAAGTGCTGATCCTTACTGGACCAAGGCCATCTTGTCGACACCATTAGGTGATTCTATGATTGGGTTAAATGGTTCAGCTTTCAGTACATTTGACAGAGATAATGATCTGGATGCTGGTAGAAACTGTGCTCAAGAGTATCAAGGTGGCTGGTGGTACAACGCATGCGCAGATTGTAACCCAAATGGTCCTCTCAAGAATCCTCGAAATCCAAGCGCACTTGACGAAGCCTTTTGGAAATATGATTTTATGAATAACTATACACCACATATAGAGATGACTATCAGAACAGCTTAAACCGTATACATTTTATGGTATCAAGGTGGCTGGTGATACAACGCATGCGCAGATAGTAACCTAAATGGTTCTATAAAGAATCTTCGAAATCCAAGCTCACTTGACGAAGCCTTTTGGAAATATAATTTTAACAATAAATATATCCCGTTCGTTGAGATTATATTAAGAGTTGTTTAAGCTTGTATAGATTAATGTCGTATAAACAGTAGAGCTGTTTAAGCTTGTATAGATTAATGTTGTATAAACAGTAGAGTATCCTTTGTTATGTTAAATATAGATCTACATATAGATATAAAATGTCATGTCCTTGTTTAAGTTCCCGAGTTCTCGTATATTTGATGTTAAACTTTGAATTTCTTGTGTAATAGATTGCAATGTTTTTAGAATCTTCAGGCATATTGGCGTTTCATATCATTTTAAAATTGACATTTTGAAGAATTATTATAAAACTGTAATGTCTTTATTGTGTTTTATCCATTATCGATATAGCTAAATGTGAGGTAGTGAAAATTCCTTTTCTGTATTTAAACGGGCCATTTTTCTAGTTGTCAGTCTGTAATTAAAAATCTAAACCAGCATATGCCGAACATTCACTACATTGCAGGAATTAGAACTCAAAACATGTCGAAGGTTCGGGGCCTGGAGGGAATTGTGCCCCTTAACTTTCAATTTTCTGCTAGGGGCCTATTGCTCCCCGGAAAACGTCTTCATTATGAGTTTTGTTATGATTCAGTGTCAACTATTATACGTCACACACTCGTATACAAAGCCGTATTTATGATTATTTTGTCACTTTGTAAAATACCCCTAAACATTATTAGCGACACCGACATTACCCCTGAACATGTTATGTTAAAGGTAATAATAATAATAATAATAATAATAATATTTGGTACCGATAAAGTTGCCACATTACTCGCAACACTCGGCAAACCTCGGCAAATTCCGGTATTCTACATCTAGCCTCAGCTGTATGACGGTAAGTGATATGTACCTACACCTATACAACTGCGATGCGGCTACCGGTTTACTTGGGAAAATTTGCGTAGTTCGAAGAGTGTGTAGTATTTTCATTGCAAAGTTATCATTGTTTAAAGAAAATCGGATAAACTTGAAAGAAAAGCTTTGTATATATAATTATCTTTACTCTAATTATTGATCTCTTCGTCACTTCTAAATTCTTTCCCTGTTACAAAATATAAACTGTCACTTCATCACTTCTGGATTCTTTCCTTGTTATAAAATATAAACCACAGTGCTCTCATTGTAATTTATGTATGTTAGAATGTAGACTTTTAATTCAACCACAGAGTCTTAATAGACTGAAATAACTATTTGCCACGTACTAAAGTATGGAAGGGTATCGCTGCCAATATTAAATGCTCTGCTAAAAGTACTAATACCGGTAATGATGAAGCCAAAATACCTCTAAGATCAAAGTTAAATGTAAAACGTCGAATGTAATGTGTCAAATGACAAATGTTTTATTGGAAAATACTGTTTTATGGCGTGTCTACATTTTACATTTCCCTCATTACATTTTACATTTGCGTTCTGTCGCATCTCATTTGTCCTTCACGCTTTCTACATAACATCTTACGCAGAGCACTAACTATTATATGCAAATGTAATATTACGTGACTTATTAACATATACGGAAACGAGGCCAAGATTAACCTGGCACACTGTAAGCCAGCACACGATAAGAGGAAATCAACCTGGCACACTATAAGAAATTTACTTACCGTGAAAAAACGATCATATTTGGATGGTACTAAACTATATTACCATGATTACGGAGAGTGTGTGTGTGTGTGAAGGGGGGGGGGGGGTATACAATGTATACGGGACGGGTCATAATGCGATATTCACGATATCATGTTCATATCAATGAAAAGCACGTTCATTATTTGTTGGGCACAATGATTATATTTTTTTAAAAAATAGATTAAAGTTAATTAGCCTGTGCTAAAATTTAGAGAAAGGGTGTGGGGGCGGTGGCGAGGGTTTAAAATGTCAAAACACGGGTCTTAATACGAAATTCTAGTTATCGTGTTATACGTCACTGGAAAGTATGTTTCTATGGCTCTTTGAATCTATCAGTTATTTCCTGGCATATTCATGATTACTTTAGAGAGAAAAAATCCTCCTTGTTATGTCGAAAGAAATATGTCGTTGTCAGTCAGTACCCTAATTGCTGAATATAGACTATACTTTCAATTCATGGTATTTGTCAAAAGTTCGGATTAGCCATACCAATCACATGATTTTACTGAAGGCACGGTCGTCCAGCGAATTTCTTATAGTTTGCCATGCTGATTGCCTCAATATCTTGTGGTAAAAATCTCGTGTGTGTGAAATAACTTTATTTAACGTCCGCTTCCACCGAGGTGGGGGGAGGGGTTGGATGGCCGAATGGTTAGAGTATGCTCGCTGTATAATAAAGTCTGTCATTGAGTCAACTGGCGTGGTTTTGATTCCCTAGTTATACGTGACAAGTGGTAGGGTCGCCTGTCCAACCTCGTGGGTTTTCTCCGGGTCCCCCGGTTTCCTCCCACTGCTAAAGACCCCTACGCGCAAACGAATTATTGAATTAAAATTGAATCATATGTTAGTCGCAAAATGACCTAGTTTGTGTCGAGTGGGCGTTAAACCCTCCCTCTCTCTCTCTCTCTCTCTCTCTCTCTTCTCTCTCCGCCGAGTTGATATCACAGACAATGTAAATATCTTATAGTGTGCTGGCTTATAGTGTGTCAGGTTGATTTCGGCCTCGTTTCCGTATATGTTAAGCCAGGTGATATCCTACATTTGCATATCAAACTTGGCGCTCTGCGTAAGATGCTATGTAAAAAGCGTGAAGGACAAATGTAGACAGGTCAAAACAGCATTTTCCAATAAAATAGTTGACATTTGACACATTGCATTTGACGTTTTACATTTAATTGTGGCCTTAGAGGTATTTTGACTTTTGATTTTAACGTAAATTGACTTGCAGAAAGTTGCCAGTAAAATGACTGTATTTTAACACTGAATTGTAATTGTACCCCTAAGTGGTAAATTTTGATTTACAAACAGCATGTAAATTTACAGTGAGTGTAAAATAACTTCGGTGTAAAATTGCATTGTTCTTGTAAATAGAAAATGCGGTTGTAAATATATCCAAAGTTATCTTACACTCATTGTAAATTTACACTTTGGTTGTACATTTACCTCGAAGTTAATTTACACTCACTGTAAATTTACGCGATATTTGTAAATCTAAATATACCATTTAGGGGTACATTTACAAGTCAGTGTTATCGGGGGTTTATTGTCCATTTCACCATGCCTGAATAATGGTCTAATATACAGTTCGAAGCAGCAGTGTAAAGTAATAAAGCCTTAAAAGGTCTATCAATGTTAAAGTTCAAAAGAGATGTATAATTACACATTTCTTGTAAATTGTACACAAATCCTGTATTTAAACATGTTTGAATAGTAGAATTACCCATAAAAAGAGTCAAAGTACAACATACAGTTGTATCAATACAGGTTACATGTAATAAAAATACAGTTCTAACTTGTAAAACTACACTTTTATTGTTAATTTACCAAATGTTTTTTACAGTAATCCCATGCTACGCACTAATACAGAAAATTAATAGTATAAAACATGCAGTGGTAATTTTACAGCATTATGTTAAAGAAATTACATATTTTTCACTGTAATTTTTTATTTATTTTTAACAGTGCCACATTGGCGCATTTATTTACAAGACAAGCCTATTATAAACTCTCTAGGTCATCGGATGACGCAGATGTAAACGGGTTAATATACTATTGCTATTTAATGATTTAAAAATGGACGAGTGGGACTGACGCTCGATTAACGAGTAACGTTGCTACGATAATAAACAATCTACGTCCAAACTTCAAATGGTGATACAGTCGCTCAGAATAAAGCAATTGGAATGAAATTTTCAATAACCTCCATTTAGATGCAGTGAACTTATTGACCTCAGCTGGTTTTGATAATATTGACTTTTCACCTATACACTTTGTTTTAAACACGTAAGCGCTGTTTGGTAATTAAAGACTTGAATTAATCCCATATTATCTGTATACAACCTGTTGGCCACTAATCTAAACAATTCTATATAATGACAATGACAAGATGTTCGTATCAACTTCCCCTATTGTTGGAAGGTGTATAAGACCCGATGCTTTCTGTAGTCGAGAGAGGAGGATAGAGAAGGAGAGGCAGGAGGGAGAGAGGAGCAGGGAACGGCGTACGCAGTCAACCAAGTTCAGTCGCTGCCGTGGCAGAAGGGCGGAATAGTTGTAATATAGGTATGCACTATGTTAATGTTATTGTTTCCTGATGTAGTTTAGTTCCTGTTTTATTTATGTTCCTGTTTTATATTCTGTTCCCGATGTAAATAAATCATATATTTACGAAAATGATCACTAAAATAGTGTTACACAACAAGAACGTTCCGCTTTTTATCTAAATCTTACATAATGTATGTTTTATCATTACCTATACCGTGATGCCCGAGCTAGGAAACAGTTTTTAAAGTCCTTATTTATCGTTATTTTACATTGTTTTACATTGTTTATATGATCGTGATCGGCTTACACTGTTTTAGGAAATGCTTCTTAGAGGCAGGTGGTTGTGAGTTGTGCTCTGATGTAGTTAGCTATGTCAGTTAGCTATTCGATATGAATAAGACAGTAACCTACCATACATACACAACACAACCTGTACAACAACGCCACAAATACACAACTACTCTAATTACGTATTATACAACTACTCTATTTACGTACTACACATATACAACTACTCTAATTACGTACCACACAACTACTCTAATTACGTACTACACAACTACTCTAATTACGTACTACACAACTACTCCGGTTACGTTTAAACTATACGAAACTATATCAAACATATACAAAACTACTAGACCTACACAGCTATAATAAACGTTAAACTATGTGAGACTATAATCAAGTACTGCAGATACAAAACTACTAGACCTACACAGCTATAATACACGTTAAACTATGTGAGACTATATCAAACAGATACAAAACTACTACACAGCTATAATACACAATTACATCATTTAACTAACTACTGGTATCAAAGTCTTACAACACACAACACAACCAATAAACCAAGCCGTGGATTGTCGAAAACCAACATCGTAACTTGATGATTTTATTCAATTGAAAGTGGGGTTGGGGGGGGGGGGGCACAAAATCACCGCACTTCCTATTTCTCGTTGTAATGCTGCTCCGTTGGTACCCATGCCTTATTGTGCTGACCTTGACCGAGACAGGAGTTGTAATGCTGCTCCGTTGGTACCCATGCCTTATTGTGCCGACCTTGACCGAGACAGGAGTTGTAATGCTGCTCCGTTGGTACTCATGCCGCATTGTTCCGACCTTGGCCGATACAGGAGTTGTACTGGACCTAGACATGTTTTATGCCCCATGTATGCACCATAACATTGTGATTTCTAAATTCCCAGTCGAATTGATTTTGTTTTTGTGTTTAAGGGAACTGGTATGTGTTGCGTTTATGCGATCGTGACAACATCATTCCCACGTGTTATCATCCTAATCTGATGTTAATTTCAGAATGTCCATTAGTTACAGACAAAACTGTGATATCGCATAGAAATGTCTTCTTTTTTGTTTAATCATCTGTTTACGTTGAGATGAAAGGTGTCGTGGAGTGTTTCAATCGATCTATAACTATATTTCATTGAACGAGGACGTTATATATTATTTCTAATTAAGACAGTTTTTTTTTTATACACAAAGTGACGAGTTTTCTTTGAAGGCTTTCGTTTCGTGTTTGTACACCACAGATTTGATTGTTTTATTTATTGAACAAATCAGACATTATAAAACCGTGTGTAACTGTTAATAGTTTTATTTATATGTACAGTGTTGTACTTACTGTACAGGTACTATGCTTCAGTTATTACTTCACTTAGTTTTAGTTTATTTAACTGAAGCAGGTTCGGTTGAATATAGATACGAATCTCCCAAATCATGTCAACATCTGACAGTACCAACAGCTACAGCTTATAAATCACTTATTGTTGACTGGATGTTGGATTGTGTTCGTCAATGTAGTCATGATTCTAGTTGTTTATCGACAACTTTTGATGGCTCTCAAACTTGTTACATGTTTTCTGATGATCAACTGAACTGTACAGTGACTCAAGGATCAGGTGGAATGTTCATGATAAAATTAAAGGTAAGTTCGTGAAGAATGGAATTTATTTTCTTTAATTATTGTCAAACGTTAGGATCAATGTTTAAAAAACGCAAGTCATTTTTTTTGTAATCCACACTTTTTGTTGTTATAGTAATTACCAGGGATGTTAAAAGTAGGTTTTTGCGGTGTTTTCCATTTCCATCATTGTTAATGTGGGTATATCTAACTTGGTTCTGTTTTTTGATATGTGGTCGATTGGGCTAACTCATATAACATATTTTTAGGTTTTAAAAAAGGTTTTCCCTACACCATAATGACGTTATTTGATAGTCGGAGTGTTATGTGGAAAGCCCTCCAAGATTCTGCTCGGATTTACAGTTATATTGTATATTTATTTCTGTAAATATAAGATTCATATACCATGTGCACTAGATAAAGCAGGCGTTGATCTGAATTGAAATTAAACAAATATACTTGTCGTTGACGTAATCACCAACATAATTCTAGTTCACACTGGGGGTTTAATTGGAATCGAATTCAGAATAAAGTCTTATTCCGGATTTAGGCGTCACAATCAAATTCGCTAAAATCCGAACTGAATCTGAAATAACGAATCCGTATATTTTTCCGAATTCAATCTGGAACAACTATTCCAGATCGGGTCATTCGCAATTAAAATTTGAGTGTTACGCGTTTGATTCAGATCAACGGGTTTACCGGAACCGAATAACTTTGCGCACGTGTTCACTTCTACTTCAAATAAATAAAAATTAATATTGCAAACATAAATCAGTTGGGGTGTAATTCTGTGTGGCGCGTTTTAATTTGAATTCAATCCGAATAACCTGTAATGTGACGCACCGTGTTTAATCCGAGACAAACCAATCCGAATTCCGGAGGCCGGTCTCCGGAATTCACATTGGATGCGCATGTAGTGTGAACGCAGCTTAACTATAGTGTTAAACTCTTGGCGCGATGATTTATGAATGCATTGAGCTGCACTATCACAACCTCGACTACGACGGTTGTATTTCTGAATCTATGCTGAATTTGTCTTATGTCACTTTGGTGGTACTGAGAATTTGAAGCTGGATTTCTGTTGTGGTGCTACCACCTCTATTGATATTGGATGGAACCATTTTCGTTAAATTTGAATTCTCTTCTCTCTGCACTGAAAGTTTAAATTCCACTGTTCTTCTGGAATGAAAGTGAGTAAAGTGACTGTAATAATTACAGATAATTTCAATACATAGACGTGTTTGTTATTTGATTTGTTTGGTTTGGGGCGGGGGGGGGGTGCCTTTTGAGGTTTTCTTTTGTTGTTGTTTTCTGTAAATAAATTCTCTAGTTTAAAACAAATGAGGAAGGAGGAATATGACCAGTCTGTGTCATATTCAACAACTCATGATAAAGATGCATTTTTTAGAAGACAAAACAAATGTAAGAATCAATAACAATTTTTGGAATTGAGCGATCGAAACAGCTAATGAAGTTGTGCTATATCGGTTTGTCTGTTTGATTTGTCGTTTTGACGTGAATTGAAATATATTTTATAGGCTATTTCATTAACCACTACGACTATACCACAAACAACTACAAGACCAACTACTGAACTAGCATCAACTACAGGACCAACTACTGAACTAGCATCAACAACCATGGACACTATTATTACTACAGAGGAGATGATCGGGACCACACCTCTGACCTGTCTCAACAATGGAACCCTGGATTCTGCAACACAAACATGTAAATGTTATAATGGTTATATAGGAGATACATGTCAACGTATCATGATGGGTAAGACATTTAATTTTCATCATGGGATTTTTTTTTTTGCTTCCATTGGAAATAGTTATACCTCTCCAGTTTGGTGTAAACGATTGAAGATGAACCATATCAATTTCTAGCAACGTCCGCTAACAATATCCTACTAAAATGATGAGTTTGAACAATTTTATAGACCAACTTTAGTGTGAAGCATTGAGATCACGAGAGCATGAACCCCATACATTTTCACCATTCTCCGTTTTTCTAGTTCGTCCGTCCGTCACCAATTTCTCATAAATGTGATGGAAGCTAAAGTAAGATTTTTTTACCAAATTTGATGTGATGCATTGGGAACATGACCGGATGAACCGTATTGATTTTCACTGTTCTCCGCCCACCTGTTGGAGATGTGGGCGTATCTTGCATTACAAACTCTTCCGAACATCCAGTGGGTTTCGTGAAGTGACCCTATTACCGAAGGTCAATGGTAATTTATTTTACTCTTTTGAAGCTGAGGAGACGAACGCGCTTTCTCAATGTTTTGAGCTGGGTACTGAACAAACCAACTAGCCCTAGCTGGAATATATTTTATTAATTAGGTCAATTAAAATTGAATGTTAGAGTTTAAAGTCAAGATAATGATATTAAAATTGATTCTATGGTTAATAGGTAGCCAATGTAGACCTTTTAAATTTGATGTTATATTATGTATAGGTCTAGCAGTTGTATGTCTTCGGCATGGGGATGGAAATGACTCAAAACGGATCCCAGCAAAACACTCTGGTCAAGAATCTTAGGAGTGAACGGTTGATCACCCATGACGAAAACAGTACTGACCTAAGCAACTCCTTTGATAACGGCACTCGCAAAAAAAACACTACTATCTCTGTCTGTCACGCAGTTGTGCCTATATCTATCAGGGAGTCATGTTGTTCCTATTCCTGGATAAGCACATTTATTTTCATAGAAAGGGTTTTAGCCTCTTAGGTTCATGTTTTCTTGTCTACTTTCACATTTGTCGTGTTTACGAGTATTGATTTATAGTTTATATGTCTTCTGTGTTTCAGATTGTACAGAAGGCTTTAAATCAGGCCATTATAATGAGGATACGTACGATAATTATTTTATTAAACCTACTTTAGCCCCAACAGCTTTTGAAGTTCATTGTAATATGAAAGACGGCGGTGGTGGTTCCACACTCATGAAGAATTCGGAATGGTCGCCATCTGTGAACAGAAATGTAAACTGGAACACCTATAAAGATGGTTTTGGTTCACATAAAGATAATCATTGGCTTGGTCTTGACCAGATTCACTACATCACCTCAAGTCGTCCACACCATTTATTTATAGAGGTCATCAGTGATATAGACTATAAAGGAAGATGGCGGAAATATGAAAATTTTAAAGTCGAAGATGAATCCACCAATTATCGTATGACGTATTCTGGGGTTTTTCCATGGACTCAGTCAGAAGCAAGTGCGGATCCTGACTGGACCAAAGTCATCTTGTCGACACCATTGGGTGATTCTATGATTGGGTTAAACGGTTCAGCTTTCAGTACATTTGACAGAGATAATGATCTGGATGCTGGTAGAAACTGTGCTCAAGAGTATCAAGGTGGATGGTGGTACAACGCATGCGCAGATTGTAACCCAAATGGTCCTATCAAGAAACCGAGAAATTCAAATGCAGTTAATGAAGCCTTTTGGAAATATGATTTTATGAATAACTATATACCATTTATAGAGATGATTCTCAGAGCAGCTTAAACCGTACACATTCTCTGGTATCAAGGCGGTTGGTGATACAACGCATGCGCAGATAGTAACCTAAATGAAGAGCTCCGGGGAAGAACGATCTAAGTCACCTTTTCAATGAACTCCAGTTTATAGCGCCGTCTAGTAGCAAATTGTATAAGCTTTCTGTGGAACAATCAATTTCAGGTAAAAACGATCGGAGTCACATTGAACAAAGTCCATCGGACCCTTTATTTGACCTTAATTTGGCTGAAAAGTGGAAGTCAGTTGTTGTACTGGTAATTATGATTCGTATTGAACATCATTTGAAGTTGTAATTAAACCCACTCGTTGTTCTTTTCGCGTCAAGCATTCTTGTTCAAAAGTCTGTTTTGCCTTTTATGCGAAAAGACAAAAATGTGACTTAGATCTTTCTTCCCCTGGATTCAAATGGTCTTATCAAGAATCCTCCAAATCCATGCGCACTTGTCAAAGCCTTTTGGAAATATAATTTTAACAATAAATATATCCCGTTCGTTGAGATTATATTAAGAGCTGTTTAAGCTTGTATAGATTAATGTCGTATAAACAGTAGAGTATCCTTTGAGATTATGTTAAGAGCTGTTTAAGCTTGTATAGATTAATGTCGTATAAACAGTAGAGTTGTTTAAGCTTGTATAGATTAATGTCGTATAAACAGTAGAGTATCCTTTGTTATGTTAAATATAGATCTACATATAAATATCAAATGTCATGTCCTTGTTTAAACATACATTATGCAATAGCTAAATCTGTCTATTGCAGGTCTTTCTTTAGGCCTGTAATGTTATCTAAATTATTAATTAGACATTAATTAACCTATCCAGACCATAATCAACTATCGATGGCATCGCTAGCCTGCGATCTTTAGTGGATTATGAGTTGATTTACAGCATAACTTTCCTTCACGATTTATGATTAAATGGATAATCGTATGTACTAACTTTAGTAATGATGATCGAGGTTAGGCGGAAATTTCAATCGCTTAATTCTCGGTTCATAGTTGATCAATTTGAATGAAATTTTTAGCAAATTCCCTTTACATTATCTAGTTTTTAACTATTATAGTGAGTACCGCGAGCTCTTTATCTAATCTCACATAATGTATCTTTAAGTTCCAGAGTTCTCAAATATTTGATGCAATCGTTAAACTTTGAATTTCTAGTGTAATAAATTGCAGTGTTATTAGTATCTTCAGGCATATTGGCGTTTTATATCATTTTAAAATTGACATTTTGAAGAATTTTTATAAAATTGTAATTTAATCATTTTGTCTCATCGATTCAGGGGCCGACCCAGGAATTTTTGCAGGAGGAGAGTCGCAAAGTTCCTGTTAAAGAAATTTGACAGTTGACATAATCGTCTCTAAATTACAACACCCCGTTTGATGTCAATTTTTATAATGAATTAATAGGATCACATTGTGATTCAATTTCATTACGCTGATAATCTGATTTACTTATGACCGAGCTAGTAATTTCGGTAAATCTTAGACTATCATTGGGTTATTTCGGTAAATCTTAGACCTATCATTGGGTTATTCATTTGCGGTAAATCTTAGACTATCATTGGGTTATTTCGGTAAATATTAGACTATCATTGGGTTATTTCGCCCCCTTCTCACTAAATTTCAGTTGACAAATATTCGTTTCCGTCTGCATAAACCCGGCTCATTTTAATTCATTTCTGTCCATGGGTAAACATGTTTACATACCATCTGAACAACTTGCCTTGCCAGTCCCCACAGAAACAGTGTCGGATTTACTGAAATCAAAAATTTGTTTAAAACTTGTAGAAAATAAAGACTGGCCAGGCAGTATGTAATATTTTAACCACTCCTAAATTTTCTGTGTAGGCATACCGGGTCTACCTCCTTCAGGGCGGTCTGTGTAGACATGCCGTCAGGGCGGTCTGTGTAGACATGCCGGGTCTACCTCTGTCAGGGCGGTCTGTGTAGACATGCCGGGTCTACTTCCGTCAGGGCGGTCCGTGTAGACATGCCGGGTCTACCTCCGTCAGGGCGGTCTGTGTAGACATGCCGGGTCTACCTCCGTCAGGGCGGTCTGTGTAGACATGACATGCCGGGTCTACCTCCTTCAGGGCGGTCTGTGTAGACATGCCGTCAGGGCGGTCTGTGTAGAATTGCCGGGTCTACCTCCGTCAGGGCGGTCTGTGTAGACATGCCGGGTCTACCTCCGTCAGGGCGGTCTGTGTAGACATGCCTGATAACTTAACATAGTAGGGACCTCATTTGTCCTAAATCCGACACTTCACAGAAGTCTTACACCTTTGGTTTGGCATGGCTTTATTAAAATATATCTCTAGTGTGAACATATTAGGAGACAAGTTGAAAAATATTAATTGTTCTATTTTAACAATATGATTGTCGCAACAACACAGTAAATTAAACAAAACTTTAATTTCTATTCATCTGTAGATGATTTATGAAGAGTTTTTAGTTGTTATACTATTCTTCAGTTGTTGTATTATACTATTCTTCAGTTGTTGATGTGTCTGTTGAACCAATTTCTCTAAGATACTGTTGTCGTAAAGTCTTGAGAAAACCACGTAAGCTCTGCTGGTCCAGGCGAGAATTTTTAGCAGTCTGAACTAAACGAGAGCCGAGTTTATATACAGATCTTAGATATTGTGAGGCTTTATCTTCTGAATTATTCTTCTGTAAAGAGAAGACAAGTTAGAATCTTGTAAACATAGAAATATAAAACAAAATCGGTAAGATACGGGCGTTTATATTCATTATACAATATAACATATTATACTGGTTTTCTTCATGCTTTTTAATAAATAGTGATTTCATTTTAGATAATTGACTTTTGGTATTTGAATATGATGTCATGTAAAAATAATTACGTAACAAAGACAGCGATGCGCCAGTTTTCCGAAATGCTAGAGTGTTTGGGAGTTTTCAAACGGATTTATTCCTGAAATATTTTAGATTCTACATTCATGGCAACTTTAGCTGTTTATCTTTCTACTTTTATTTTACATTATAATCTATCGATATCTCATGTCCGTCGAAGAGAGTTCCGGAATTGTATCTTTAGAAAGGCAAACAATTTAGATATTGAACTGTTTATGGTGTACTCTAAGATATTGAACTGTTTATGTAGGTTAGTCAATAAATCTGTTAACATTCTAAAGATCTAAAAACAAATTAAGGGCTTTTCGTTACAACTGTCTCCAGGCTCTGAAAATAGCCACCAAAAGCCAAGGAAAGAGTCAATGACGTCGGATTATCTACGCCCCAGATGACCGTAATTTAAATTTGGCACCTCTTCTTGTTCTTCAAGCAGTTTAGCTAAATTATTAGCCTCTTCTATTACGCGTCGCGGCATCGTCGATAATTCGGCTAACTTTAAACCTGTAATAAGAATTATTAAAATTATATTTTAAACACCAAGGAATCTGCGAGTAATAAAACGCTATTTTATCCAGTTAACCAATTAACCAAGTTAACCAAGTCTGTTCACAGGGATTTATATTGACTACATTCTATTTTAAATATACAATTCAATATAGCATGTTTACCCGGTCGTGGTGACAGAGTATCTAAGTCACATACAAACTAAAGTATAATTCTTAACTACGATGGGATTATTTTCCTTATACAGGCCTAATAATCATCAATCGATAATATTCCCAACAAAGGTTCACAGATGATATACCAGCGGCTGCCAGGCAGGATACGCCCACATTTTTGAGAGATGGATAGAGAAAAATCTAAAAAGAAAGAGATTTTTCCTACAATCAAGGGCAATAATTCATTAAGTTACAATTCGATATGTGCAAATATCGAAAGGAAGCAAGATCTTTGGGTTATAAACATGCATTTCAAGATTCAACAAAATCGGATAAAAATTGTCACCTCTATAAGGGCCACAAGCTAAAAACGTGATTTTTCGTACAATCAGGGGCCATAATCTATGAAGTTTCGATCCGATACATGCCAATATCGAAAGCAGCCGAGATCTTTTGGGGATAAGCCTATATTTCAAGTTTCGTCAAAATCGGATAAGGATTGTGACCTGTAGAGAATCCACAAACAAGTTTGGACGGACGGACGGACGGATGAAAATGTGGGCGTATAAAAACCTAAATACACGATACGAATAATCAATATCCACTCCGTTTGACTAAATATAAACCCCGGGAAGTTTTAAAACCAGTTCTCAAAACGTTCATTTGTAGCTTGTTGGTTTCTAGATTATAATCTTGAACGAAACGTCGCGGAAGGCTACACATCGTTAGGGTTCGTGTCCACCAAAGACCATAATTTGAAAACGGTAGCCCCTATCGCGTCCTCAAAATTAGCGGGAAGGCGGGAAACAGACTGACCCAATGTTTATTGCCCAATTTAAAAAAAAATCATTAAAATCTGTGCCTCTATCTCGTTTTTAATTGGACGGACCGAGGGACGAACATGGGTGACGACATAATTATGGATAAGTCATTTTCGGTGTTCAAGATAAGGGTATAAAAGCGAAAGGAAATCATGCCGACAGACATGATTGACGAGAATATCTGACCAGGAGCTTAAAGGGACATTATGGGAGATTAGATAAAGAATTGACAGTTCTGGTTATAACAGTTAAAAATAGATAACGTAAATAGCATATTATGGTGCAAATTTCAGTCAAATTGCTCCACTCTGAACCATGATATTAGTCGCTCATCATGACTAAAGTCGGTACGATTATCCATTTTTACGTTTAATTATTTTTCAAAAAATGTATCCCAATCCAGTAAATATCGCAGGCTAGCGATGCCATCTAGAGTTTATTATGGTCTGGATAAGTTAATTAATGTCTTATTAATAATTTATATAACATTTCAGGCCTAAAGAAAGACCTGCATTTTTTATCAATATCAATCATGTAATATTTGATAATTCTGACAATCAATGACATTATTTAATGGTCTATCAATGTTTTATTGATCGATAAGTTTAATTATTGTCGACCGAGTATTGAATAATCACCATAATGTTTTATTGATCGATTAGTTTAATTATCGTCGACCGAGTATTGAATAATCACCATAATGTTTTTCTCGTGTTCTGCCTTTAGCTAAAGTGTGAGTATATGTCATCTTTTCACAGTTTCCTTCCACACTAAAAGTACGCTGAACTTCGAAAAAATAGCTGAAAATAAACATACACATAAATATTAAATGGCCGTGTAACTAACAGCTAGTACAAAACAAACATCTGTTAAATATCGATGAGAGCACACACAAACCTTACCTATATCTGGGTTAATATCCATCAGAGCACACACAAACCTGGGCTATATCTGGATTATATATATAATCACGAGTTTATTAAAACCCTACTAGGAGATAGTTTTATATATATTTTTAAGTTTAATTACTAGAATCTTAATAAAGAAAAGTTTTTATGTAAATCCATATTTTACTTCTAAATGTCTATACATACTTTTCCACGTTAGGATAAAGGGATGCCATATTGGTCAGCTCCATAAAATGAGTCACAAACAACGTAAAAGCCTGAAAGAATGTTAAAATGTTAAATTTCCAAAAGTAAACTCCAGTCTGTAAAACAGTTTATATTCAATGGAAGAATCATATATTGGAAATTGAATGGAATTCTTATTTTAAAATATGCTGTAAACGTGAAAGGTGTCGTGTAATACACCAGGAACGGAAAGTCACTTTACACGGGTTAGCATTAATAAAAATCTAGGGGGGGGGGGGGTAACTCGGGAACGAAAAGTCGTAGATCGCTGAATATCGATGGTGTTCGTTCCCCATGACCACGATGCTTCATAAATCTTGACGACGTAATACATTGAAATGTGAACGTAAAATAATTTCACCAAGAATTTTATCAAAATATTTCAGCAAAGATAAATCCGCAAAATACATTCGAAGTTTATAATCCAAAATTAATAAATTTGACAGTTCGTAAATGGGGGGATAACTTTGAAATTCATAATAAAAAAAAAATGTATTTTTGTATAACCCAATGAAGCACCCCCCCCCCCCCTTCCCACACACACACACACACACCTCCCTTCACACAAAGGGGGGTTGGATGGCTGAATGGTTAGCGTGAGCGCGCTGTATCATAAAGTCTGTCATTGAGTCAACTGGCGTGGTTTCGAATCCCCCGTTGTACGTGACAAGGAGTAGGGTCGCCTGTCCAACCTCATGGGTTTTCTCCGGGTCATCCGGTTTCCTCCCACTGCTAAAGACCCCTACGCGCAAGCGAATTATTGAAATAAAATTAAAAACCATGTTAGTCCCGAAATGACCTAGTTTGTGTCGAGTGGATGTTAAACCCCATTTCTCTCTCTCTCTCTCCCTTCACACAAACACACGCACGCATTACAACTCTCCCTACCTGTTGAGTTACGTATCGCCGGACAACACTATGCATTCGTATTAAATGTGGAGGTAGAAAAAACTAAATTTACACTCTCTTCAGACAAATTGTCAGTTTTTATAGAACTTACTTTACAATTAAGAAGATATTCACATATAGCATGACAAATACCAACCCCTTCATCAGCACTTGTACCTTCAAATATATAAATACAGCTATACTACTAGTATTCAACTTAAAACAATAAATACAGCTATAATACTATAATAAGAAAAGTCAGTAAAATATCGATTCGCCTTACACAAACAATATCATTCTTAGGAATTATCATCCCAAAGACCAACATTCAAAACAAAAATATCTCAAGCCCCCAAACATGTCCTTTCCTATAGTTTAACAAACCCTATTTAAAATGTTTTGGAGACATGAAAAAATTTCCTTACATGTATAATTAATCGACTAGTACAATCAAGTTTGACAAAAAAGCCAAGAATTTTGTTTATAAAAGATTCATCCTTAAATCAAGTTTGATTGCAAGATGGTTGTCTGACAACTGTTGACGACAGCGTTATGTTTTAAAGCCAACAACGACTGAGGCAGGTTATATATGTGTCTGTGGGTAGAATGTTGAGACTGGCTCAAATTATTAGAGGTGGAATGTCGAGACTGGCTCAAGTTATTATAGGTGGAATGTCGAGACTGGCTCAAGTTATTATAGGTGGAATGTTGAGACTGGCTCAAGTTATTATAGGTGGAATGTTGAGACTGGCTCAAATCATTAGAGGTGGAATGTCGAGACTGGCTCAAGTTATTATAGGTGGAATGTCGAGACTGGCTCAAGTTATTATAGGTGGAATGTTGAGACTGGCTCAAGTTATTATAGGTGGAATGTTGAGACTGGCTCAAGTTATTATAGACAGAATGGTGGGACTGGCTCGAGTTATTATAATGTTGAGACTGGCTCAAGTTATTAGGTGTAAACAGGTAAAACTGACCTCTGCCCAACTCATCAATAATGATCAATGAATTTTCCCTGGCGTTCTGTATAATATAATTGATTTCTTTCATCTATAAAACAAGATAAAACATCCATCAATCTTAATACATCTATTCTTGTATCACTGGCAAACGACATCCAGTCATTTTATTTTTCCAAAATTATCTTGATCGATCGTCTTAGTAACTCGATCGATCGTCTTAGTAAGTCGATCGTTCGACTTAGTATCTCGATCGATCGACTTAGTATCTTGATCTATCGTCTTAGTATCTCGATCGATCGACTTTTTCTATAAGGAAGCTATAAACAGTATTTCCCCACCCGGCTTCACTCCACCGCCTTCAATGCGTGAAGTGGGGACACGGTCTCGGTCATCATCCTTCCCCTCAAACCAGCGGCTATGTCGGGAGCTGAAGGAAACGCACTTCCTAGCCTTCACTCAAACGTAATGTACATTACGCGACTCGCTCGTCTCGCGCTCCGTTCCCTTCAACTAACCGCCAAATGAAAGCAAAGAGAGAGAGCAGCTCAACGACGGTGACGAGAAGGGTAGCCAAGAGCTGCAAGATACGCATTTCTCGCGCTTCGCTCCTTTCAAAAGAACCAGAAAATGAAAGAAACCAGAAAGTGCTTAGGAAACTCGCCCAACAAAATTCAGTTATCCATCTTCGTTAGTCTGCGTCACAATGTCGCGAATAGAGAAAACGTGCTCAGAATTTTGGGTTTACGTTCATGTAAGTTGTCATCCGTTCGGGATATATTTGGCATACATTGTATTCAATAACAATTCGTAGCGGGTAGCAGAGATAGGATGGGGCCTTGAGAATTTTTTTTAATATGTTCAAAGATTTTAATCCATGACAACGTAGTGACCAATGTAGAGCATTCGCTGTACGAAAGTTTCACGCGCTTCTTCTTCCTGTGTTCATTCATATACGCCCAACCCAACTTTCACCATATTTCCATCTAAGGTGCACGAGGCTAGACTAGCGATATAGTCACGTGAATGTACAGCTACAGTATATATATATAGCTACCGTTTGCCAGTCAAACATTCATCATTCCTGCTCAACAGGTTATCAGGATGGAGGATGCCCAAAGAGTCTGGAGTCATCTGAAAATGACCGAAACAACTTGCCATCGCTCAGTACATCTGAGGAAGAAGAATATAAAGAGATGTTGCATATCGATGCGGACAAGAGCATGAATCAAGATTTGACGACAGCTCGAGCTCCGTCGCGAGGACCCCACATTCCCCCATATGGTGAGATCCTTGAAAGAGTTCGCCATACAATCGCTATGCTGTGCACCTAGTTTCGGGAGTCTTTGAAGCTTGGTCTTAAGTTCACCTTGACCTTCCGTCAAATTGCCTCCAGCAACAACCATTCGGACATGACATATAGATGGAGGGTCTCCCGCAACACAACATTTGTCGTCGCCCGTGAGTTGTGTCAAGCTATAATCAACGATTACACATATATGACCATGGTGTACCTCGTTGAATGGCGTAAGATTCGTTCGTTGGGCTTAACGCCCGCTTCCACTGAGGGTGATATTGCAGTAGTAAGATTGGTGAATGATGTTCTCCAAATATTGGTTCCCCCTACCACGACACAAAGGCTTCTGGGAGATATTGGAGATGACCGGGGACGTCTGATTTCCCTCTCTGATATTCTGGTTTAGGGAACTGTGGCCTGACACGTTGTCAGAGGTATCGCTGCCATGGGGGTAATGAATGGGTTGGTGGGTGAACCTGGAGTCCGTCGCCGGCCTGCCGGGCCTAACAGAACAGTGGTGCGTGGAGGTGATGATCCACGGTGAGGTGAGGAGCCACTATGGGGTGATACAGTCTTGTTTTGTGATACAGATTTGGCCTGGTTGGATGCTTCTTGGCCGGCGACAACTTTCCCTTTATACCATCAGGATTTTGGGAAGGCACGCTGGAACTGGAACTCTAGCGGAACGGGTCTGGGGATGTTGACTTTCTGGGGTATCTTGGTGAAGTGTGACAACAGGGATTTGGAAAGCATATGCATGGGTCAGCGGATACACGCAATGTGACCGACTCTAGCACGTTTAGCCTACGATGGATATTTGTTGAGCATTCGTTACATACACTAAGCCGTCGTTGGATAGGCGCAATGTATGCGCTGTCATTCGTTACCATGGACACTAGTATCAACCCAGCATTCGTCTTCATTCGTTGGACATTAGTCGTATACTTAAGAAATCCACTAAGAAACAGATTCTGGCCGAAAATTTCAGAGATAGATATAGCAGGAGGCAGACCACCATTAAATTTCACCATCTCGGTACCCTATTGTCGTTCGTCTATTTATAGCAATTCTCTCTCTGTCTCTTTTCTCCCGCGTGGTTTCGAATCCCCGGTTGTACGTGGCAAGGAGTAGGGTCGCCTGTCCAACCTCGTGGGTTTTCTCCGGGTCCTCCGGTTTCCTCCCACTGCTAAAGACCCCTACGCGCAAGCGAATTATGTAAATAAAATTAAAACCATATGTTAGTCCCGAAATGACCTAGTTTGTGTCGAGTGGACGTTAAACCCCATCTCTCTCTCTCTCTCTCTCTCTCTCTTTTCTCCCCTTTTGCATGCTCATTTTTGTTAATTTTTTGGTCTAGAATGGATGAAGAGGGTTTGAATTAACATTTTCTGCCTGGCTTTCACTACCTACAAATTCATCGATTCGTGTCCAGTCTGCTCGGCATCACTCTGTCTTGTAGTGAAGGACGGGCGAAAAACCTCGAGGGAAAAACTCGATAGCGTGGCTAGGTGACAAATCAGCCGCCACCATGAATTCCGCGGGCCTGGTAGCGCTGTCGTGTCTTCTACGGAACTCGAGACTGGCACTAACTCGTCCTCTTGGTCGATCGATCGATGATGTCCTTTGTCAGCCACCATACTTTATTCACGATGGACATATAATTCTACAAAAACTTCTATTAGTAGACTCGTTAAGACAATAATCTTATGATTATATCGATTGTTTCAAGCAAATATTCTGAATGGCTCTTCTATTTTTGTCATATTATCATCCTTTGTAATCGTTCATCTATTTTCACTAATTCTAGTAATTATAGTGATTGATGTAAAATAATATTTACTGACAACTTATATAAATGTCTACTGGCATTAGATCTTAAAAAAAAAACCTAGGTATTTTCAAGGCACAATCTCAGAGAAAACTGGTTATAGTGGTGTAGACGTCACTAGACACACCCATCTAACATGTTTACTGTTTTTGAGTTGCAGCTCCTGCGTCGGAAACCTTGAGACGGGACGAAACCCCTTTAAGAGTGAACTAATGAGTTGTACAGACTGTTTTGTAGCGATATTCTTCGGTCACGGCAGCAAATAAATATTTAAGACTGTCGTGTATTCTGTTGTGACACTACGGTGTTACCTCGTTACTATCCTTCGTCACTGCACCAATAAAACGGACTGTGACACCATGGTAACTCTTATCCTTTGTTACGGCATCAAAAAGAGAGAAAAGACACTTTCGTGTCGGTGAGGAAGTAATAAGAGGGGGTCAAATAGACATCTCGATAAGGAACTAATAAGAGGGGGTCAAATAGACAAGTCGGTGAGGAACTACTAAGAAAAGGTCAAATAGACAGTAATAGACAGGCGATGAGGACCAATAAGAAAAGGTCAAATAGACAAGTCGATGAGGAACTAATAAGACAGGGTCAAATAGACAAGTCGGCGAAGAACTAATAAGACAGGGTCAAATAGTCAAGTCGGCGAGGAACTACTTAGAGGGGTCCAAATAGACCAGTCGGCGAGGAACTACTAAGACAGGGTCAAATAGACAAGTCGGCGAGGAACTACTAAGACAGGGTCAAATAGACAAGTCGGCGAGGAACTACTAAGACAGGGTCAAATAGACAAGTCGGCGAGGAACTACTAAGACAGGGTCAAATAGACATGTCGATGAGGAATTAATAAGCGGGGGTTAAATTGTCGATGAGGAACTACTAAGAGAAGTTGAAATAGACAAGTCGGTGAAGAACTAATAAGACATCATCTTGCTTGATATTTTTAAAATAGAATCTAGTTCATCGTATTCCACAAAACGGTCGATTGGGGTGTTAAATACTCAGTTAACATATCGATTTCCATGTCATCATATTTGAAAAAAAAGCTATTTGTCAAATCTCAATTTGTTTAAAATGTCATGTTTTCTCCCTGGTCTTCTGAACGATCAATTATTCGATCAATGACTTTGTATAAAGTTAGAAATCCTGTTCTGGTTCATTATCTATCACGTGAAAATAAAAGGGGCTTGTTTTTACTGAATTCTTATTATATGGGCATATGGGCCTATAGATTATAGGGGTATACAGACCTAGAGATTATACGGGTATATAGACTTAGACATTAAACGGGTATATAGACCTAGAGATTATACGGGTATATAGATTATACGGCCATACAAATACAATTTTATATCAATACATTATAATAAGGTTGTAAAGGGCACACCAATGGCTTCAATAATAAAATGTAAGGTACATGGACTTGTTTAAGCTGTATATAATAACCAATTTGATTAGCTGGTATGTTGTAGGTTTATTTAATAAAAATACTCATCTCAACCATAAATGTAGAAGAATTTGTTTCTATATCATCGTCACTGCCGATTCTAGAGAAGATATGATCAGCCGATCGGAAAGATGCATACTGGGCAGGAACAAATGACCCGGTCTGAGCCATTATCTGTAGTAATGCTACCTGTCTCAGGTAGGTTGACTTTCCACTCTAAAACAGATCAAAACAAATCAACAACCACGTCTACACATTTACTTTTCGAAAATTAACTCTCCAGAACAGATTCTCAGTTAATGGTTTAATTTAAAGACGTATGGTCGATACTTTGTTTATTTTCATAACAACGGTAGAAACGACAATCGAGATTCCGATGCTCTGCAAACGATGATAATTCCGCTCAGAATCAAGTAATTTGACTGAAATTTTCACGATATTCTCTTTTCATTATCTATTTTTGAACTATTATAGCGAGAACCGTCGGCTCATTATTTAAATCTTACATAATGTATACAGTATATAATAATTATATGATGGTTAAAGGTGTGCTGATCTGTAGTTATATAATAATTATATGATGGTTAAAGGTGTGCTGATCTGTAGTTATATAATAATTATATGATGGTTAAAGGTGTGCTGATCTTTAGTTATATAATAATTATATGATGGTTAAAGGTGTGCTGATCTGTAGTTATATAATAATTATATGATGGTTAAAAGTGTGCTGATCTGTAGTTATATAATAATTATATGATGGTTAAAGGTGTGCTGATCTGTAGTTTAGCAATAATGGCGAAGGCAGTACTGATGCCAGGACAATCCTTAAATGGTCTGTTATTTATTACCATATACAAAACACATAAAAGAAAAGGATTTACCATGTTTGGTCCAGTGATGACGATAAAATTGTTGTCTTCTGCAGCATACTAGAATAGAGAAAAAAATCGTTATAATATAATATATAATACACAAGAATAACGCTTCAAGGACTACAAGCTACATGTAATCTTGAGAATACAGCATCCTGATTTCAAGCTGTATCCAATCAAAACATTGACGAAATAATTGTAAAATCCTAACACGAGTTACTTACTGTATTATTTGGAATCGGGGCATTTAAACCTATTTTCTCTAAAATAGGATGTCTTCCTTGTTTGATGGCTAAGGTGTCTGTGAATACAGGTCTTACTGTAAATAATAAATCATTTATCCTTACAATATTATATTAGTCTATGACATTTTTACACACATTGTTTTTACTTGTATGTTTAGCAAGGTACTTATATTTAAGATACTACAAGAGTATCTAATACCTGGTCTAATACTATAAGATGACCCGGTAAGGGCATGAGTTAATGGTATTAATACGGGTATGAGTTAAATCATATATTTACCGTAAGATGAAAGAGTACAAGCATGAGCAAATGAAACCAGCATATCGATCATTGATACGGCTTCTGATAATTTATAGAGACACCCTACATGTTGTCTAACATCTTTCAGCAGTTCAGTAACAACACTACAAATAGAATTAATTGTTTCAAACGTTCACATATCATCAATGCACTATTGTCGTCTTTCAATTAAAACATACTTTCCCACAAAAATATTTATCGGGTGGTTAAACTTGATGATGAGATCAAGCGTACAACAGATTCTGAGATAAAAAAAAAACACGGAAAAAGACGTGGGCAGTGGATAATCTGAGAATTTAATTAGGCTTCGATGTTTATGATAAATAATCAGCAATTAAAGACAACGTCGTCTTGTATATGCAATGAATTCTCTTCAGGCTTCGCACTCGTTGCTAGGTACCACATCAACCAAACATGACCTCTTTTAATAGATTTTTTATAGCAGGGGTATTCCCTCACGAGTACAATGTTTTAAGAAGGATTTGAAGCCACATTTCGATAGATTAATTCGTTTGAATATGTTTTTAGTCCAAATATATCATCAAATCATTTGGTTTTATGCGGGAAAGTATCTTTAAAATATAACTTACACATTGGTCATAAGATATATTTCTTGTAACGACTCTTTCACGCGATCTACAAAGAAATAATGTTGTTTTGACCGATATAAATTATAAACTACATTTAATTCAACAATCAATCAACAGATAATAGCAAGGTACAAATATAGGCATACATAATTACTGAATTGTTACTAGGCAACGTTTCGACGAAGATACTCTCCTCTGTATCAAGCAAATCATGAAAACATTCGCCTGATTCCAATATCAGTGAGAGGGACGATTTAGTGTAAATAAAATAGTAAACAGAGACGTCAAATAAGTAAAAGAGGCCAATTTGACCCGGACCAACTTGTAGTATTACAATCAAAGACGTCTAGAGTACATGACGCTATGGCTAATTAGTCTCTATCATCCAGAAAATGAGGTTCTGCGTGACCGAGACTATGTCCAATCAGTTGTGAATTCCGGTGGTGGGAAAAGTGATTAGGCCAGATGTTTTCTAATGTAAACACAGGAATGCTCTCGACAATAAGACCTAATAAGACTGGGTTTTAATTCTCAATAGGAAATTCTATATTTATGTACATAATAATATTTAGTTATTAAATGTGTAAATTATTATAATCTTATAGACGTTTGTTGTTAATGTGTAATGCATATGATTATCTATAAACAAATCTTAAATCTTATGTGATGAGATGAGTAAAAACGGTGCTTTAATCTTTCGATTATTTAATAAATAAAATATCTCAATAACAAAATTTTAAATAATTACAGGCCCGGCGGAGTGGGGGGGGGGGGCTAATAATTTGGCCGCAAGTACTCTTTTCTCCAGGTTATTGCGGCCCCCGGGACCCACGCCTATAAGGACCTAGGATGGAAGCCCCCCCCCCCCCCCAATCAAGAATTGCTTCCGCCGGCCCTGAATTAGGATTAATAGTAATCACTTATGAAGTTTTCATAGACAAATCACATTTTAAATAGAGAAAAAAAAGAGAAAAAAAAAGTAATCATGCCCAGGGAGGTCAGGTGCAGATGTGCATATTATTTCCATATTATATATATACCATATTATTTCCATATTATTTGTATACTATGGTTTTTTTCTATCAGTTGTAGCCTGCCTGGCTAAAAATCCACAATATATTGCTATTATTGCAATATTAATATTATACTGCTTCAGGAAAAGAGGCTCGAAAAGAGGTGATGAATTATCCATCACAAACTGTATTCAAATCCACTAAATAGTAAATGTCGCAGGTTAACGATGGCATCGAGAGTTATCGTCTGGATAAGTAAATTAAACATACATTATGCAAGAGCTAAATCTGTCTATTGCAGGTCTTTCTTTAGGCCTGAAATGTTATCTAAATTATTAATTAGACATTAATTAACCTATCCAGACCATAATCAACACTAGATGGCATCGCTAGCCTGCGATCTTTAGTGGATTATGAGCCGATTTACTGCATAACTTTCCTTCGCGATTTAACAATTAAATGGACAATCGAGACTATGCTATTTATCGTGCTGACTTTAGTAATGATGATCAAGGCTAGCCGGAAATTTCAATCGCTTAATTCTCGGTTCATAGTGGATCAATTTGACTGACATTTTCAGTAAATTCCCTTTACATTATCTAGTTTTTAACTATTATAGTGAGAACTCCCAACTCGATGTCGTATCTCCCATAATGTATCTTTAATATCTAATTAATAATTTAGATAACATTTCAGGCCTAAAGAAGGACCTGCAATAGGCAGATTTAACTCTTGCATAATGTATGTTTAACCAGTTCTATAACATGTGATAATCTGACACCAATATTGTCCTTTAAAGGTCAGTCTTCCTGACGGGTTTCGCATTACCGTCCAGGATAAAGACTGGCCAATATAATGCGTATTTGCTTGTTAGTGTTTAACGTTTGCATAGTACGTAGACAAATACAGAATATGTAACAACAATAACAATTGAATCACATTAAAACTAAACACCTTAGCTACAATAGAAACAAAAAACCACGTTGTCGCATTAACAATTTTCAGTCTTTTAGATTATAGGCCAAGGCCGAATTCATGCCTTCATTAGTATCCATATTTGAAATTAACCGGAAGTGGTTTTGTTTTTTGTAGCTATAAATGACCTCTAATAAGTGTTATTGCATATTCTGTATTATATTGGTTTGTATATTCGGTAATTGTATAATATTTAACTGTACTATAACTTTCTGTTAATTGCTGATGATATTTAAAATATTTCCTCATTAAAAGAAAAGCTGTTAAAAGTTGTTTCAGTCAGTATTAAAAAAACAACATATTTTCTGCAATCATTCAACATGATTAAAAGTAAATTACACAAATAGTATTTCCAAATAAAGCTGACATTAATTACCAATCAATAATATATTCAATAATAGTTGAATGATTATTTTTAAGCGTAGGTACTATGATTTTTCGACTAATCATTGGTATTTCCGCCTTGCTAGATAAAGCCAATAAGAGAGAGAGAGAGATGGGGTTTAACGTCCACTCGACACAAACTAGGTCATTTCGGGACTAACATATGGTTTAATTTTATTTACATAATTCGCTTGCGCGTAGGGATCTTTAGCAGTGGGAGGAAACCGGAGGACCCGAAGAAAACCCACGAGGTTGGACAGGCGACCCTACTCCTTGCCACGTACAACCGGGGATTCGAAACCACGCCAGTCGACTCAATGACAGACTTTATGATACAGCGCGCGCACGCTAACCATTCAGCCATCCCACCCCCCTAAGCCAATAAGAAGAGGATTTGCCTGATTTTAATGAATCAGAATAAAGATGAAGAATCAACGATGACATACTGGTCGAGTAAGATTGGAGTCAAGCTAATACAAATTATGCTGTATCACTGTAAAGTTGATATCGTTGATATATGCGCAAATAAAACTGGTAATGGTATAAATAAAATATATCGTTATTTTATATACATTATACACGTCTTTCTTTAGGCCTGAAATGTTATATAAACTATTAATTAGACATTTATTAACAAAACAAGACCATAATCAACTCTCGATGGCATCTGATGGGTTCAGCGGCCGTTGATGATTAACCGTAAAACTGACTGGGTGAAGTAATTTCAATGACATTTGCAGCATATTCCCGTTACATTTTCTATTTTTTAACTATTATAGCGAGAACTGTCAGCTCTTTATCTAATCTTCCAAAGTGTTAAAACTTTGACTATTGAATGGTATACACCACTATTGGTTAGGTCTGTGAATTCAATAGTGATGGGTACTAGAATTAGTCACGCTTCTACACAAGTACCAGTAGTAACATCTTTTACAGCCAGTAACACAACAATAATTTATTTTCTAGAACATTATTTTTATTCAGAATATGTGAATGGTATTGGGGATCAGACTTGACCTAGGTACAGCCCCTCTCTGCTATTAAATGATTACTGTATACCCACTTTCTATACATAAAAACAGTAGAGTCAGCATCACTTTAATCTGTCAACCTTATATAATGTGATTTTGTTGGTCAATATTTTAGTGTCGTGTTAAAACAAATCTAATAGTAGAATAATCTAAATAACGACATTGTACAGGACGATGCTTGAGTTACTGTAAAACAGAAAACTTAGAAACATGGAAACAATGAAATAATCAATAACTCGAGAGCTGAATGTCATTGTTAGCCCATCAATATAAAGCATGAGAATCATAGTTATCAAAGTATTCAAGTGTTAAATATGGTATTTACCAGTATATATATTAATTACAAGATTTAAAGAATTAATGCTCAATTATTTTTACACTCAAATATACGAATTCCTAAATCTAATTACATAGATTACCTGAATTTTATCAATTAGAAATATTCACAGTAAAACTGTTCACATCGGAAATCTTCATTAAAGATTTACCAACGAACGTATTTACAATGACAAACGTTGTTATCGCTTTATACTACGTTTTTTTTTAAAAAAAAAAACCCAACGGATTTTATGTTATCAAATAAAATTAGTTATTATAAACTGAATTTATATAAACTCTACTCCAGTCATATCATAGTCCTACTAATGTGTTGTGCATGATGTGAAGCAACACCAGAACTGGCGACACAGGTAATGGAGAACTGTTCTGTTCACAGATGAGAGTCTGCGTATCAACTGCAGATGGCAGGACCAGAATATGGCGTCGACGTGGCCAGCGTTATTCTGACCAATGTGTCATGGAACGTGGGGGGTCCAAGCATATTGGTTTGGGGTGGAATCGGCCTGTAAAAAAGAGTGGGTCCTGTGGTGTTGCAAAATCTCGGTCCAGGGGGAGGAGGCGGCATCACACCTGTGCGCTACATCGATCAAGCTCTCAGACCCCACGTCATACCACCTTTCGCACGTCATCGAAGCAACGTTTTCCAGCATGACAACGCCTGTTCCCACACCGCCAGAGTTACTCGGGACTTTCTACAGCAGAACGGTGTCAACGTTATGCACTGGCCAGACCTTAGTCCTGACTTAAACCAGATTGAACATCTTTGGGATGAAATTCTGAGGAGACTTAATAACCAAACACAGCCGATGGATTGCGCCAGGCTTTTTCTGAGAGTGTGGTTCCAGGTGCCAATGGCGTTCATCAATCGTCTGGTCCACTCCATGTACAGGCGTGGCGCTGCTGTTATTGACACTCGCGGTGGACACACCCGATACTGATGTATAGACTGTGTAAAGACTCTAAACCTTCTCGTAATGTCTTGGAATTGTGATGAATTAATCACTAATGTGTCAACATACTGTTCACAAAAAATTGCTTTGATCCATTTAGTAAGTCGTTTTCTAGAATGATTTGATTAAAGTGCCTCTCTTATTTTGAAATCGTACCGACGTTTTGTTTGCTGTTTAATATAGTTCTACTTCAGTCATATCATAGTCCTACTTCTGTCATAATATGGTCCTATTACAGTCATATCGTCGTCCTACTTCAGTCATATCATAATCCTACTCCAGTCATATCATCGTCCTACTTCAGTCATATCATAATCCTACTCCAGTCATATCGTCGTCCTACTTCAGTCATATCATAATCCTACTCCAGTCATATCGTCGTCCTACTTCAGTCATATCATAATCCTACTCCAGTCATATCGTCGTCCTACTTCAGTCATATCATAATCCTACTCCAGTCATATCATCGTCCTACTTCAGTCATATCATAAGCCTACTTCAGGCCTACTTCATTCCTAGCATAGTCCTACCCCAGTCCTACCATAGACCTACTTTATTCCTATCATAGGCATACTCCAGTCATATCATAGGCCTACTCCAGTCTGACTTTTCGGGCCGACGGGTAAAGTGAAAAAAAATATTTTTATTTCATCTACTTGGCAAAATAAAGTGCCCGACATCTAATAAAACACTAATTTTACTTTTTTTAATTGATTGCCATGAATTTGAACTGAATTCACTATGTATTAAAACATTTTGTCTGGAGCCACTCTACTTTGACATTTTTCGGGCATCGATTATTATTTGTGCATGCAGCTGCAACAGTCTTATTGGATGGATGGATGGAATTCAGGTCGGCACAGAGTGGGATTTCGGTTACAAAACCATTCGATATCTTTAGAGTTGCTTAACTCACGAGCTAGAATAGCAGAAAAACGCATTTGCTGCGGTTAAATTTTTGAAATTTTCTCCCAACGGTCCCGTTTTCGTGGACTGTAAAGAATAGATTGGTTGATTGGAATTCGAGTCAGCCACCTTAATTAGGCTATATTAGACCACTTTGAAGTTGCTTTGTTCACGGGTTGGAATAGCAGGAAAACACGTTTGCGGCCGTCAATTATTCCAAAATTTTCTTGGAGTCCATACACGGTAAGCTCCGCTTCTTCGCCTCTCGCAGAAGATAGGCGCCGCTGTCTGTAAACCCGAAATTTTTTCGGACATTTCGGGTTCTGCCCCCTCCCCGCCTAACTGTCATCGAGCCCGCATGCCTATGCCAGTCATATCATAGTCCTAATTTAGTCCTACCACGGACCTACTCCAGTCATATCTTAGTTATACTCCTGTCATAGCATATTTCTACTCCAGTCATATCATAGTCCTACTCCAGTCATATCCTAGTCCTACTCAAGTCATGCCATAGTTCTACTCCAGTCGTATCATAGGCCTACTCCAGTCATAGTTCAGGCCTAACTGTGGCCATAAGATATGTTTCAGTTTATGGTCATACATAATTTTGTAATTTTGTTGGCTTGTCTTAGAAGATTGTTATATTCCTTTTATTTTTTGTACTCCACTGTGTCCCTGTCTATAAATAAATTCATGAATATAGATACATTTGAAAAGTTAGTTAGGATGATTTCCACCCCGACTTTATACCCCGAATCATCATGTGACATATACATGATTTCCACCCCGACTTTATACCCCGAATCATCATGTGACATATACATTGTATAACCGAATCATCATGTGTTATATACATTGTTTAACCGAATCATCATGTGATATATACATTGTATAACCGAATCATCATGTGATATATACATTGTATAACCGAATCATCATGTGATATATACATTGTATAACCGAATCATCATGTGTTATATACATTGTTTAACCGAATCATCATGTGATATATACATTGTATAACCGAATCATCATGTGTTATATACATTGTATAACCAAACCATCATGTGTTATATACATTGTATAACCGAATCATCATGTGTTATATACATTGTATAACTGAATCATCATGTGATATATACATTGTATAACCGAATCATCATGTGATATATACATTGTATAACCGAATCATCATGTGTTATATACATTGTATAAAAGAATCATCATGTGATATATACATTGTATAACCGAATCATCATGTGATATATACATTGTATAACCGAATCATCGTGTGTTATATAAATACATTGTATACATTGAATTGGAGCAACGTGAAATATTTACATATGAAGATTGTTTCGATTTTTTCAATTGTTTAAATGGGAAGTCGTGTTACTGGTACTTTGGATTATTGATAGGATGGGCTAACAATGTAACAAAATATATTCCATTCACGCCCTTATATAATAACCATGCAAATAAAACGCCAAAATGATGTTGTAATAAATAATGTGAAATTTTACCATTTAACTTGATCTGAATATAGAAAATGTATTGTTATGATATGTAAAAGTCTATTTTTATAGGATTTCAAATAGTATTGTTCATTCTATAGCTTTGGTAGAACATACGACCGTGGAGCAATTAAATTACCACCAATATTATAAAGTTGACATCTGTAAATGGGTTAAACTTACCAAATCTGTGGTTGTAAAACTGAGGGTGTTTTTAAATTTTGATACTTTAATAAAGATAGCAGGAAGAGAATGGGTTGTATATTGATCATTAGTACCACAGAATAACTGAACATAAAACCCACGAGTTGTAGAATACGCCATCTTTAATGGTAGACCATTCTCTTCTCCTAATTGTTGTATTAATTCTGTAACGAAATCATTGTAATTAATACACGCAACATCATCGCCCATTTATGTATTAGGGTGGGGTAAGTAAAAAATTATCCTTGGCCGCCTTATTGAAGAGATACATGTATACCCCATTGGATTTGTAACGATTCGAATCAGTAAGAGAAATATAAATAGATAGGTTCTGTAAGATCTTGAAATTTAGATATTTACCTGCCATATCGTCTATAATTTCAGAATAAGTACGTCTGGCTACATCCAATAAACCTATAACAGTATTATAAAACACACATATTCTTTAACCCATATTATTGTTAGGTTGTTTTTTTTTTAAATACATTTCCATGTAATTAAATTTTCGTATGTTATGAATATCAATTTGTAAACATTGAAAAGTTTAAAATCTCCAGCTTCAATTAATAGAACACTTGAGTTGGAAAACTTACCGTTAATGTGAGGCTAAAAAAGAAAAAAAATACATTCCTTACGCAGTCATTAGTTTAAACATATTTCATAATTCATTCAATGACAACAGGATGAGTTATTAAATATAAAACAAATTACAAGAAGATACAGGACACCTGCAGTTCAATTACAATTATATAACACATGACACAATGACAAGTTACTTGAAGAGTTTATTTCAGCGACGTTTCGACGAGGGAGAACCCTCGTCGAAACGTCGATAGAAATAAATCTTTTCATGTGTATTCCATATAATTGTGTCATGTGTTTTTCTCACCCAGTTACTAAATGCCGCTTAAACAAATTACAATTAAGTATTTTATATAGCATATGTCAAGTCCTCTTACGTTACCTTTCGTTACCTATAATAAACGTAACTCAATTAGGTTAAGGAGATAAACGTGCATACCTTTACAGCAAAACATTTCTGTGTTCTCATGTTCAGAGAACCTTTTTGGTATTTGGTATCATCATGTATAACTGTACTAATCTTAGTTCTCATCTCTTTGTATCTTCGATCTTGTAATGTCTTAAATAAATTAGTCACTACGGTGTATCACCTATCGAAAACTATGCCACACTATGGGACAGCATGTCGGACATGTTATACTGTCCTGTGTCCTACAACACCAATGTCTATGTAATAATTAAAACATGATACATGTTATTTTAGACACTCATATTTTATTTTATTGGATGGTGTAAAAGCTGTCGTTCATTTTTGTCTGCTGTGGGCCTGTATAAAATGCCCTTTAAGGCGGAGAACCCGGGGAAAACACACGAGGTTAGACAGGCGACCTTACTGGGACTGTCATCAAACTATATTTCGTGCAGTAGCATGGTAAAACATTGGCTTAGGTTAAACAAATAAAGACATACCTGACAGTAAGCCTTGACAAGTTCATTCTCGCAATCTTTAAGGAATTCGACAAAAGGTGGTACCAGGTCTAATGTATGTTTGAGTAAAATAACAGTAGTAATTTTATTTTCAGCAACTTTTAAAGACTCGACTTTAGGTATTTGTACACAGGCTGATATTAGATGTTCTAGATCGATAAACTTAGACAGGGTTGATTGTAAATTGTAAAATACTTCTTCTTTCTCCGTTAATTCTGATACTACATCCTGTCTTAATCTGATAGTCTCTACATCTAAAATATTAAATTAAAACTCCTTCTAGTGTTCATCTCACATACATATGTTATGATAGGTATCATGCAAAGGACAGGGTATGGATACGTATTGGCATGGGGTACATCTGTGAGCCTAAGGGGGTTGTAACTATATCGTATCTATACAGTATCTGATGGGTGGGGGTTGTAACTATTTCGTGTATATATACAGTACTTGATGGGTGGGGGTTGTAACGATATCATATATACAGCATCTGATGGGTGGGGGTTGTAAGGATATCATATATACAGTATCTGATGGGTGGGGGTTGTAACGATATCATATATACAGTATCTGATGGGTGGGGGTTGTAACGATATCATATATACAGTATCTGATGGGTGGGGGTTGTAACGATATCATATATACAGTATCTGATGGGTGGGGGTTGTAACGATATCATATATACAGTATCTGATGGGTGGGGGTTGTAACTATATCGTATATATACAGTATCTGATGGGTGGGGATTGTAACTATATCATATATACAGTACCCGATTGGTTGGGGTTGTAACTATATCATATATATACAGTACCTGATCGGTGGAGGTTGTAACTATATCGTATATATACAGTATCTGATGGGTGGGGGTTGTAACGATATCATATATATACAGTACCTGATGGGTTGGGGTTGTAACTATATCATATATATATATATACAGTACCTGATGGGTTGGGGTTGTAACTATATCATATATATACAGTATCTGATGGGTCGGTGTTGTAACTATATCGTATATATACAGTATCTGATAGGTGGGGGTTGTAACTATATCGTATATATACAGTATCTGATGGGTGGGGGTTGTAACGATATCATATATACAGTACCTGATGGGGGTTGAAGTATATTAGATCGCAACAATCTTGTGCCACCTGCTGTCTTGGTAAAATTTAAAGTTCCGAATAAAGTATGGTGACTTTTTGGGTCACGAATATTCTGCAGTAGTTCCAGGTTTCTAGATGTCGACAGATCTACAAAAAAAAATCCAGTTAATTTTATTTTTAATTTGGCAATATACTTGAGTCAGTGGTCAATAAAAACTCTGTAACATCGCATAGAAAACAATATGATCGCTATATTTATAGTCGGTGGATTTGATTAATTGAGGATGGATACTTATCCTACCAATCATTGTAGAATGTTCACTGCCTCTAAACACTAGTTGTATCGAGTTTGGAGCATATACAATATTTTGAATAAACTCCACGTATTTCAATATGGCGGCTGTCGTTGCTAAACAGTAATATCTGAAGGAGAAAAAAACAATAATTGTATTACCAGATACAAGATGCCCAACATACTAAAATTACATTAAAATATTACAGCCACATTAAATGAGAGTAAAAAAATCCCAAACGGTTCTGGATAAGTAAAAGTGAAATTATAAATACAAAAATATTTTTGATAAGAGTACATCATGTTCAGACTATAGATTCCATATTGTAACGTCTTCCAAACGAGTAACAGTTATCCTAACAATTTGATATATGTGAAACCTATGGGTGACGTGATAGTACAATACTAACTTTTTATTTTGATATAAGTACCATTCGTCATCCTATACATCGATGACGGGCTAGTTTTAGGGTTTACCAGCCCCTCTTGGGCAAAACATTGACTATAGGAAATACGAACTGTCGAGGGATAAGAGAGTAAATACATCTAGGAAACACATGAGATAGTCAGGTGAATCTACTGTTGTGTTAACCTTGATGACCAGATCATATACTATTCAAAAAAAGTAGGGGATATTTGATTTTGGGGGCATAATACTAAAATATGCAAATGACTACGAAAAAAGTCACTATAGAACCTAACAGAAGAAACATTTCCAGTTACATGTGACGCCCAAACGCACCAATAGCTACCGCATGGAATGCAGGTGATGCTTGGGATCATCATGGGGGTCCAACCCAAGATTTGCACGACTCTGACTTTGAATGTTACAGTCATTGTGGCATTGAATTCCAGGGTGGAAACATCAGTTTAATTGTTTTAGTGACCAGAAAACAAATTTTGATATGCGTCGGCTTACCCAAAATGAAAGGTTACGTGCCCTTGGCATGCTACAGATCGGCACAACACAGGCGGTTGTGGCGCGGACGATGAATGTTTCTCAGTCTGTCATAAGCAAGCTATGGTCCAGATACCGTGATACACAATCTGTACAGGACAGACCACGCTCAGGTCGACCAAGGGCGACAACTCAAGCCCAGGATCGATTTATCCGTACCTTGGCCTTGAGAAATCGTGTCATCACAGCAAATCAGATCAGCGCTCGTCTTCAAACAGACACTGGTGTGAGAGTGAGTGGCCAGACGATTCGGAATCGACTGCATAGGGGTCACCTTCGCGCCCGACGTCCTCGCGTGATCCCTTGTTTGAGAGATCATCACATTCAGGCAAGACGTCGTTGGTGTAGGGATCGTCAACACTGGGATAATCGACGCTGGAGCAATGTGATGTTTTCAGATGAGTCAAGGTTCACTGTTGATTTTTTGGACAGACGTAGGAGGGTGTGGCGTCGTCGAAACGAGCGCTTCCAAGACGTTAACGTCATCAGACATGATCGATTTGGGGGTGGTTCTGTTATGGTGTGGGGAGGCATCACTGTTGCTGGAAGAACGGCTTTACATGTTGTTGCAGGGCGTGTTACAGGCCAGTACTACCGGGACTACATCTTGGCAGTCCATGTTGTGCCGTTCGCACGACGTCATGGCCGCCGTTTCATCTTCCAGGATGACAACGCAAGATGTCACAGGGCCAGGATCGTTACAGGTTACCTCCAACAACAGAACATCACCACATTACCTTGGCCAGCACTGAGTCCCGACCTCTCCCCCATCGAGCATGTCTGGGACATGCTTGGACAGAGGTTACGTCAACGTCAACAACGTCCTGCCAATGTCCAAGAACTTGCTGCTGCGTTGCAACAGGAATGGGACAATCTGGACCAAAATGACATTAGACGTCTCATTAGGAGTATGCCACGTCGGATCAATGCTTGTTTGGCAAACAGAGGAGGATTTACCCGTTACTGACTTGGTTGTGATGCTGTGGTAACTTTGCTGTTTGACCCCGGGTATCATTTTACCCTTATAATGGTCAGTCTGTGGCTTACTTAGTCTAATGATCATTTGGAATAAATCGATGAATGTGAACTTCATTTCATTTTGTCATTTGTTTCTTCGTCAGTTTCATTAGGTGACTTTAATAACACTTAAAAATCAAATATCCCCTACTTTTTTTGAATAGTATATTTAAACCTACTTACTTGGATGATAAAACCATCTCCATTGTTTTAAAATCTATACACAAATGTTTCAACATTTCTAAACCTAAAAATAAAATCAATACGTTCATCATCAAGTCTTCTGTCAAAATATGTTATCACAAAGTCTCAATTATCACTTTATTTCGATTTGATAATTGTGTCCTCTTGTCTTTGATTTTGTTTTTATCGCCATCAGAATATTTGGATAATTTCTACGGGATCTTCTATTTATATACAAGACAGACGGGATGTGTATTTCCTATATCCCCTTTCTTTCATGGAGCCTTCTCACAACTACGGAAATAACTACTTCAATTCCCGCTATACAAATAATAACGCGCCGTCTTTGATTTGTATTGAATATTAAAGAGGCGGCATCCCAACCGATAGTTAAAACAAAATCTTATTCTATTCCATCATATAAAATTATTCTAAATTAATAATTAATTGTTACATAGCCACTTTAATCGATTTTAACCGATATGAGTATGGTGTTTTATATATATATATATAATATTAAAAACGGTGAATCACTCTACCACAGTAAAGTGCAGGAGGTCAAATTATGTAGGACAATTTATTTGCCAGGTTCTACTGATACCCACATCATCAACAACGCCATCTTCGTGTTCTGTCTTGGAGGGTTGAGTGAAAATGGTCATACAGAAGAAGAAAGTTTGTAGAAGTAGCGTTGTACTACTATTTATTTTATCTGAAATCTAGCAGTAAATTTGTCAAGAAGGCAGTAGACTACTATACATTATACAGTAATAATGTTTTACCCATCGCAACAGTTCTATGCCTACTTTTACAAAACGCACAAAATTAACAATAGCCTAATAAATGGAAAATATTGTGATATTTGGGTGTAAATGTTTGAATGATAGAAAGGTCAAGTGTGACGACAAAAACATAATATAAAACGTCTTTAATATAGGGCACGTCTCAGAAAGAAGGCTACTAAAAATTATGTACATTTAAGGAAATGAAATGAAATGAAATGGGGTTTAACGTCCTACTGTTCTGCTCCTATACTGAGCTAATGAAGACGGGTATATTTAAGGGAATGGGGAATTACTTGCAAATTTAAATATTGTGAAAGAAAAGGATTGACGCGGAGACTTTTAGTTTTCTTTTGGTAAAACAAATAAATAACTTCCTTTATCACCCAATAATACATTCTACAGTAGATATCGCTTGTGTGATATATTTCATAATCTACTGCGATATCTCCTTAGGAGATATCGCTTTACATGAATTTGATTGGTCAGTTGAAAAGGAACTACTTTTTTTTATTTTCAAAGAACAGTTCATTTCTTATTAAAAATAACTTTTTTTTAAATTAAAAATGAACTAATTGACCTTGATGGAAACACTGGGTCAATATAAAGGACTTTGCAATGGTTGAATTGCTGTCAAAAAATGATGTATCACTACGCCGTAATGTTCAGTAAAAGTGAAATCTAGAGCAAAGAATTATATTTATCTATTTGTGCATGTAAGAAGGGATTGAGTGATAAATAAAATCTCCTACTCGTCTTTATTGATATCAAAAAATATCAACACTCGTTGATAAAGTAAAAAAAACTCGGCAGAGCCTCGTTTTTTGTTACTTTATCAACTTGTGTTGATATTTTTTGATATCAAAAAAGACTGGTAGGAGATTCTCTATGTATAACAATGGAGAACTAAACTTCTTTATTAAACATTGGTTGCTATTTAGACTATTTTATACAGCTGTATAAAGAAAGAGGGGCTATACTATATACCGGAAAACACCGAAAAACACCGGAAAACAACCGGAAAACATTAAATACCGGAAAACACCCTAAATACCGGAAAACACCCTAAATAGATAACTCGGAGCCTGGTCCCCCGGAAAACACCGGAAAAACCTAACAGCTACAAAGGTAAAGACGAGAAGGATTTATGGTACCTACCAGCAGTCAAGGCAAAGGTCTGGTTATTGGATCCTCGGGGACTGGGAGATCCATAGCTATTCTGGAGCCCTGATCAGCCACATCAAACAGATCCTCCAGAACTACATGGGACCTACACCAGAAGGATTAGTGATACATGTCGGGCTCAAAAACAGGGAGGAAAGGGGACCAAGGATACACGAGCAGATGCTAGATCTACTCAAAGTGACCAGACCAGCTTTCCCAACAACCAAGCTCTTCGCCACACAGATTCCCACTTCTTCCCGACTCCGACAAGAAAATCCGATCGCCTACCAAAACGTCACCAGCTACAACCAACTGATCTCCACTGCACCTTCACCAAACGCCACCACATTACCAAACTTCAAGGGCAATATTGAACTGAAAGGTAACGACGCTATCCACTGAAGTCCGGACACGGCCAGAGAGATCATCAACTGCTGGATGAGGAATTTAAACTAGAATTAGGGAAAAGGAATGAGAAACCGTCTTTAGGACAGACAGTTGTCAATTTGAGCGACAGACTTCTCAGCCCCCTAGAAATGAACATTCTTGACAGAGGCCTTAAATTCATCCCAACCCCCACAATAACATCGATAGACCCCATCACCCAGGCAACCGATCCTTTCCAAAGGACCCTTTCGCTAACTTATTTTTTTAGGAACAAACCCGGCAGAAGTAAAAAACTATTCACAGAAAAATCCACATGGAAACCACCTAAAAAGTCATTATCAGCGATCATCTTAAAAACTTTCGACGAAATGAATACAGAAATATCATCCCTTCAACCACAATCACAGAAAAAATCTCAATCGAGCAACAAAAACATCATTAAACACCCTCAAAAAAAGACAAAAACATAATAATCAAGAAAAACGACAAAGGCTCGTGTTGTGTCATAATGAATCGCGCAGACTATATCTCTGAGGCAGAAAAACAATAAAATAATCCTAAACATTACACTAAATTAGACCAACCCACCTTTAAGGACATTGCAACCTTAATAAACAACATCTTACATGAATTGCAAGACAAGGAATACATAACAGCAAAACAATATGATTATCTATCCGCTAAATCTGACTGTCGGCAACGACATCTCTATACGCTACCAAAAATACATAAAAATCCAGAAACGGAATGGTTTATACCTAATAAAATACCCAAGGGCGCCCTATAATATCAGACTGTGACAGCGAATCATATACAACGTATCACAATACATAGACCATTTCGTATTGCCCCTAGCCTAGCATGCCAACACCCATCCTACCTTAAAGACACTAACGATTTCATTCATAAAATCAAACAGTTAAGAGTACCTGAGCACACCATTTTAATATCCATTGACGTACAGTATGGTGGGGTATCAGGGTCAAAATGCGATCTGCAGTAGAAAGTAGAAAATAAAAAGCAAAAGAGAAAATTCTTATCCAAAATGGACATTTTCGTGTGGAAAACATATACCGCTCGTGCTTTTCAACCTAATACGCCCACCTTTTCAACTTTAAGTCGTAAATATTCTAATTTCAACAGCAGAATTTCTACTTTTAATAATCAACTTTTGACATTCGACTTTCAACTTCAGAATTTCTACTCGAGATTTTCTGCTCGAGATTTTCTCCATGCATATTACGGAAATAAATTTGATCACGTGACTATTTCTGCATGTCATTAAAATACGGTATTTAAAAATAAACGATCCCAGAGAAAGATAACTCTAGTTGTAAGGACTTAGACTAGCAATTATTTACCCATTGACTTCAATGTTAAATGGCTGTAACATCACAGGCTGTAGCTGTTTGCTCAACATTCCGTTGGTTCCAGTCTTTATAGGCACAATGGGGACCACATTTGGCAATATTCTCATCATAAATTTGTAGGGGGTTGACCGTTTAGATTTTTTGCTACGGGGATTTGAAGTTGACTATTGAAAATCTCACTTCCGACACAATGATTGCTCTGCAGAAAGACACTTTACATCCCCTATCCCTCCGCTGTAATATCATCAGTATTACTAAAAACTGCTATGAAATTGCAAATTTGATCCCTTGTCTCCAATTCTAGACCAAAAAAGTCAACCCAAAAATGCAGAAAGAGAGGAGAAAAAAATTAAGGGAAAAATTCTCTATTTATAACTGGCAGTTTAAACAAATCTGTTGTTATCTAATAAACAAACATATATACAATGCCCTGGCCAAAGATTACGAAAATCTATGCATTTTCAGATGAGCTGTGCGGCATTCTGCAAACTGCGGAATTTCAGACAGAAATTTAAAAGCACATGAATTTTGAATTAAACAGAACATTTTTATTTTTGAACATAAATTCATTCTGTAAAAAGATGAGATAAATTCAATATAAATCAAACACGAAAATACTTTAAAACAGTAATCTTGATGCAATATTAGACTTTTAACACTTTCATCGAAAACCACATAATTTTTCTCTGTTAATATAGCTTCAAGTGCCAAATTTTGGTCAAATCTAAAATGTTGAAACATGCAGTTCCCATGAATTTCAAAATATCTCCTATATAGCTGTATTTCCACAGGATAAGTAAGTTGAAATAATCTGATTATGTAACACTACAACAGTTTTTTCATCCCCACCCCCCAGTATGGAATCTGATACATTGCTGACCAATCATGGGTCTCCCTGTTCACTCTGGCCTGTCAAATGATTTACAATGGCGATGGTGCCTACAACTTTCCTGACCATGAGATATGCACAACCGTCAACACACAAGCCATTTGTGTTATCTTCAAATATGAGAGGCCTTGATAAACACAAGAGTGTCCTTTTCAAGCTCGGAAATTAAGTCATCGCCAAACAGCAAAGTTTACAGAGGTCCTTGGGGCTGGAACCCAAACTGATGACAAGGGGCAAATAATTGCTAGTCTGAGTCTATATAGGAGGCAGACCACCATTAATTTCCCCATTGACTTCAATGTTAATTCTGGCCTCTTTGCCCACCTCCAACTTTTCCCCAAATTTTCGTTGGGCTGAATGCTTTCCACTACAGACAGAGGAACAAATGGTCATGTCTTTGCACTAAAATTTGTATGAGGTTGACCACCAAAATTTGGAGATACACAAACTTGAAGAAGCATACTAAAAACATGTAACTAGTTGCCGTACATATCGCCGTAGCTAACCTGATAACCCTCTTATCCTTCCGCCTCAAAATCATGAATATTTACCAAAACCTGGCAGAAAATGTTAATTCAAACCCTCTTCATCCTTTCTAGACCAAAAAATCAACACAAATGGGCATGCAAAAGGGGAGAAAAGAGAGAGAGAGAATTGCTATAAATAGACGAACTACAATTCGTGGGTACCGAGATGATGAAATTTAATGGTGGTCTGCCTCCATCTTATCTTAGTCTTACAACTAGAGTTATCTTTGCCTGGGATCGTTTATTTTTCTGGAAAAATACCGTATTTTAATGGCATGCAGAAATAGTCACGTGATCAAATTTATTTCCGTAATATGCATGGAGAAAATCTCGAGCAGAAAATCTCGAGTAGAAAATCTGAAGTTGAAAGTCGAATGTCAAAAGTTGATTATTGAAAGTAGAAATTATGTTGTTGAAAGTAGAATATTTACGACTTAATTAAAGTTGAAAAGGTGGACGTATTAGGTTGAAACGCACGAGCGGTATATGTTTCCCACATGAAAATGTCCATTTTGGATAAGAATTTTCTCTTTTGCTTTTTATTTTCTACTTTCTACTGCAGATCGCATTTTGAACCTGATACCCCGCCATAGTACAGAGCATGCACACGAACATCGATAATACGACAGGAGTTGAAGCAGTTAGGAAAGCATTTCTTAGGAACCCGCAAGCATCCAGACCGGACGAAGAAATCCTCAAATTACTCGACATTTGTCTGAGGAGGAATGACTTCGCTTTCAACGACCAAGTATACCTCCAGTCTTACGGAACTGCGATGGGAAAACGATTTGCCCCGAGTTATGCAAATCTCTTCATGGCGGAGTGGGAAAGGGAAGTTCTGCCGCTCTGCCCATTAAAACCAGATTTCTACGGGCGTTTTCTAGATGACGTTTTCATAGTCTGGACGTATACACTAGACGAATTTTGGACGTTTTTCAACATTCTGAACAATCATCATCCATCTGTAAAGTTAACCGAAATTGTAAGTCATAACAGCATAGATTTCCTTGACACTACCGTTTCTAAAAGTAGCAACACTAAAATCACAGGCCAATTGGAAACTAAAGTATTTTTCAAAGAAACCGACACACATCAATTATTGTTCAAAAGCTCCTTTCACCCAAAACATACCTTCTCTGGCATCATAAAATGTCAGATTCTCCGTTTTCATAGGATATGTACTCAGAAGACCGACTTTGGGTCAGCGTGTACATTGGTATTTAGCAAACTAAGGGAAAGGGGATACTCTAAACGTATAAAAAAACAACACTCTAGCTGAACTTGCCGCCAGAGAAACAAATATTATGCAATCAGCAGTCAAAACCACCCAAGATGTCAAACATGCAAAATCATAAATATATCTGACCATTTCCATAACAAAAGATCTGGCACAAAATTCCCAATATTAGATCACCTTTCATGCAGTAGTTCAAACATAATCTATCTAATTTGATGCAGACAGTGTGACAAGCAATACGTAGGTGAGACCCAAAATGCACTTCGGGAAGAATTAACGGTCACCGGTCAGACATAGTCACTCAAAAAGACAAACCGGTCTCAATTCACTTCAACCTGGATTGACAAATTGAAAACAGCAGCCCCTATAGGTTTGAATATTCATACGGCTAGCGCAATAGCCCCTTTTGTAGTTCCATTTAGCGCAACAGCAGCAAGGGCATCCAAAATCATCAAAAAACATTATACTGATCTCCAAGAAAATCACCCGAACATTTCACACAGAAACTTATAATTGCATATTCTAAAAATAAAAATCTGAACGGCATCCTAGTGCACAGTAAATTAGATTAAATGAGACCAGTCTCCATCCTCAAACAAAACAAACCAACCATATATCAAATCCTATCCCTAACCGTTAGTAAATAAAATCAACTAGATATAAGAATCCCTAGCCCTTTCTTTTAAATCCAATTCTTAGTAGGAAACACACTAATGTGGCTCTCCACCGAGAGCCCCAAATTTATTCTTTTTTTCTTCAGAAACAAAAATACCAGAATACCAGAAGCACCACCCAAGGAAGACCATCATCGCCACCAACATCAAAAAACAGTTAAATTACCTTTGTATATAAACCTAATGTATTGTATGTATTTTATAAAACTAGGAAATATCACGTACTAATTTTTCATCACCCTAGGTCAGTGCTTATGTGGAGACTTAACCTCTCCCCCAAATTCTTAAACCTAACCCTTATCCACCGCTGGTCCTCTGGAAAACATCGGAAAACCTAACACTTAGTCTAACTCCCCGCTAACAGAGTCTGGGTTACCTATTTAGGGTGTTTTCCGGTATTTAGTGTGTTTTCCGGTATTTAGTGTTTTTCCGGTGTTTTCCGGTATTCAATATAACATGGTGTTTTCCGGTAGTTTTCCGGTTGTTTTCCGGTATTGCCGAGAAAGAGCAACCTTATTCCACTCAGTTATGTGTGTAATTTAAAGAAATAAAGTTTATAACACCACTTCATACCATATCTGATCATACGTGATATATAACACTATGGCCTATAATACAATTACTCAACCTAACTTAAGTTTTCCCATTTAGATTTTTCTGCTTGCTATACCGTAACTACAACCTCCCTCCCAAAGGTCTAAATCCGACCCTGTTAATATATGATAATAAATATTGGTACCTTTCGTTTCGTTAAAGTATTTCCTCTGTACAGTAGATACACACGTGGTTGTGTATTGCTCTGTTATTAATTTTAATAATGTCGTTTTCTCACCATTTTCAAACGTTGTGTTCGGTACAATAATCTGAAAAACATATATTTCATAAATAATATATAACGTATCGATGACCCCAAATATTTTAATGATGAATTAGTTTGAACCTCTCTTTCTCTCTCTCTCTCTCTATCAAAAATGGCATGCTTACCTTTCTCTTGCAACATTGCGAAGATTAATATAATATGCATAGATAATTATTGGTTGTAAAAGATTTATAGTGGTACAGAAATAATAGAAAATTTAGAAATAATACACTCACCTCCAATGGTTGAAGAGTTTGAAGTTTAGTTAACGTTTTTACGTATGTCTGAGAATCAGAAAACTGGGATAAAATTAAAGTTGGTGATTTTAAATCTAAACTTGTCATTCCTATTTCTCCGCGTGCCACGCCCCGTCCTTCCACAATAGCTGAAATACAAAACGTATCAGAAACCCTTTAAATTATTGTTGCCTTTGTATTGTGGCTAGTCCATACAACATATTACGCACTCTGTGAAATAGGCACAATCGCATGGTTGAAGTCTGTCAGAGGAACACCATTAATATTAACTCAGGGGCCTGGTGATGATGAGTACGGGAGTAGCAATATTCACGCACCATTACCACATAGTGACTTTAACGCCACTTTTTGTTATCATTTTGGCGCCAGAAATCAAAAGTGGATTTTTTGCACATCCGAATAGTGCACAATATTGTTTTCAGAATTATCCGTGATTTTTTCGTATCATATTATTGTAATTTCTAATTGGTAATTAAACAATCAATTCTCATTTATCATATCTTTCTTTTCAATTCAACTTTGTAATTTCAATTTTTTGACCCGAAAGTGAGCTTTCAAGTCCAAGTTAACGTTGATTTTTGCGCCGGAATCGAGGTGTATTTTTGCGCCACAATGTCTCAGCCCTACTCAACACCAAATGACTTTCACTAGGTCCGATTTAACCAGAGATTAACCACTCATCACTGTGATTTAACCAGAGATTAACCACTATAAACTCATCACTATGATTTAACCAGAGATTAACCACTATAAACTCATCACTATGATTTAACTACAGATAAACCACTCGTCACTATGATTTAACTACAGATTGACCACTATAAACTCGTCAGTTTTGAATCTTACTTAAGTTACTTTTCAGGAGTTTTACAAGAAAGCGAAATAACTCTACGAATAATAAAAATGTGCTGATAATCGATGGGAATCCTTATTATATGATGGGAGAATTAAATCATGCTGTCTGGAAAAGTTGAAAATGTTAAGTATGCATTATGTAAGAATTAAATCTGCCCATTGCGGGGGGGGGGGTTGGATGGCTGAATGGTTAGCGTGCGCGCGCTATATCATAAAGTCTGTCATTGAGTCGACTGGCGTGGTTTCGAATCCCCGGTTGTACGTGACGAGGAGTAGGGTCGCCTGTCCAACCTCGTGGGTTTTCTCCGGGTCCTCCGGTTTCCTCCCACTGCTAAAGACCCCTATGCGCAAGCGAATAATGTAAATAAAATTAAAACCATATGTTAGTCCCGAAATGACCTAGTTTGTGTCGAGTGGACGTTAAATCCCATTTCTCTCTCTCTCTCTGCCCATTGCGGGTTTTTCTTTGGCCTAGAATTTTACTACAAATTAATAATTAGACATTTATTCACATGACAAGCCCATAATCAACGTTTTAGACCACGAGTGTCAAACATGCGGCCAGCGGGCCACATCTGACCCACCAAGGGTTTAAATGTGGTCGTCCGTGGAACAAACTTCAATAGATGTGACCAAAGAGGACAATCATTGGCATAAAGTAAGTGTTAACCCTGCAGTGGAAGACTGACTACATTGCAATGTCACCAAAGAAAGGCGACCTTACCGTGAGCCAAGAAAACTATCGGTGGATGCAAAGCTACCTTAGAGATGAAGATCATGTACAGACCAACAAACGGACACCTTAAGAATAAACAATAAGTACTCCCTTGGTTGGAAGGCATTACTATATTTGTCATTTGAACTTTATGGATTGAAAGACATTATGGCATACCAGTAAAACATTTTTAATCGACTGAGTTACAAAAACAACAATGGAAGTACATTTTTTAATCGATTGGATTTAAACACGAAAGCTGGATTTTGCTGACCATGCTGCTCTATTAACTGTCGACAACGACGCATATGCAAGATTTTGTTAAAACAAATTTGAATGCAGATCAAAATTTGGTGAACAGTGCTAATGTCCTTATTGCCCTTATGGGCCAAAATATGAAGAAAACCGAAGAACATTGAACACAAACTACATGTATTTATTTTGCGTAGATGACCAGATCGCCTGATAAACGACGATCTGTGGGAAGCACAGGTGATTCTAATAACGCAACTTTACGCGAGTAACGATCGGTTGCCCTCACCTAAACATCATTCAAGTAACGTCTGGCAGTGTAGGGGGTGCAAGGGGGTTCAGTGACAATCCAGAGAAGAAACCTGAATACTCACCAACTATAACACTACTAGCACCAATATCAACCGCTGGTGTAGCTGTGGTTGTAGACAACGAAGACCGAGATCCAGGAGTCTTCTTGTTATGCGTTGTACCCATATACTGGGCTGGTGTACATAAAGATAAGGAACTCGCACCTCTGCAAATATTTAATTTTTCGCGATTGCTACATTATACAATTAATTATGATTTCATTTTTTGAAAATAGTATCACCACATGTACAGTAACAAATGAAATAGCCCCTATATATAACAACTGTTTTTATAATAAAAGCTGTAGTGTATTCTCGAATGGTAAGATATAAAATGTGACATCAGAAACAAACAAAAGGCGTATTGAAATTAGAAATCCGACTTTTATATGAAATGACGAAATAAAGAATATAGGTACATACTACCTTGCTGGTGTTGACTGGCGTTTCTGTCTAGTTTTAACGGAACCAGGCGGACACAGGGGTGTAGTAAATGTTGAATTCGCTGAATGTGGCGTTTCCATCAATCCAAAGTCTTTCACAAAAGATAAAAAAAAAGATTTTAGTGTCTGAACACGTAACAATAACACCCAATAACTGGCTTTCCGAGCCGGGGGGGGGGGGGTGCAATTTGATCTCGTTGGAGCCTACCATCCACGCAAACCCTAGAGTCATCGTCTCAATTGCAATCTAAAGTTCATCCAACCCAAATTCTTTATTTGCTTCCAGAATTCTAATTTGCGTTATTTTATTTTGGCAAACTTATCAGTTACGATACGGAAGTCAATTGTCTGCCCAATTCACGTTCAATATAATAACCTCTTTCGTTCATTACTGCTGGAACTTGTTCAGTATGATTATGCTATGAACCACTTCACATCTTAGTCCAAACCTTTCTAATTTACTTTTTGTTCTTCCATTATACTAGTGAGGTTGCTTTTATTTGGTTTTCCGTGTGTCTTTCAACTAAAGAAAGCTTTAAACGGCTGTAAACAAATCTATTCCTTTTGTATCACGTGTCTTTGGTAAAGGGGGATTAAGATCCGATTTCCACCAAATCGAACCCATTCGATATTTTTGTGTGATAAATAAAGAATCCCCTAAGTAAGAGTCTTTTTTCATATCAAAAAATATCAATAATCCAGGAAGTAAAGGTTCGAAAAGTTAAAAAATCCGGGATCTTCGAGATATAAATACATATTGAAAGTTTCATCAAAATCGGATGAAATTTGTTACCTCTAGTGGGGTAACAACAAAATTTGAAATGTGGACGTATAAAAACCCCAGCTCAAATGAATTTCTTCAGTAATACATCCAGAGGCCCATGCGGATATTTGCTTTATATTGTTTGCGAGAGAGAGACTAGAGAGAGAGAGAGAGAGAGGAGACTAGAGAGAGAGAGGAGACTAGAGAGAGAGAGAGAGAGAGAGAGGAGACTAGAGAGAGAGAGAGAGAGAGAGGGGAGACTAGAGAGAGAGAGAGAGGAGACTAGAGAGAGAGAGAGAGAGAGGAGACTAGAGAGAGAGAGAGACTAGAGAGAGAGAGAGGAGACTAGAGAGAGAGGAGACTAGAGAGAGAGAGAGAGAGAGAGAGGGGAGACTAGAGAGAGAGAGAGAGAGAGAGGAGACTAGAGAGAGAGAGAGAGGAGACTAGAGAGAGAGAGAGAGAGAGAGAGAGACTAGAGAGAGAGAGAGGAGACTAGAGAGAGAGAGAGAGAGAGAGGAGACTAGAGAGAGAGAGAGAGAGAGAGGGGAGACTAGAGAGAGAGAGAGAGAGAGGGGAGACTAGAGAGAGAGAGAGAGGAGACTAGAGAGAGAGAGAGAGAGAGAGAGGAGACTAGAGAGAGAGAGAGAGACTAGAGAGAGAGAGAGGAGACTAGAGAGAGAGAGAGAGGAGACTAGAGAGAGAGAGAGAGAGAGAGGGGAGACTAGAGAGAGAGAGAGAGAGGATACTAGAGAGAGAGAGAGAGAGAGAGAGGAGACTAGAGAGAGAGAGAGGGAGAGGGACTAGAGAGAGAGAGAGGAGACTAGAGAGAGAGAGGAGACTAGAGAGAGAGAGAGAGAGAGAGAGAGGAGACTAGAGAGAGAGAGAGAGGAGACTAGAGAGAGAGAGAGAGAGAGAGAGACTAGAGAGAGAGAGAGGAGACTAGAGAGAGAGGAGACTAGAGAGAGAGAGAGAGAGAGAGAGAGAGGGGGGAGACTAGAGAGAGAGAGAGATTGAGATTTAACGTCTACTCGACACAAATTAGGTCATTTCGGGACTAACATATGATTCAATTTTATTTCAATAATTCGCTTGCGCGTAGGGGTCTTCAGCAATGGGAGGAAACCGGAGGACCTGGAGAAAACCCACCTGGTTGGAAGGCGACCCTACTTCATGTTACGTATAACCGAGGATTCGAAACCACGCCAGTTGACTCAATGACAGACCGTATGATACAGCGCGCACGTGCTCACCATTCGGCCATCCAACCCCTCGTTATATTTGTGTTTTCCATCTCAATAGTAAATCGTCTTTGAGAATATTTTTTATTGTGCTCGTGTTGGTTTGTGTGTCCATTACAGCATTAATCGAACTTATTCAAAACAGAATGTGGTTTACTTACAATACTTTGGCTCTATGGTTTTGTTTGCCATTGTATAAACTGCTGTCAATAATTATACACTTGTATATACAGAGACAATCTATCGCCAGGGCTAAGTTTCTGAAACGAAGGGAACAGATTTAGCCAAATAAATGTTATGGTTTAAGGGGAATGAAATATCGATACTGGAAAGCCGCGAGGTCGAGGTCAATATATATTGAGAAATTCGGGCTCAAATCGCTTTACGCCTTGGCTTTAGCTTAATTCGCATCTGAACAAGTTATGTATAATCAATTATGTACGGTGGGATCTATCCATGAATATATGATCAAGTTTATGTTTATAAATGACTAAATTCGTGTTTTCTAATTAAGCCAAGCGCAATAAAGATGAACTGTTAAAAAGGATTAATTTTAAGAGACACTACTACTACTGTTCTAGATAAGCGTACAGTTTATTCAAGACTGTTAAAATTAGATCGTCTGCACGTGGTATTTACCGGGCGGTACACAACAGTTTGTTTGTCCTACCGACCTAATAAGTAGTAGCCTTTTATTACTATCAGCAGAAACTACTATTTCAGCAAGATTGGAAGTTCAGCATACATAACCCCAGTCAGTTGGGTACCAGTCAAAAACGACTGAAAATATCACCTAAATCGTCAAATAGAAATAATAGGCCTAGTCTAGGCTAGCAGACACAGCAGTTAATTTATTTGTTGACTTGTCGTTTTGCCTTTTTTCTCAGAGTTGTCTCCCCCATGTATGCGCAGTAGGGGTACTCGTTTTTTTCCGTTATTGCTATAACCCAGGCTCCGCTACAACCGTAATCATTAACCTACTTTTTGCCAATTAAAGATATAGCAAATTTTAAAACTTACTTCGGACACAAAATTTTCCATAATATTGGAAATTAAAAATACGAATTAGAATTGAATATTGTAAATATGGGATTTTATTTTCTTCCTAATACTAATCAAATTAGTATATAATATGATAATTTAAAGATGCCTTCCCGTGTACAAACTGTGGGATTTGATGGTATATTTGGACTAAAGCATATTCAAACTAATTTATCTATCAAAGCGTGTTTCAAATCCCTGTCAAAATGTCCCGAAATGACCTAGTTTGTGTCGAGTGGACGTTAAACCCCATATCTCTCTCTCTCAAAATATTTCAATTGTTAGAAATTAAGCAGTCTTGTTTATCACGTGACTTTTCTTTCGTAACACACGGCCAAGCTGAGGAAAGGGTTATTTTCAATCTGTAGTTGTATCCAAATAGCCTACAAACAATATCGAAGCCAAAGTAAATCCAGCGATTATTCGCTTCATACCGTACTTCTTTTTTCACCTTTTTAATCGCGAGCCTGTTGTTCGTTTAAGAAATGAAATGAGTTCGGGTTTAACGTCCTACTTTTCTGCCCCGACTATAGGCCTATAAATGAAGACTTGTCATGAATCAGGACAACGAGATCCAGAAATGTGACCGCTCGTTCAGGAATCCGTTTACAGGCGGTAGATGCACTTCGTTCGATATAACTTTGTGGGTTGTCATACCAAGCCCAGCAGTGCTGCATAGTCTGATAGCTATTTTAACGCTACAATTGATACAGTCTTAGGCTCGATCCTTACGCAAGTTCAAATAGGTTCAAACGCACAATTATTGTCAACACATATCATTACAGTTTGTATTGAAATAAGTAATTCTATCACATAGTGAAGACTGGACCACTAAAATAGTTACCGAACAATTTTTCTTTGTGGTAATGCGTTCTACATTTTCAAAGCGATGTTTCTTATAATGAATGTGAAAGCCGCCATGACACCGGCTAGTTAAATTAAGTTCGTTAGGCGACAAATTTCGCATTGCAGTTGGGTTTAATATCATATAATTGTGCCTTAAGGCTTCACCTTTATTTCAATAGGAATTGGTTTATTATATGTTAAGCTATGTGCAGTACAGTTTTGGGCCAGTTTATGTGTAAATTAAGGCAGCTATAGGCCAGTAACCTTTTCGTAGTCATTTATGACTAATAAACTTGCGCAAAGGAACTCCGTAACACGAGCCACTACTGTGGCTGGAGTGGAATCATTTCTAAGAGTCTGACTGCTTTCCCAGGTCTTTTTTCGGCCGGATTCCTTTCCTGGGGTACACTGTTTTAAATATTGATCATTATAAACATACATGCCTATATGCAAGAGCTAAATCTGCCTAGGCTTATTGCAGCTCTTTCTTTAAGCCTGAAATGTTATCTCAATTATTAATTAGACATTGATTAATTTATCCAGACCATAATCAACTCTCGATGTCATCGCAATAGCCTGCGATATTTACTGGATTAGAATCCGATCTGCTGCTCAACGGTCAACGCTCTCTAGCTGATGATTAAATTTTAAAAACTGGATAATCCAGTGATTACGTTTCTAGTGTAAGGAAAGATTTGTAATATAAGAATCTTCAATGAAAAAAATGGAATTAAACAGTTAGAAGGTTTAATGGATCCATGTGATTTAAAGCGTCGACACATGGATCCAAAATTTTCACAGTCTACAACAGAATACAATACAGAACAGCTGTATTCATCCGCCAAAAAAAATAGTACCTAAAATTCATGTACATTATATAGGTTTAAACGTCAAATGAGGTCAAATGAATAGAGACGTCTTTAATATATACTAAATATTCGTATCATCCCAAATCCCAACAGTGAGAAAAAGAAAAATCTAAGTAATGGCAATCTAATTAACATAAAATTTACGACATAATCGATTCTTCAATGTTTTGATGGTGATCATGAAGAAAATACATCTGTTCTCAGGAATCCGATAAGATTTTCAAAAAAAAGATCACTAGAATTATAGATTGTTGTTCCACAAAGTCGAAAGGTATGTTAGATTTTTCATTCAGTCAAGTTAGAGCGAGTTTATTGCCGTCCTTTGAGCTCCAAACCCGATAGAAATGAAGGCGGAAGTGGCCATAATAGTTTTAGAGATCACTACGTGATGGCGCTCCTGCGTCGCAACAAACGGGGCTGATTTGTCGAGACTATTTTTTTTATCGAACCGACTTTAGTAATGATGATCGAGACTAGGTCTAAAATTCAATCGCGAAATCTCGATTCAGAGTTGGTCAATTTGACTGAAATTGTCAACAAATTCTATTTACATTATCTAGTTTTTAACTATATAGTGAGAGCTGTCAGCTCCTTATATAATCTCCTATAATGTATCTTTAACTGCCTTCTGGATAATTAAAGAAATTTGACAAAAACATTCCTGCCTATAGTTCCTTTAGGAACTGTCTCTTATTTGTAATAAGCTTAGGAACTATCCTGTCTACTAATCAGCAACAGGGTGTGTCAGAGCGCCTTAAGTGTTGCAAGGAAGTGTGTGTTATAGATATGGATTATCTACAAATTATATCTAAAATTTAAATGATTTTATTAAAAAATAACTGAAAACATTATTATAGATAATATTGGAATTGACCAAAAATAAGCTCTTGTTGGTTCTTGTAGGTCTAATCAAACTAAACACTGCGGGGATCTGGTCGGTTAGAAGTAGAACCCCACCCACTTCAGTGCCAATAACTAAACACTTCACCAAGTGAAATAGTGCGTTTAAATGTTGATTTCCTTTAAGAGTTTTGGATCAGTTTGAAATATCCACCATCTATTTCAAGACAACTGAAATGTATCTAATAATTTATTGATTATCGCTTTATCCATGGGCTAAATTATACTTTAGTTAAAATGTATTTCGATTTACGTATTGCGATAAAGATATATAATATATAAGAGCTATATCAAGTTTTAGAGTTGTTTCATATTCAAGGTGCACAACTCTTCAAGTTATCGAATCAACTACAATTTTATGAGAACAAATTAAAATTGTAGCGGTTGTGTTCAAGGACGTTAATCTCTATTCTATGGAATCTTACATTAGATCTTAATGGGTGTAAATGTACAGAGTGTATATAAAGTGATTTACACATTTTTGTCAAAATGTTACTGTAATTTCTAATTATACTCTGTGAAATATGCTAACAGTCCAAATTGAACCGCAGTCGTTTCCGCCTTTAGTCCTTTCTATAGGGTTATTTTCTTTATTATTAATTCGTAGATCAACTATTCTTAATTACTTCTGGGATATGTTACCTTTGTTTAATTACAAATGGCGCTCTAAACCATTATATCAAAGAAGTACGTTGCGTCTCTTGGATCCCTATTTTTGACAACTGCATAAGGCATTAATTTTACACGAAAATAACCCGTGAAATCATTTACCAGGTTTTGTTGGTCACCAGCCTCATTGTAGACTTTCCGATTCATCTCTCAAACGGCTGATACAATAGGTTTTCCATTCAATACTGTGCATATGTGGCAGGTTTCGGTGGACGAGACACACGAATATGCCATTTTCAAGCTGATGGGAATGGACTTGTGCACTCAGATTGAGTATTGCATTTTGGGAGATATCGACTGAGAAGTGAGGCATTGAGTTTATCATGTAGACGCAACACTTCCCATTCATAATTTCAAGCTATGCCCAAGCGGGGATGTTGGATTCTGTAATGTAGCATAATGTAGGAATGATAGTTATCTCTTGACCTTTTGCCATAAACTATTTCTCCCCCCCCCCCCCCCATTGCTTAATTAGCCAACGCAGAAGTTACCCATCGTAGAAATCGGGTCAAGGCATTCACCTGGTCAACACCCAACACAGATTTGAATATTCTAGCTCAATAAGTTATTGTCCCAGCTTTCTTAAAGATACGGGTCATAACAGCTTCCGGAAATCTAGGTTCACTGCAGAGGTCTAATAATATTCTGGTCCCATGACCCATTTATATTTTCAAATATTGTTCTATTGAGAGATATCCTGCACCAAAATAAATCTTGCAACAATTTTCAATTTACATTTGTACGAATATATATATTGTTATAAATAAACACATTTGTACAAGAATTAACATGAAATTTACATACCATAACATTTTTGTGCACACTGTATGGCTAGTTTTTATATGTTTCATGGCCAACAACTTAAAACTTTTGGTCTGTTCAAATTGTTTATTTTTTATTTCATCATATAAAATAACAACAAAAAAATCTTTCAATCAAAGGAAACCTTACATCTGCTATTTCAACAGTTTGATAAAATACTTGTGCAGATGTCTGGTATTTGCTTGAATACATTGTCCGTTTGGCTACATCCCTGTGCCAGACGTTAGTTTCGAGAAAATGCTACATTCTTTTTCAATAATAGTAACTTATTATAAGGTATGCATTAAACATACAATATGCAACTAGGTAAATCTACCTATTGCAAGTCTTTTTTTAGGTCTGAAATGTTACATAAACTATTAGACATTTATTAACATGAAAAGACCTTAATCAACTCTCGGGCCATCTTATGTGTCAGATTTTCATTTGAATTCGATCTGCTGCTCAAAGCTTGATGATTTAATCCAAAGATAGGTTGCCAGGCAACGAAACATACGTCCGCAACAGCTAAATCGTCCGGTCAGTCAGCAAGAGATGTCACATATTTTTACTTTTTTCGGTAATGAAACATTTATAATACACTAAAATCTGACTACGAGTAACAACTCATTAAGTAATTATCAGAAAATCATTAGAATTTGTTTGGTTTTTATAAAGTTCTGCCCCATGCTAAGGTTTAGTGTACGAAACTTTTAATATCATGGATTTAGCTGTTCAAGTCATAAAAATTCATTGAAAATCAATATACTTGTTCGTCTCAAGATCTTAAACTCTGTGTATCAATCTGAAGTCAATAGGATTCTTCGTCTCATGACCTCAAACACTGTGTATAAATTTAAAGTCAATCGGATATTAACTTTAGCCTTTAGAGCATCCACAAGAATTTTTGATGGAATCAAGGGCCATAACTCGGGCAGTAATTATCGAAAATCTCTGAAAATGAATAGACTTTCTTCGTCTCATGACCTTAAACACTGTGTATAAAACACTAAAAATCAATAGGCATCTTTAACACTGTATAAATTTGAAGTCATTCGGATATTAACTTTAGCCTCTTGAGCATCTACAAGCAATTGTGGACGGCGGGAACGACGGAAGGGGGGGCTACGATAATATACGGCCACATTTCAATGTGGGCGTATTAAAATGGATAACCAAGACTGTTTTTTTAATATCAACTCGAGTAATGATGATCAAGGCTAGCCAAAAATTCAATCGCTAATATCTTGGTTCAGAGTGGAGCAATTTAACTGAAATTATTAGCACATACCCTTTACATTGTCTAGTTTTTAAATATTATAATAAGAACAGCTAGCTCTTTATCTAATCTTCCATAATGACCCTTTAATAATGTGAATGTCAATAAGAAGCAGAAATACTGTAGCACTATATCTAGAGAAATGTCTGCGTCAGCCACCTCCATTTCCAGGTTCTCAAAAAATAAAATGATAAATTTGTGGTATAACAATGTCTGTTCTGAACATTTACTTGTTTAGTATAGCCATTAACAGTGATCAATTGAGTGAAAATGGTGAATTGATGAACACAGTGATTGACATATAAATGAAATGATCTGTTGTAAAACTAGTTTATATACACACTTTCAGTTTCATCAAAATTGGTCTAGCATACATTCCTCATTCTGTATATAACATCATTAACAATGTCTCCTGTAGACAATATATCATTAACAATGTCTTCTCAAAATGCATCCTCTAAAAATTCAGTTTCACTGAATGGCAACAAATTTCCAAAAGGCACCATTCTGTTTTCCTCCTCATTATATATACAATATAAAGTATGATCTATATAAATGCCATATGTCTATTGTTGGTTTTAAATATTTCTAAAATTAATCAGAATCTTTTATCTTCTTTTTCTTTTTTTTCTTCTTTTCACTGCCGTCGCCATGACCATTAGGAGAACCTGGAAATATAATCGTAAGTTTTAACCGCTCCATAAAAGAAAAAAAAAAACATGGATCAGAATATATACCAGCCATGAAATTATTTCTCAGACAAATGCCTCAACACATCATTTTTATCATCGTGATGTATTACCAGATAAAAACTACCCAGAATACAACAGTAGATAAATATGACTCGTCATGTACATTATCATCATTGAAATATTCAGCACTGATGTTTCATCAAATAAGAGAAGACTACAAGAATACTCAAATATGTCAATTATTAAGACTATAAGAATACTCCAGTAAATTCATTTGAATTGTGATATAGTCATGTTGTAAACACGGTTTATGAGAAAGGCTCCGGAAACAAAAAGGACGGACGGACAGACCCAATTTCAATATCCCACCCTAACTTTGTTCGTTGCAGGATAATATTCATGTTATAAGCACACGTAGGGTACCATGTAAATAAACAATAAACATAGTAATATATTTATGTATATTAGTAACATTGATGCTTTATAAATTGTAATAATATAACCTATAGTTACCAATAGATTCTTGTGATATATTCATTGAATCATCAGTCGATTGCTTCTTCTTTTTCTTCTTTACAGGTTCTAAAAGATAGAAATAAGCTTAAAAAGTTAGTGGAAATAAGCTTAAAAAGTTAGTGGAAATAAGCTTTAAACGTTAGTGGATGGTTTAAGATATCCACTGCTTGTGAGGTAATCCTGGCTGTCTGTTTTACGAACCCTGGTTGTGACAATCTTTATTTCGTTAAATATATAAGAACTAAATTTATGGAGTCCCAATCGGTTGCTATGGTTATCATTCAATGATTCTATAACACCTACCATCTTCAGTTTCTTCTTTTACTTTAGACGGAGTGTTATTTTCTTCATCTTTCATTTTACGTTTCTTAGCAACTGGTTCTATGGTTGAATCTGCTAATGAATCATATGTTCTTATTTGACTGAAAGAGAAAAAATGTCATTAATACAATTATGAATGAAAACAAATCTACAGTGCCGGACTGGGTCCACCTGTTCCAGACAGGTGGGCCTAAGCCCATTTAAAAAAAGTGGGCCTAAGCCTATAAAGAAACAAGAAAAAAAGAGAAAGAAAAAAGAAAAGAGAAAGAAAGGGGAGGGGGGTGGAAGAAAAAAAAGGAAGGAAGAAGAGGACAGGACACAGGACAGGAGAAAGAAAAGATAGGACAAAAATGACTGACAAACACAAAAAAAGAAGTGTAGATTCTCAAATTCATCTAATGATAGTGCTCTTAGGTCATTCTGTTATCTAATTGTATCAGGAAATCAAAAATTTGCCTCCTTCTGCTTTGGTCTGAAATGCTTGGAAAATGGGTTTGGGGTCACCAATTTTCAAAATTTTCTCCAGACCCCCATCGGACGCTTGCGTGTCTTTGGCGCGCTAGTGACGCGCCTTTGGCGGTTACTTGTGTGGGCCTTGGTCAATGACCTGACAGGTGGGCCAAAGGCACTGACTATACTAAATAGAATAAGGTTAGACCCAGAAATGTTTCTCAGACAAATGCCTCAACACATCATTTTTATCATCGTGATGTAATACCAGATAAAAACTACCCAGAATACAACAGTAGATAAATATGACTCGTCATGTACATTATCATCATAGGAACAGTTTCAAATAACTTTTCAATGTAAATTATTAACATGACAAAACTATGATCAACGAGACAGCCTTGATTGTCAAGCATTGTTGCTATGGTAATAAACAATCTACACTACCTCTCCAGTCTAACTTTGCTCAGAATGAAGTCATTTGAATGACACTTTCAATATACAGTAGAATATGTAGAATAGATACTAGTTGATCGTGACGGTACTTTTAGTTTATTCAATCAGTATTAAATAACGTTTTGTTACGTGTGAAAACATTGAACAGGATTTGTCAAAACAAGATTAATTAAGGGGACTTGCTAGTTGAAAACATACTTTTGACTATAACTTTTGATTGAGTAAAGATAACTAAATGAAATTTGGACAGCTTATTAGGGTTATACCGACTAACCTACAATGAGTACAAGCTAATAATATTACATGTTGTAAAATCCTCACCCTCTACCCGGACGTTTGTGGCTGGTTATCAATCTATGCGTGTAAATTTAGTTTTTACATATTCGTAAGTCAATGATTCATGCAGCAATGAACTTTTTTTAACAGATAACCCTGGGTTAATGTTATTTTCTCAGTTCTTTATCTAAATCTTACATAATGTTCAATCACCACCACCATCTATAATACACTGTATTTTAAAATATTGGTTTAACATTTTACATGCACGCCAGTGTGTACACGGGACCTCGTTTTATGTCATGACCCTCCTTCCTGCACCACTGGCAAAGGAGGGAAACCCTGCTGGAAAATCCCTGAATGAACAGAAAATGGAGGGATGCTAGTTGGGTAAACAAGCCTCGTGACATGGGTAATGTAAATATAACATATTAAAACCATAGAGGTCAACTATCTGTCCAAACCTTTATATCAGTGTTAGGAGCGGGCAGAAACCAGGAGGACCCAGAGAAAACCCACAAGGTCAGACAGTTGACACAAAAACTCCCTGTTATGTTGAAGTGGGGACCTGACTCAATGACCTTGTGATTTCTTAAGCACACGTTAAAACCACCTAACCTCAAACTTTAAGGAAACAAAAGAATCCTATATAAGATTGGGAAGGGATTGGGTTTTGTTTTTTTGATTTTTATAAGGAGGATAATATCTGAACAAATAAAGGGCTATAAATATTAAGTTATTAATTTAGTAACAAAACACATTTCTCAGAAAAATGCCCTCAAAACATTTTTTATGATGGTGATGTTATACCAGAATAAAAAAGTTGATAAATATGACTCGTGATGTTAACGTGCAACACAGTATTTTATACTAATTCTATCAATTGTAAAATAAACAATCAATCTATGTTCTAGTTTGGTGTATTTACCTTTTATTTTCATATTTATCCCACTTGGCTTTGGCTTTACCAGTACCACTTATTCTCTTTGACTGGAAAAAAACATGTTATTCTAAAATTACATCGACCAAAAACAAAACAATTATTCTACACTCAAAAATCATTGTTATATACATTCTTGACAAAAGCCCCAGTGTTATTCAAATTATAATATAATATAAACAAGATTTAATTACAAAATTTCTGCTCTGCATTGCATTGATACAAATGGGAAATAACTATGTAATCCAATCCCATATTTTTTCTGTATTGAACCAATCAAGTGAAAGGAAATGAAATAAAGCGTGGTTTAATATCACAGAGGTATTATAATCGCAATATCTTTCTTTAAGATAACTGACCTTTAAATTAAGTTTAAATTCATTCTGTATGTGACAATCATTGGCTCGAAACCAGACTAACCAGATCAATTACTAAATGCCAATACACTTTCTCGGCCAATGTAGGGATCGAAACAAAGAAACTCCAGGTTAGCGAGCTAATGCCTTACAGTCACCATGACTCCCTAAATATATAACCAACCTAGACTAGTAAGATGAATCATAACGTACCTTTCCTTCTTCTAGGGCTTTCAATCTTAATTCTAATTTCGCTCGATGTTCTAACCCTAGATCAGCGTTAGTGTCTTCACCAAGGGCATCAACTCTGATAGCTAACGAAGTTTTTGATGCTAACATACGAGATATCTAGAAAATAAAATTCATCAATTATGATTGACTGACAAATGTGTAATTTAGTAGTAATGTACAGCTCACGATCAAACTATTGACAACAGCACTCTAGTACAAAGATGGAATCCAATTCACAATTACATAAATAACCTCCAGTCAATCCCACCCTCCAAAATAAAAATAAATCTATTTTACCTTTCCCTTTAATTTGGTTGAGGAATGTCCTACTAAAGAAGCGTGATAAATCAAACCATATTTGGGCGTATCTTTTTTAGTTTTTAAAGCACGAAACAAAGCTTTTTCTGCTCCTAAAATCTGTACAGTGGATGATGGATGTTTAGCTAAATTCATCAATGAACCTAAAATATAATTTATAAATTAACTCATTTCATATGGAAAATTATTAGTGTGTTGGGTAGTAATTACAGATTTGTATGTTTTATGATTAAAATATACAACTTATCCAGTATTTATTTTCAACTTTGATATTATATTTACAAGTATTACTTTAAATGAAAAGAGAACCTAATGACACCGCTAATTGTATAGAGAGATATGGGTTTTATTTCATTATATAATAGCAGAACTGTCTCAGAGGTAGTGACGAAATATTGTTAACATCATGTGATATCAGATAACAATAATTATAGAATGCATCATTGACAGTTCAGCATATACTACTAAAACAACAATTACCCACCTACAAATAATGGTAATATCTAACTGGTTTTTATCTCTAAATCTCCAAAATACAGAATAATTAACTACTGACTGAGCTTCATGTTGTATAACCCAGCAAATGATAATGACACATTTTAGCAAAAGTTGCCCTGCTACGTTCGTAATGAAAAGCAATTCATGTATCTTAGAAATAATTTAGATGATTGCACGACTTCATTCTACGTAGAACAAATTGGTAAATGAAACCATGCGCATCTATTTGCTATTCTTGTTTCACTCATCTCCCACATCCGCAGAGTATGGGGATAGGGGTATACCCCCACCCCTCCCCCAAAACATGTACATACCAAACATGGCAGTTTGTAATCATGAAGTACCCCAAAAATGGTATAAGGTACCATTTGCGGTAGGCCTACTAGTACTCCCATTTTAGTAAACTTTTAGCATCAAAATATCTTTTCTGGGAATTTTGGGAGGTTCACTCCCTTTTTTATAAATTGACTGATGTTTTACCTGCATGTGCAATAAGTCTTGCTCCAACTAATTCTCCTACTAATACAGTAACATTAGGTGCTATGGCAACCATTCTATTTTTTAAATAATCATATAATTGATTTCTATATTCTGTTATATCTATTACCTGTAATAAACAAGACCAAATAAAATAAAATATTCTAATATTACCTTCTGAACTAACATGTCTGTAAAAATGTAGAGTTTATCAGATGTGGTTTAAGTTAAAGGTGATTTTTAATTAATTTTTTTGAATTTAAGAAGTTTCCTACTACTCCATTAATATTTTATTGTTGCCGTGATCATATAATATATATTCAAACTAAAACCCTATAACCTATATATTTCAATCTTCTAATTCTACCTGGTCACACAAATATATTATATTTTCAAGATCTTCTTCAGATATTTCTGTTCCCATGGATATTTCTGCAGCATCTTTGACCTCCTGTTCGACCTCTTCAGGTAGAATGTCAGAGAAATCTGTGGTAGCAGCCGTTGTTCTATCACCTGTTTATAAATACAGGTATGATAAATATCATCAGAGGGAACAGGAGGCAGGTCTAACTTTATTTTAATTAATTAAAATCGCCATATTGAAATGGGTTTACCATCTTTGTATCCCTAATAAGTACTTTTAACATTGTCTTGCTATCAATAAAATGTAAATTAAAATTAATATTTTAGTGGTTGGAGTTGACAATGTCTATAAAAGTAATAAGAAAAACAAAACCCAAATCACTAACTTAAAAAGTAAATAACAGCAAATCTTTAAAGTCTTACCCATCAGTTTGACAGATTTAGCATAGGCTAAATTATCTGTTATTAATTTACCAAGTTCAGGAAAATGCCAACCATACCATTCCCTTGCTCTCATTGTATAGTTATTTAATTCTTTATCTAAATCATCTAATAAAGCTACAAAAAAAACCATGTAAAATAGTTTGGATTACATAGAAACAGATACAGTGTTGAAGACACAACAAGCACAATGGGGCTATTTTCAGAAATACTCAAAGTAAAACAAACTACTTTTAACATTACGACCTAAATTCACAATTCGGTGGGAAATATTGTGCAGTTCCATTGATTTGGTCAGGTTTAGTTAGGGTTAAGCAAATCATGTAGTCAAATTCTTATCATAGGATGATAAGTTTAATCTGAAAACTTTTTGAAAATGTGTTAACTTATATTTGGTATGTTGAGATTTTAGTTGTACATATGAAACTGTCTCAGAGGTAGTGACGAAAACTAGATTTCATCACAGTGTACCAGTTAATAGCATGAATACATCATTGACAGTCTGTTTTAAACGGTGAAATAAATAGAATATCACTTACATATAGCTTGTACTATCATGGTGTCAACCTTATCAGGACTAAACTTTAACTTATACCGAGATAAACTGAAATACAAAAAAATATATTGTCTGTATACAGATGTTTATCATGTGTAAGAAAAGGTTATTTGTCAAAGGATCATTTAAGATATTTTTGTACATAAAGTATTATTTTCCTTCTAAAACAATTACACACAGATCATTTCAATTCAAGATGGGAATTGGGCCTTTCAAAATTCATAAATATTTTGTTCACACATGCTAGACATTCCGATGTATGTGAGCTACTTTTGACAACTCCAGTAGCTGGTTAACATCAAGTGTGACCTACCTGTGAGACATGACAACAACTCTAGTAGCTGGTTAACATCAAGTGTGACCTACCTGTGAGCTAACCCTAGAGACATGGCCATTATCCCTTTCTGAGGTAACCCTGTTATTAAACTTTCCATCTGACTTCGAATACATCTCATCAATTCATGGATGGCAGAGTTTGATACACATGGTAGTTCATATTTATCCTAAAAAAAAAAAAATCAAATCTAACATTAAAGATGATCTCCCGCGTACAAACTGTTTGATTTCACGATATACTTGGACTAAAAACATATTGAAAATAATCTATCAAAAATTTGCTTCAATCCTCCCTCAAAACTTTGTATTTGCCGGCGATACCTATAGCTGTAAATAAACTGTTGTTGGAAGCCATGTCTGTCACCTTAACTTCATATTCATTTACCATAGATATTGAGACCTAAGTAAATTCTTAATTATTTTCTGTCAACTTCTGTTTCAGCCTTTTAATTACAGAGTCTTTTGTATGTTGACACCCCTCAATGTTCTCAAAACCGCCTAACCATTTGATCAAGAAATAACAGCTCCCTCAGTCAAGCTAGCACTCAATAAGCTGGCAGACAAGATTTGGGTTGCCACTTAGTGATACCCTGACATTTTTGCCGAGTGCTTGCCCCATGGGTGTTTTGCGGGTAATCCAGCATTTTTCTAGTAAAATTTTCCATACTTTTATTGGAAATAACCACCCAATTTGCAATTGTTAACTTATACCAACTCTTCCCGAAAGCAAATCCATTTTGTTATATTAGTTTAGAAACACAAAACAAGATGAAAATTATATTTAGTCATGTATTGATGGGATTACCTTTATAATATTTCCTAATTTAGCATCTGATACAGCCAACTCTTCCTGGGCATCTGATGCAACAAGTTTCTTCATTACTTTCTTTAATGTTTTACTCATCTTTCCTTCCACAGCAGCCGTGGCAGCTAAAAACAAATTAATATATACTCAGCCAAATTAAAAACTTGACACTGATGAATTTCAAATTTTTTTTTCTGGTAAGTCAAACAAATTTTTAAGTGTTTCTAACGATAGTAAGTAGTAAGAAGCCTTTAATTTCATAAAATTGTAAAGTCATGTGGATCACGTGACTTTTGAGCATATAAAGATGAAAAACCTGAAAAACACGTGCAAACACAAACTCGTGAGGTCAATAGATGCAAGTTTGCTTAAACTGAACACGCACACGTAACTTGAACAGGAAAAACAAATTAAAATTGTTATTTTCATTTTTGTTAGAAAATGCTGCGCCTTTTAAATGTAGAACGTCTACGTGCTATAGGTAGGCTCTATGCTGGTCAGTCTGTGGTCACTGTTGCAAGAGCCTTTAATTGTTCACACCAGACAATAATTAATCTTAGAATGCGAGTGCTTCAAACTGGAACTATTGCCGACCGCCCAAGGGCGGGAGCACCACGTGTGACGTCACTCCAGGAAGATCAAGCAATACCATTACGTCATCTTAGAAACAGATTTGTCACTGCAACCTCCACAAGTAGAGAGATGTTTGGTGGAAGGGTAACTGCACAAACTGTTCGAAATCGCTTGCAGGCTGCTGGTCTTCAAGCTCGGAGGCCCTATAATGGACCAATATTGACACCTCTTCATCGCCGTAACCGACTTGTGTGGGCCACAAGACATAAGATTTACTCAAAGACAGTGGAATTCGGTTGTCTTTAGTTACGAACCTCGATTCACTTTGAGATTTGCCGATGGCAGGGTCAGAGTGTACTGCAGACGAGGTGAACGTTACGCTCAAGTATGCGTCAGAGAAGTTGATCGATTTGGTTGCGGCAGCCGGTGTCCAAGTCCTGGATTGGCCGTTGCTTAGCCCCAACCTTAATCCTATTGAACACATCTGGGACGAACTTGGTCGATGTGTTCGTCAGCAAGTGAATCCACCACTGACGTTGCATGACCTTCAACATGCTCTTGCTGAGCAGTGGCGACGTTTTCCTCGGGTAGTGTTCGGAGATCCATGAGAAGACGTTGTGTGGCAGTACGAGACGCTTGGAGGCCACAACCGTTACTAAACACATTATTCCGATTGTTCTCCAAGTCTGAATTTCATTTTGGGGGGTACTGTGACATCATGAATGTTATCAATGTCAAGGGTTTTCGGCGAGACATATTCTTGCTTTCTGTTGATGTCAAGGTCGTCTGTGCACAACATACACTAAAATAGTTGCCTTAAACCAAATATTAAAAATCTAGTCCCAAAAATCCCGAGTGTCAAGTTTTTAATTTGGCTGAGTATATAAACATCACATGTCAACATTCAATATACTAGCAAATAAAAACAGATCGACAAGCCACAATATTCATATACTCTTCAAACAAAGTAGGGGATATTGAAATGCAAATACCTATGCAGGTTGTGATATAAATAGTCATGGACATTTGACATGCTTCGAGAGTATGTTCACAGATGAAGAACTTATCACCCCACCAGAACCACTGAGCTGTACATGAGACACGTAATAGCGACATAAACGTGGGAGGGGTTCATTGTCAAATTTGACACTTCAAGGAAGGGTTGATGAAAACTGCCGCGTGCTGGTTTATCTATCCATGTTTGCTTTCCTATTGGTTCTTGCATAAGATTTACTGTTTAATAGCAGATTTTTGCTTTAGTGTGTTACGTTTAATTTGATCGGTAGACGTGTTCAATGTCAATATCAACCGACAACACTGCAAGAAGAGTGGGTCAGATTGCCCCAAATCGTGACTGGACGGTTGATTAGGAGCATGCCACGACGAATTACTGAGGATTGATTCTAGCAACTACTCATCATTAAGACAAAAATCAAAAACGTCCATTTTCACTTTTGACAATGTATCTCTTTGCGATTGAAATGGGGCCGTCAGATAAGCCGCCCATATGAACTGTTTATGTTCATGTGTAGGCAATTGGCCTGTTATTAACATACACTGGTTACCTCTTATAAAAACAGCAGTGCATTTCCACAGTTTTGTATCGTTTGTGAATATCCCCTACTATTTTTGTTTGTGAATATCCCCTACTATTTTTGTTTGTGAATATCCCCTACTATTTTTGTTTGTGAATATCCCCTACTATTTTTGTATCGTTTGTGAATATCCCCTACTATTTTGGAAGGGTATATAATTCAATCCATTTCAATATGTAAAGCTTCAATGTTAATTACTGAGTTTCAAAGTTTACCTGACAAAGCCTCTGTCATGTCTTCAAACTTCTGAAAATGTTTCAACTTCACTCTAAAATGATAATAGAATATTGTTAACTATATGTACTATTAATATCTTCAAAATGTACTTGAAAACAAATCGGTTTAACTATTTCATCTAATTAATAAAAACTACAGTACTCCTTCAATAGAAGTGACATGAAATCAAGTTATTCATTTTTTAATTTCCAACAGCCCTGCATCACAATCAACACTTACACTGTCAATGGCCATCTCTGCCAATTATCATTTAAATGGGTTATCAATAACAGGGCTATCTGTGCCAAGAGTAGTAATAAACTAACTACAATACTGAAGAATTCGCTTTTTATGTTCATTTTGCAGAAATTCTTCTTGGATTATAAAATGCCTTCTATTTGAACTTTTTCTTGTTGGTATTATTAAAAGACAGTTTGCCGAACAAAGAATCATACGTCCACAGCAGCTATGTCGTCTGTACAGTCAACAAACGTTGCATATTTTTTCTTTTGTCAATAATGAAAAATTTACATTACACTCAAATCTGATTAAGTAATTATCAGAAACCATTAGAATTTGTTTGGCTTCTAGTTCTTACCCGTGCTAATGTTTAGTATACAAAATATTTAATAGCATAGATTTTGCTTTCAAATTAGTAAAAAACAATATTGTATGTTTGTCTCAAGACCTTAAACCATGTATAAATTTAATCGAATAACTGGCCTATAGAGCATCTACAAGATTTCTGGAAGTGATCAAGGGCTTTAACTCTGGCAGTAATTATCAGAAATCCTTGCAAATATATAACCAACTTCGTCTCATGACTTTAATCACTGTGTAAAAATCTAAAGTCAAACGGATATCAACTTTACCCTCTAGAACATCCACAAGATATTTCAAAGTGATCACGGGTAATTATTAGAAATCATTGAAAATCAATAGGCTTCTTCGTCTCATGACCTTAAACACTGTATAAATTTAAATTCAAATTCAATCGGATATTAACTTTAGCCTCCAGAGCAGGGATGTGAAACATGCAGCACACTAAGGGTTTAAATGCGTCCTGTGGAACAAATTTCAACAAACTGACATGTTGATAATTCTTAGAAACTAGCTGTGGAAATCATTTATTATTCTTTCTGGTTTCAGTAAAACTCATGATTTCTGTACTGTTTGTCATAGATATCTAAGTTGTATACACGAAAACTTTGTGTATAAATTTGTAACGATTTTAGTCAAATAAATCAATAACATCATTATTTTTTGTATATGTTCAGCCCAATTGATATAAGATTTTAGATCATGTGGCTCCTGAATCTGAATAAGTTTGACACCCCTGCTCTAGAGCATCCACAAGCAATTGTAGACACCGACCGACGCAACAGCAATTTCCATCAGGGTGTATAAAAAGAGTAGCCAGATTTGTTAGAGTTTATAAAAACGTATCTTCTTTGTATTGGTGAAAGTCATTATCAACTCGTTTATGATGCAATGGATTGGAACGGAAAGCTCAACTGAACATCTGGTTTGATAATTACTGAAGATTTAGTCTAGATTAAAGTGTTTTTTACAGATAACTTTTAATAAAATAGACTAAATATGTGCAATTATGCTAATTTAAAAAGTTTCTTTATTGGTGGGAAAAAAAATATATGGTATGAATATAAATAAAAATCTGGTGGATCAAAAATGTAACCCAGGGTAAGAACTGATTACAACATATCTATAAAAATATTACCTTCAATAGTCCCAATCAAAATGGCCTGCTACTTTTTCAAAAATAACTCATGTCTACTTACATCTTACTGGCTTTTCCTGGACTCTCAAAATCATCATACAAATTTTCTGCTTTCTGCAACTTTTTTTCATTTAACAGCTGAAAATTAGTAGATAAATAGGTAAGCTTTGAAACTAGCCCCATACACATCTGGTCTGTCATGGCATCATTAGAATCTTTCCATCCAACTGTCAACAATTGTTTGTGAACATGACAGAGGTTAGCTATCAAACTTGGATAGCATTGTTGATTTTTTTAGGACTTTATTCCAGATACATGTATCATATTTCTTGGGAGGCATAAAAGACCTTTACCAATCTGCTCAACATAACTTTTCTTTTCAACCAAAACATGACAGTGCTCAAACGGGGCGACCTCACCATCCCCCAAAACTGTAAAATCTATGTCAACAAGAAGCAGCATTGCAATAATAGTGAAGATCAAGAAGAATCCTGAAGTTTATGGGTTCCCGAACCTTATCAAACCATGCATCCATGTTGCGTGGCATGTAAGGCAGTTGCTAGCCAGCCGAATGGTAGACGTACGTTAATGACTTATCGCTTGTGCCTACTATTTTATTGTAATAAAGTAATGCTATGGCATCTGTGGGCGGATTCGGATTTCCTTGTGTCAAGCTTTCAGCTAGAATATAACATCTCACCAGCACCTAGGGCTGTACGATATTCTCGATATAGTCATTTATTGCGATATGGTATTTTCAGACCCAACTACGATATCATGTGGCCAAAAATCGTCGATATAGTGGTTTATCGAATATCGCCAAAAACTTCAAATATCGAAAAAAATTATCATAAAAATATATAATAAATACACTATACAGCAGTGGAAATTAGCCGACGGCAATAAACTATAATAAAGCTAATGTTTTGAGAACCGTTAAATGTTAAAAACACTTGCGCAGTGTCCGCAGCCGTTTTTCACTGCATCGTGTATGCGCTACTTTTACTTTGTTTTTAGTCGACAATAAATTGTCAGTTGTTACTACATGTAAAGCTTAGGCCTACTAAACGCCTGAAATTTCCCACTACTGCGGCTAATTACCAGGCTATAAATATGTTGTCATTTTTAAAAAACGAATATTTTTAGAAAACTCTACGAAACCTAATTTCTGAAAGCAAGAATAAAACGATCTATAAATAGATTACTGTCACTGTTAGGCCAGGAATATCGCAGCCAATCGAATGCTTGAATGGAAGATAGTCCGGATCATTTAGTACATGTATTTGTTAAACTGTTTGAACTTACAATACAAGACTTGAAGACCGCATCTACTTAATTCCGCTACATGTGGTATTTGAGAATTTTCTTAAACAAGGTCACAAGCAGACGCTTTTTAAACATCAGCATAGCAAATGACATTATTAAATATCGCGATATTTAACTATATCGTTGAAAAAAATGCCAATATCGATATTGTCCCTTTTTGCAATATCGTACAGCCCTACCAACACCTCTAGTCATTGAGTCTAGCAAGATTTACCCAAATCGACCGTTATTTCAACTCATCATATTCTAATAATTCATATTCATTATTAATAATGTACCATTCTTTATGCCAAATTGTTATTTTTAATTTAAAATAGTAACGTTTCATTGTGTCAAAATGCTCCTCAATGTCAAAATGTGATTTCCAAGCAAGTTTGGAAGTTGTAACCAAGAGATGTAACTTGTGTGTTAAAATTTACACGGGATCACTTGCTTGGAAATCGCATTTGTAGCTTAACCAAGGGCTTAAAACTTAATACGCAACCCCTTTCCGGTAACATAATTTAATATGGGATACCCTACCTGTTCCGTAGAGGGCAAGGTGTCAGCCAAAAGGCAACACTTCCCTGAACAGAACACGGGCCTTTGGATCAGTGATTGGACCAGTTTCTGGCTTTCTGGTATAAGCTTGCAGTACTGTCAATTTGCAAGTAGGGGAACTGTGCTGTAAAGACATCCCAGGTCAGCTTACACTGGCCAAGCAATTATACTACAAATTTTCAAGCGAACGTGATCAGAAAACATAATCTACTGTTGGATGATCCAAACATACATCTATGAAAATACTTGCAATCTGAATAGCGTATGATGAATATCAAAATGATTTACAGATATCATAAATAATGGACATTAAAGAGGCTAAATCGCAAATATTTGGCACCTAGAAATTGACACAAATGGGTCGCAACACATAATGTAATATGAATGTATAAACTTCAATTTACATTCAATCGTTTCCATTTTTACTCTAATTTCAAATCGGTTGTGTTCGGCGAAATACGCCAGAAGTTTCAATCGAATGGCAATCTCTAGCATCAGGTTATTCCAGTCTATACCGATAGTATTTATTGTGCATGTTCTCCAGATATGAGCTTTCCGTTAGACATGACTTTTTTTCCCCCCAGCTTACCTAAATTTTGTTTCGTCATATATGGCCGAGTTATGTAAATTTGTGCGTTACCCTATATTTCAATGGCTTCTGCCAAGCCGTTTAGCAGAAGACGTATTTTTAACAGCATGTTGTGTTGCACATACATGTACTGACACTAGCGAGGTAAACAAAGTGTTATTTTCTCACTAAAATGTTCCTTTACATTGTTCGGGCATTCAGAGACTGACACATGTCTGTTTAGCGGTAAAATGTTGCCCAGTAAAATTGACTGGGGCCGATACTTTTTCAACAAGGATTCAATGGGCCAGTTCCTGAAGATACATGGCACATGGCGAGTGTAATGAGACCTTGTCCTCAGTCCTGTAGCCAGGCTGTAGGATAGGATACAAAAATGACCATTGTAACATGCTTAAGGGTGAATCTCGTGTTTTGATTGGTCGATTAGACACTGTCTATTGGACAACAACACCCCTCTAAATTAGAAAAATCACTGCGTATTAATATTATGCGTACTACTTTAATGGCGATAACCACAATGGAGACAATCAATTTTGATCTCGGTACATTAGATGAAATATTTGGAGATATGCCCAAAGATGAACTTGAAACGCCAACCCCCTTGTCAGGTAACAGCTACAAACAACAAAATATTCAAAAATCTATTACAGAAACATAAATTTTGTTTCAAAAACTACTTTTAAAAAAATAAAGTGAGAATTTCGGGGTTTTTTTGTATGTCTATACTCATACGGCTACTATAGCAACCAGACGATAAGCGAGCCAAATCTAACATGAGCAGCCAGTTACCCCGCTACGTCACGACGTTTTCATTACGTCAAAATTGATTTCTTTGGTTTTTACGTCACTAAAACCGATTTGCAGTAAGACGAATTTTGAAGTTTACACAATAAAATAAGTTCTTTAAAAATTCTAAAAAATAGCATGTTACAATGTCGATAAACACCTCCTGTTTCGCACTTAGAGGGGTGTTATTGTCCAATAACGCGTCTTGGGTCCTAATGATCTCAGGACATGTCTATTGGACAATAACACCCCTCTAAATGCGAAACAGGAGATGGGGTTTCAGGTCACGTGACTTTAACGTGAAATTGGACAGCCGGTGGCTGAAATATAGCCCACTTCAATCTACGATTCTGAATTACTATTTTATGTAAATGCATTACTAGCAATTGTATTGCAATAGTTTAATATCAATCTCAATATCTGCAAACATTCAGGCTAAAAAAATTATCGAAATGTAAGCGAAATTACCGTTTGTTTACACGAGACGCTCACGGGAAAATACTGATCTGACGTCACGCGGCCTGAGATTTTCCATTGCTACGACTCACTTCATTGGTGAATCCGCACCTTAGTTACCGGCGGATTTTGATATAGAACCAATCAAACGATAGATAACATTTTTATGGTTATTATGGTTGTTGATACCACGTGATCGGACAAGTAGACCTGTAGAAAATGGGATTTATCTGTTTTGACGACTGAAAATTGCCAAATTTCGACTAAATATAAAAAAACTTTCTTGAGGTATCATCCAGATTATAAATATTTGACATTATCATTCAAATTATTACGATTTTAATAAATTTTAGCTGACAATAACGTGCGGATTTCAGTTTTAAAATTGGTACTAGCGATTCTAAAGGGAAAATACCGCTTTACGCTTATGACGTCACCCAAATATGACTGAAAAGCACTTATTTTGGTGCCATGACACGCATTGACTGGTATAGAGCATTTTGATTACATTATTGACTTCGATCTCGGATTTTAAAATTCCATAACTTTGGATCTAATTAGAATATTTTGATGAAATAAAAAAATTGGGTAGCATTTTATGTATTTTGACCTGAAACTTTGACCTGAAACCCTAAACAGGAGGTGTTTATCTCCTAATTGATTGACATCATGAACATCATGTATATCATGATCATCATGTACCTCATTATATTGAGAGGTGTATAGTATGCTCTGTGGGTATGATAATCACTAAATAACGATTCTGACCACATTCCGATTATGGCATGGACTCTCGAATACTAGAAACCGAATAACCCGTATTATCAACTTACAGAGCACGTGTTGTTCAGACACCACACAGAACCCAAATATTTTCAGGTAAGATATGATGACGCAATTCTTAACAACCAAAAACTATAAACCTAGTACATTATATTTTGTTTTTATCATTTGGGAGTTGTTTTGTTATACCTTAAACACGGCATAACCCGCCGCTGTTTCAAATAACACCAACATGTTTACAACTCAGCTCCAAAACCTCGTGGCTTTTAATAAACATTATACGCATGCGCAAATTGGTAGGGAATAAAAATACAGTCCATAATAAGAAGCGAAGCGCAAAATTAAAATTAGATCAAACTATCACCATTCAAATATATATTGATAATCCCCGGAAATCCTTTAAAAATCAACAGTAGGGTTTATTTTTAATGCATGTTAATAAATTGAATATCAAATTTTATGAATACTTCTTTATTCGGATATTATTTACCGCTTGAAATTGCATTCATCAATGTAGTCGTTGTTAACTAATATAAGAAATCAGCATAATATTAGATACTAGAATAATCTGGACTACGAATACTGACTTCAATACTTCCGCTTTAAGGTGAAGGAAGCTAATTTGTAAGAAATGAGATCACGAATCTGTTTTGACACTTGCAAGAAAAATGCAGAAGAAACCACCGAACAGAATGTAACGTGGAGATTACATTGAGAATGATATAAGTCTTTTACGGCTTGGGTGAGTATTGAATGTATTTTAATTTTTGGGTGAAAGTACAAGCTCTTTTCTTTTGCTTACTTGATTGAATCGAATACCGAATAGGTCAGTGTTTTTTAGTTTATTCAATAATTTAGGAATATAATGTTAGTGACTGGCGACTTGGCTAAGGTGTACAAATATTGTGCTGGGAAATAAAAATTCAACAATCATGAAATGAGGAAGATAGTTACGCCTTTATGTAGCCTACATGTACCTTGACCTTACTAGGCTTACATGCAAGGCCTTTATTCATAATTCATGACATAAGATTAAGAAGCTCATGTGGATCGCTCACATAACTAACACAGATTCAATTTCAGATTTAATTCCAGTTGAGTGGATATTAAAATCTCTCAGCATGTAGGCCTACATGTTTGGTGCATTTTTCAGTACTCCGAAAGATTGCAATCTGCATCATGGCCGTTTTGCGCAGAATCCTCTTTGTCCACGTAAATTTAATTAGACCCTGCGAGCGCCGATTTTAATCTGCAAGTATCACACTGGTGTGCATATTGTCAACTTTGCTTGATTACTCCTTGGATGTTTTTAAATACGAAAGTAGGGCGTCAGACGCTTTGTGTAGCATCTGTTCTATATCGACTTTTGACCTGTAAGCTTAATGAATTTTCAAATAATTTTCAAAATCACTGCATAATCAGCGTGTGTGCTTAGGATAAGATAAAAATTTGAGACCATCGTATCTCATAATCTTCATTATTATTTACGTCAACTGATCATGCGACTAACTGTCAAAAATATTTGCTGTAATTACCATAAATGTCGATGTTATTGTTGTATAGTTGAAATAACAAACAGTCGACACATTTTTAAATATTTAATAAAAGTGCAATGTATGTGTTTCTGAATTCTGGTTAAGTGGTCAAAAATCCTCAGATACATGTATGTGTGAGCTGTTGGGCTGTGACGCAGTAAATATTTGGCCAGTTCCCACTTACATGTAACTGTGCGATCATATCGGTACTTATCTTTTCATATCACCCTGCTAGTATTCATACCACTAAACGGACGGTCACCAAATTCATTAAAATGAATCAAACTAACGAAGTGATCCATGGTGAATACCGAGTAGGATTAGGATTATTAATGTGTAAAATAGCTTGATTTAAGGATACTTTCCCATGTACAAACTATGTGATTTGATGAAATATTTGGACTAAAAACATATTCAAACTAATTAATCTATCAAAAATTTGATTCAAATCCCTCTCAAATCTTTGTATACTCTTCAAAAAAAGTAGGGGATATTCAGAAAGAATACAAAACTGCGGAAATACACTGCTGTTTTTATTAGAGGTACCCAGTGTATGTTAATAACAGGCCAATTGCCTACACATGAACAAACAGTTCATATGGGCAGCTTATCTGACGGCCCCATTTTCCTCGCAAAAGTGAAAATGGACGCTTTTGATTTTTGTCTTAGTAATGAGTAATAGCTACACCAATCCTCAGACATTCAGCAATTCGTCGTGGCATGCTCCTAATCAGTTGTCCAATCACGATTTGGGGCAATTCTTGCAGTGTTGTCGGTTGACGTTGACATCAACGAATACGTCTCCCGATCAAATTAAATGTAACACACTAAAGCAAAGATACGCTAAACAGTAAATCTTATGCAAGAACCAATAGGAAAGCAAACATGGATAGGATAAACCAGCACGCAGCAGTTTTCATCAACCCTTCCTTGACGTGTCAAATTTGACAATGAACCCCTCCCACGTGTATGGACATCGCCTTAATCCATTAAATACCCTGGGCAGACTTAAATCCATGTGCGCAGATTTGACAGAAATTTGCTCATGCGCAGGGGTAATCTGACTGCGAGGTGAACTTTGCGTCGAACATACACAAAGCGCTATATTAAGACCAATACTATGAAATAAAATGACGTAGCATGATTTACCCAATCCACCCAAATTTATAGGTATTTCGCTGCCAACGGTACTATAATAATTTACATCGATAATTGATAATATGCTGTTATGCCATTCTTTATGCCAAATTGTCATTTTTAATTTAAAATTTTGTCAGAAAATGCTCCTCTATACAATTTCCACGAAGTTTGGAAGTCGTAACAAAGGGACATAACAGTGTAGTAATACACAAATCTACCCAAGACCACCTTTATTTCAACATCACAGTTGGACACAAAAACGCTATGATTTTAAATTAAAAATAACAATTTGGCATAAAGAATGGTACAATAATCAATAAAAATTATTGTAATATGATTAAAAACCACAGCATGCCCATAGCTATAAGAGTTTATGTTGCTTTAGTTTTTTCGTCAAGTTTTGGATTCCATCTCAATAATTAATAATTACCTCATGTAGCATGTTGTTTTCAAAAACTCAGGTCATGAGAAACATACAATTAATTAACCGCGGCCTAACTGTGGATTTGGGTAAATCTTGCTACGGAAAACAAATTATGAATTGTGTGTGTCTTTGTGCACATAGGCATGTGTAATAAGATGAATCAGTTTTTAATGACATTTGATCTGTAAATTTTTAATGACATTTGATCTGTAAATATTTAGTTATGTAGTTATTAAAGCCATTGATCTTCTCAATATGCAGGACATTATAGTTATATAAGGTACATGAACAACATCCTTTTATTCAGGCTTGTCCTAAAATCTGTTACCATTTCTATTCATCAGGTAAGGAAATTATGGCTGAAGCAAATCTTGCGACTTCAACTCCAAAGAAGAGTCAAACTTTACCACCAAACACCCACCTTTCACCAGTTGTTGGTTCTTCAAATGGAAACTTCTTCACCAAAATAAAGAAAATCTTTCGATTTAACAGCAAGGGTAAATATGATTTTGCAAGTGCTGAATTCCACCCAAAATCTAGAAAGAAAAGAGATGAATTTGACGATGATTTTCGTCGTGGAAAACCAGCTTTGAGGTCAAGCTCAGTTCGTGTAGCACATCGTAATAGTTTTCTTGATAAAGAAGAGGTGGTGTTAACATCAGAAGGACGAGTATTACTAAAAGAGAGTCTCCTTCAACCAGCTTTAAACCAAGAGCCCACATCAAGTTTATCTACTGGGGTAGGGGCTGAACTGGAAGATGTATTTGAGGAACCAGGCTACGAAAGTCTGGATGAAATTCGACGTAAAGTTATAACACATGAAGAGAAAATAAACACAAAATCTTTGGTTCAACGGTCTCAATCTGAAAAACTTCCACCAGCGTCAAGGGATCTGTTTTTAGAGAAACATATGAAAAATTCTATTCTTAATAAAACATCACTATGTGTAGATCATGTTGCAGATGATTCGAGTCGTGACAGTGGATTAGGAAGTCCTCGTACTGATGATCGAACTAGAGACAGAAATGTTAATAGTGCTACCAGTTCTGTATTTAGTGATACTACTTTATCTATAGGTGACGCTAACATTGATCTCCAAAAAGAGGAAGGCATCAAACCTCAAAACAGACCTAACAGCTGTCCATGGCAGAAACCTGCTGTTGATGTCAGAAATCATGAAACTAGACATAGTTCCGATTTATCTAATACCAAATCTGGTGAAACCGAGGAATCACTGTATGCTAACAGTTCAATATTAATACGCAAACGATCTCAATATCAGTCGGATAAATCAGTTAATCCAAAATCATCTGATTTGAGTTTACCAAGAGACAGACGTTCTGATTGTGACACAGGAAATTTACATCAAAATCTAACTGGAAAATGTGTTTCTGAAAATAATTTATCAAATCAAAAGTTGGTAATAAGTCGAGCATTTTCAGTGAATGAAGCTAATAATATGCCCCCTCCACTTCCGCTCAGACAATACACAAAATCAGAAGCTGTTAATATGGTCGCAGATATTTCTAAACCAACCAGTGATTGTGACCCTGCTACCCCACACCAAACAGATCATGTGACTGATGATAACTTTAATGATACAGAAAATCTTAAATCTGGTTTTGCTATTTATGAAGACATTGACTCGACCCGATTATCGGCCAATAAACTAAAAAATGATGACAATGAGAAAAGAGATGAGAAACCATCATCATCCTGTACAGTCATTCACTCTGATAACCCTGACAGTCATCCAATATCTCAATCATTACAATTACACAAAGATAAACTGTGTACTACCTCAACTGAGTTAGATTTAATGAAGAATGATGGTCATCTATTTGCAGAATCTGAAACTGTTCCCGGTCGTCAAGTAAGTAATTGTGATGTTGAAAATAAAACATTCGACGTTCATGATTTCATCGCTAAGCAAGATTTTAGTCCATTGATCATTGAAAAGGGTGCATCATCAACATCTTTGAGTAAAGAAAGAAGTGTAAATTCCAGATTCTATGGTTGTGAATTTGACTCCAATGAAGTCGAAAACAAAAATTCTATTGTTCAAAATTCATGTTCTCATGTGAAAGATAACTATCGTCATTCATCATCATCATCACCTAATTCTACCACCAATCTTATATCAAATATCAACATATCAAACCAAAGTGCTGAAACCATTACTTCCAAAAATTGCAATTCAGTTCGGCAACAAAGTAGCAATGTCTTAGAATTAAGGAAAGACCTGAACAGTAAAAATAAACAGAATAATGAATATCAATGTGCTGACACAAGTCTGACTGACACAAATCTGACTGACACAAATCTGACTGACACAAGTCTGACTGACACAAATCTGACTCACACAGATGGACGTTGTTGTAATGAAACTGACACAAATCTGATTAAATATAATTCTGTAGAAGAAGATAGTTCTTCAGGCCTGTGTGATTTCCAAGACGTTTTACCGCCACCACCACCCCTTGATTTACAAGAAGTAGATGAAATGATTGCTCAGATTCGATTAATTGGCAATAAAAACTCAAATAAGAAAGGAAGTGCTAAAAATCGTCCTGTAAGTAGCTCACATATTGAAGTACATAAATGTATCCCAAATGTCACTCACAACCAAAATGGCGCTGGTGTGTCTGTGTGTGAGGATGAATCGAGTGAAGGTAAAACCACCGCTCAACATACTTCCTCCAAGAAAATTCAATTCAAGGAAAAGGAAGTAATCCATATGTCATGGTCGGAACTACAGCTTCAGATGCGTGATAATCAAAGAGATAGTAGTGCTACATGTATCAGTAGTGGTGAAGAGGCAGATGAAAGTAGTTCTGCAGATGAAGAAATCAACAAAGTTATGACTGGTAAGTTTTGGATTTATTGTCCCCCGCCTTTCGAAGAAAGCAGGGGACTATTAAAATGGGCTCGTCTTCCTGTCTGTCCGTCACACTTTTTGGGACACAATAACTCTCCTTCTTATTGACCTAGAATGTCCGGGAACGAGTTGTCAGGGGACAAATTGCCCGGGGACGATTTTGTCCTGTACCCATTTAACCAGTTATCCCTGGTTTGGCTTATATAGATTCAAAATTATTTTATTATTATTTACACAAAGGTTGCTACCAACATAGTTATAACTGACTTTCTTTAAACTTAAAATTATTAAACTTATTATTAGAAACAGTCTTAATGAGCAACAAATATTAGTTTAACAGCTGACTGATTACCTATAATAACTAGTGGTATTATAACATGTACCTGTTGTATTACATGTACCTGTTGTATTACATGTAATATGTATAACTGGTGGTATTATAACATGTACCTGTTGTATTACATGTAATATGTATAACTGGTGGTATTATAACATGTACCTGTTGTATTACATGTAATATGTATAAATATAATGATATAGATTAAATATCTTAATATTTAATCTATATAAGAATAGCACCAGTACCGGGTAAAAGTTTTTAAAGAAAAAAAGAAAAGATTATATAATATTATTTTTAATTAGAAACTTAACATGTACATACATGTAGGAGATTAGCTGTATTTTAGATGTCTTTCTGAATGAGATTTAGATTTTTAAGTTGAGCAAACCTAAATAAGAATACAACCTCAGTGAATCTTGCTTTTGTTTGTTTTGTCTTGTCAAGTATTGTTTACGAATGTAATCCTCACTAATCACTTTGAAAAACACAAGAGTGTCAAACCCTTATAGCTCTGATCTTTTATTAACTACTTTATTGTCTAAAATGATTATGGTGTTGATATTCGGTAGTTTCCTCCCTATTGAAATAAAACTGAACCATGTGTTAGTCCCGAAATGACTTTGTGTCAAGTGGATGTTAAACCCCATCTCTCTCTGTGCTATTCATTAGTCATAAGTCAGGAGAACTATTACATGTATTTAACAGTTAATTTATTTATTGATGTTAAACCTATTATGAGGATACATGATAAAACCTAACGTACATGTCCATTTAAAAACTAACGTACATGTCCATTTAAAAACTAACGTACATGTCCATTTAAAAACTAACGTACATGTTCATATAAAAACTAACGTACATGTACATGTCCATTTAAAAACTAACGTACATGTCCATTTAAAAACTAACGTACATGTCCATTTAAAAAATAACGTACATGTCCATTTAAAAAATAACGTACATGTCCATTTAAAAAATAACGTACATGTCCATTTAAAAAATAACGTACATGTACATAAAAAGTAGGGGGGGGGGGATGGCCGAATGGTTAGCACATGCGCGCTGTATCATAAAGCCTGTCATTGAGTCAACTGGCGTGGTTTTGAATCCCTGGTTGTACATGACTAGGAGTAGGGTTGCCTGTCCAATCTCATGGGTTTTCTCCGGGTCCTCCGGTTTCCTCCGACTGCTAAAGACCCCTACGCGCAAGCAAATTATTGAAATAAAATTTAACATTGTGTTAGACCAGAAATGACCTAGTTTGTGTCGAGTGGACGTTAACCACCATTTCTCCTCTCTCTCTCCCCATAAAAAGTAACGTACATGTCCATTTAAAAATTAAACATACATTATGCAAGAGCTAAATCTGATTATTGCAAGTCTTTATTTAGGCTTCAGATGTCATAGAAATTATAAATTAGATCTTTATTTACACAACAAGCACAAAATCAACTCTGTAGACCCACGGATGGATTTAAACAGGATTTCATTGGTTGATTAAATTTTTGAATGGCATCTTAAGCGGAGATTAACCGTTACGCTGAGTCATACGAAGCGAGGCCGCTGTTGAGCGAGGTCGCGTGTCAGTCAATTTGATAGAAAGTTCGATATATACGGCCTTGATATTATGTTAAGTTGTGGTTAAAATGAGAGTCTGGATGTCGGTATTATACACTCTTTTGTCACTTGCGTTTACAGAAAAATTATGGAAATGATAAACATCGCAACTGACATCACCCCAGTTGAATTGCAGTCCCAGTGGATCACTGTTTCCTATTTGTCTGCTTCGGGAGTTACGTAGGCCTACCAGTTACAGTACAAGTGTACACGCAGGCTAACAAGAAGTCGGCTATAATTATGCCTCATTGATTTGGTCCATTCCTTTCAAACTTTCGGTTCTAATCTATATATTAAAAAAAAGTCTTATTTTTAATTTGTAGTAAAAATAAATGTGATACGAATTTAATTGAACCCCGTCTCAAACCCGAATAGGCTAACAGTCTTATTTTTAATTTGTAGTAAAAATAAATGTGATACGAATTGAATTGCAACCCCGTCTCAAACCCGAATAGGCTAACAGTACCACAGCCATTGAAAACGTTACTTGATAATCAAGATTATGTAGGTGGAGTTAACGCCTGTCAATCAAATGATCAGCCATTCTCGGAGACGGTGAAGAGAGAGTTGACTCCTATTTCTAGTCAAAAATTACAATGGTGATAACTTTGTTCAGGATAAAGTAATTTGACTGAAATTTTCAATATATTCTTCTTTCATAATCTTTTTTTGAACTGTTGTTATAACAAGAATGGCCAACTCTCTTTTAAAATCTCCCATAATGTATCTTTAACGTACATGTCCATAAAAATTAATGTACGTGACATGTCCATAAAAATTGTAAAAGTTTTACTAAGAGGGTGAGTTTCTCGCCTTCACATACATTACATCATTTTACACAATACATTTTTGTTGATTATAAGTTGTAAAATTACCAACCAGATACATGTATGTGTACATTTGTTATATAAAACCTACATACATGTAGATAAAGCTAGGAATACTGATACATGTAGTATACTTGTAGGCCTACTGTATTGTCACAACTCAAACTCAGAAATCTGATTAATTTTGTATACATGTTAATAGTTATAGTTCTCATCAATTTGTTGGTATGACAAAACAACATCGGGCAAACTTGTGTTACTTTAACATTTGACAGTGTGCATGTTCAAACTTGGTGTAGGTGTTTATTAGGTGATATGATGGAGTTTGATGATAAACATTGTCTGCTTACGGTAAGCAGAGATAAGCAATCTGATTGGTTGATGCTTTGGAGAACGATAATTTTGGTTTTAATTATGTGAGTGTGATGAAACTCTGGGTATAGATTCATTATATCATTACCTTGATTAATTTAGGTTGATGATGAGACTATTCTGCTTAGGCTAACGAGCGATAAGGAATTTACTGGTCAAAACTTTGGAACACAATAACTCTGCTTTTAATTGAGGTAGAATGTTTAAACTTGATGTTGATGTTCATTAGGTGAATGTCCTGACTGAGTACAATGATTAACATTTTGAGCTATTTAAAGCTAAGCAGAGCTAAGTAATTTCATTGGTCGATGCTTTGGGACAAGATAACTTTGATTCTATCTGATAGAGAGTGGTGAAACTTAGTGTATAGTTGATAATCAGTTTGATTGTTTGATACTTTTGAAAGAACTAAATGTGCTATTACATGTAATTAATAATAATATGTGTCATCTATTTATTTTGGGATTTCGGCGGGGGACATCAGCCTCAATGTTGGCTTGTTTAGATAAAATTTCAGGCTTAAAAAAAACCTTGCAATAGGCAGATTTACCTCTTGCATAATGTATGTTTAATTTTACAAGATTTCAATGACATACATGGATACATGTACTACTGTCATACCGTAAATAGATACTATAGAAGGAAGTATTCCTTGAATGATATCGTTGAATTGAAATGGAAATAGACTATTTGATATTATGTATAATAATAACAAACAATGAAATGGGAAGAAAGTTATTTTTATATCACATTAAGTTTTAAATGTTTAATTTGTTTGTTTTTATATCGGACTCCTTTCCTTGATGGTCAATGTATAATCACGACTATCAGTGTTTGAATTTCTTGTATTATTGAATATTGATGCATAAAATTTGACTGCACTGCTCTTTAGTTTGAATCTTAGACATGGCAATGAAATGGGAAGAAAGTTATTTTTATATCACATTAAGTTTTAAATGTTTAATTTGTTTGTTTTTATATCAGACTCCTTTCCTTGATGGTCAATGTATAATCACGACTATCAGTGTTTGAATTTCTTGTATTATTGAATATTGATGCATAAAATTTGACTGCACTGCTCTTTAGTTTGAATCTTAGACATGGCAACACACTTAAAGATACCCATATAAGGTGATCGATGCAGGATGATTACTCTTAAACATACATTATGGGAGATTAGATAATAATAGTAAAAAACTAGAAATTGTAAAAGGGAATTTGCTGAAAATTTCACTCAAATTGATCCACTCTGAACCGAGATTTTAGCGATTGAATTTTTGGTCTAGCATTGTTCATCATTACTTAAAGGACAATATTGGTGCCAGTCATTACCACATACATGTATGTGATAGAGCTGGTTAAACACATTCCAAATATAATTATTAGTGAGCAGAAATTCGGCCGTGTAAATGTTATCACTCGTCACATCAGTCAGTTATATAGAGGTATGACTTGTGTTTCCCTTTGGCGTTCGTCACTTCCGATTCAGGAAACCTGTATTACTCAGCTATCGTAGCAATGATCTCTGTGTTAAAATTATATTTGGAACGTGTTTAATTAGTTCTATCACATATGTGATAATGACTGACACCAATATTGTCCTTTAAGTCTGTACGATAAAAAACATAGTCTCAAAATTCCATTTCACGATTCAATCATGAATGGAAGTCGAACAGCAAATCGGACCCTAATCCAATAAACATCGCAGGCTAGTGATGATATCGAGAGTTGATTGTGGTCTGGATAAGTTAATTAATGTCTAATTAATAATTTAGATGACATTTCAGGTCTAAAGAAAGACCAGCAATAGGAAGATTTAGCTCTTGCATAATGTATGTTTAAGTATAAAAGGAGGATAGTAAATACATGTAGATTGTACTCTACCTTTGCTGTATGCAGAATAACTGGGGTTAGACTTTATAAAGCATACATTTATAAATTTGGTAGCAGGGTTGTGTGACCGAATAGTTTATAATATGCACATTAAATCACAAAGTCAGTCATGGATTCAACACTCCTACATGTGCCTGACAAGGAATAGGGTCGTCTGTCCAACCTTGTGGGTTATCTCTGGTTCCTCCAGTTTCCTTCCACTGCTAAAGACACCTTACACACAAGTGAATTATTGAAATAAAATTGAACCATGTGTTAGTCCCAAAATGACCTAGTTTGTGTCTCGTGCAGGGTTAAATCTCTCTCTCTGAATCATAATCTAGACCAATGTATCACCCACATGAAACTAACAAACATACATACAGTGTTTGGTAAAATTATACACATTTTTAAAACGATATCATTAAATAAACATACAGCATCAAATGAATTGAAAAGGAAGTCACTGTTTTTACATTAATCACTTATATGACAAGTAAATTATTTTATTTAATCTTTTGTATCTTTGTGGATCAATTGAATTATTATATTTGATGTATTCTGGGTCCTGGGATGATAAACCTAAAACATACATGTATACATTCATTGGTGAACCACTTTTAACTGACTTAAAACATACATTATACAAGAGCTAAATATGCCTATTGCAGGTCTTCCTTTGGGCTTTACATGTTATATATAAATTATTAATTAGACATTATTTAACATGACAAGACCATAATCAACTCTCGATGCTATGTGATGCATCCGATTTTCATTAGATTTGAATCCGATCTGCCATTGATGATTTATTGCAAAAACTGATAATCAAAACTTTGGTTGTTACTGTAACAACGGTAACAGTGACAATTAAGCCTACAATGTTATTAAAATGAGTATTTCTCAACTTAGAGTGAAGTACATGCAATTTGACTGAAATTTTCAGCATATTCCCATTACATAATCTATTATTAGCGTTATTTCAGTTATCCAATAATGACTTGTGGTTTCTATGGCCATTTTGGATGCTGAACACGAATCCATCAAAATTTTTGACCTAGGATGACCTTTGACCCTGGATAATTCAATTTATTCAAAATGGCGGCCAAATTTCATGTTTTTGGACAGATATGTTATAAAAACACCGTCAAATATGTCTATACTTAGATTTCAGAGGCAGGAAAGAATGAAAAACAACATTTCAGAACAGAATCCGTCGGAATTCTTTACCAAGGATGACCTTTGACCCTGGAAAATTCAATTTATTCAAAATGGCGGCCAAATTTCATGTTTTTTTTCATGTTTTTGGTCAAATATATACTAAACATACTGTCTAATACCTCTACATATAGGTTTAAGAGGGAGAAAAGCACAAAAAACAACATTTTAGAACAACAGTTGTGAAGCATCTAAGCTTTCAAACTATCAAAAACTACGAAAAATCATGAGAAAAAAAATCTCATTTTGTAGCAAAATTTGACATTTTATTGAAAACAATACTTTCCAGATTCATACGCTTGACATGGTAAACAGATTTTCACACAACAATTCAGTTTATATCGCCAAATGTCATGCTCTTGCCTTAAAGCGTTCTTTATAGAGTTCCGTAAAATTATCCGTCATTTCCTTGCATCTGTAGCCATTCCAAGAGCTATTTGGCTGATATTTTCGTCTAAGTAAACGTTCGGAAATCGTTGAAAAAGAGCCTTAAAATCGAGCAAAAAAGCCAGTTGAACATGCGACTCGAAAATTGTCAAGGCGGGCGAGGCATTATGATGGGAAAAAAGACGAATCTATTCCCTAGCCACTTCACTATTTAAGCCTTGTAACTTGTACTTTGTACTGTCCACACATGAAACAATGCTACATCAAGTTGCACTCATGCACGTCGGTGATGGGCATGAGTGTATACGCTGCCGATTCCACAAGATGTCTGTCTATAGTCACTCTATAGGATTAGGGCACCGTCAGCTAAACAACAAGAATTCGTTTGCAAGTGGAAGCATTAATTAGACCAGACTGGTGTGTTTGAATCGATGGTTTGAGTCATTTGGGATCCCTGCAACGGGTTGGGAACGGACTTATTTGGGTCTGAGAAAGGGCACTGTTGAAAATTAGGGGGGGGGGGGGGCGCCCCCCCTTAAATCCGCCTCTGTACATTATGTTTATCTCAGGACATATGTTTACATTAGGTGACAAAGTTATAAGCAGAGTTATATTTACCATTGTCTAAACTCCTGGTGTTCTAACAATATTTCCAAGTCATTTCTAATCTCTTAATTTTTGTAAAAAAAATAAATATAGTGGGAGTTTAAGTGTAAATGTGCCACTGTACATTGGTTATCTAGACTTGTGTTGCACTAAAATAGATTTTTACTCAGCTGGCCACTAATAAAACAGTAATATGATATAGTTTATGTAGATTTATCAACAGTTGATATTCTGATTAATAGTTTTAACAGATGTAGATGGACTACTGATTTTATGATATTCACAAAGTTCACAAAGTTCAAACCAAACAGATTCTAAGAGAATGCAAAAATACTCAACATGTAATTTATTGAGACATATAACATTGGCTTTCGATAGTTCCAAGATGATTGACATTCTCTTTAGCATTTTTAGGGGCGTACATATCAATCTGAAGATGTTATTAACTTGCCATTGTATTTAACGAGGGTGTTGGGCTCTGTTAGGTAATAATGGCCCCAAATATTCTACTGTTTCTGTAGTGCAAATCCTATAATATTTCTGTAGGAAAATACTATAGTATTCTGTAGATTATTTATAGTGTTTTCTGTTGTAAATTCTACAGTTATCTTTTTGTCTTTAATCAAGTATTGTGAACAGACTGCACAGTTGTCTTCCGTTTCTTGTTAATGCAAACTTCTAAGAAGGTGTTACATTTATACATGTACATTGTATTTAAAATTCAGCTAATGTTCAAACAGTCTTCTCTTGGGGTTAGCTAATGGATAATGAAATTGACTTTCCAGCAACAGAAATTTAAGGGATCGTTAACAAGCAACACCTTAGAAAGATAACAGTTTGTTCGAGTTTAACGGGTCGTTTAAATAAATGAGTTTTCAGCAACATTAACATAATGAAATCAAACAATTTTGATCCTTATAGCAAAAATAGTAATTTTTTTTTTTTGGGGGGGGGGATGTCATAAATGATATTTATCTACATTTTATTCTACTTGTTAAAAAACAAATTCATCATTTTATCATAATCAACATTATTTTGAAGATAATTTGAACAATTGCGAAGATTCCCTACATACATGTAGGCCTAATAGGATGGTTTGAGGATGTTTGCTTTTATAGTTACAATTACACCCATTCCGGAAAAAAAAATCAGTGCTGGTAGTGTTTAAAATAGGTGTAATTATAACATGTATGATGTTATACCATATACATGTATGATGGTATGGTATATTGTTATACAATATACATGTATGGACGGTGGTATACAATATACATGTTAACCCAGCTCTGTTTAATGCTTTAAAACCAATTGATGATTGAATAACCAACAAGAATTAAAACCAAATGTCTTACATCTAAACTATCCTTTACCACATTAACTACTGTCAGTGAAATTATTAAAATAGCATTATACAGTATGGAATGTCAATTTTTCAGGGAATTTCAATAATTTACTAATTGGTAGGCTCCATTTTATGTTGTGAAGCACTTCTTGTCGTAATTGATGTATAATTTATGTTTTGTTATTTTTACAGAATCAACTGAAATTAAACATAAGGATTTCCTGGAGAATATGAGACAGTTACGTGATGTAAGTTAAATATTACCTGCATCGGGAATTTCCGACCTGGTTTTCCCTTGTCAGTGGTGAAGGACATAGGATAACTGTCTAGTTGTTTGGATGGGAAAGAAAACTGAGGTCCGGTGTATACATTGGCATTCACGTAAAAGATCCCTTGGCAGATGGATTTCGATATAAGAGTAGGCCATAGTGCCGCTGCCTGGGCAAATTGCCCTCACAGCCCACTGTACGGCATATGTCTGTCTTCATTAGCCTGATGGGAGCAGACAAGTAGGACTTTAAACCCCATTTCATATCATTTCTGACTGAATAAAATAACAGCTTGATTTAAAACTTAAACATGCATTATGCAAGAGCAAAATCTGCTTTTACAAGTCTTTATTTAGGCCTGAAATGTTATCTAAATTATCAATTAGACATTAATTAACTTATCCAGTGGATAATCGAGACTATGCTGTTTATATTAATGATTTTAGTAATGATGACCGAGACTATGCAAAAATTTCACTCGCTTCTTTCTCGGCTCATAGTGGATCAATTTGACTGAAATTTTCAGCAAATTACCTTTACACTATCTAGTTTTTAACTATTATAGCGAGAACTGCCATCTCTTTATCTTATCTCCCATAATGTATCTTTAATAATTGTAATTTGAATTTAATTGAATTGTAATGCGTATTAAATTTGCTATATTTTAGTGTGGATGGTATTGGGGTCCATTAAGTTATGAAGAAGCCGAAGCTAAATTAATGAATAAACCGGATGGATCATTTTTAGTACGAGATAGTTCTAATGAAAACTATATCCTATCATTATCATTTACTTGTAATAATATAGTACATCATACACGTATAGAACATCATAGAGGTATGTATTATATTTTACACCAGTTACTGGAGGTACATGTAAACTCTTTATATATATTGTGTTTAGTTTGTTTAACTACCATTAGATATGTGTATTTTATAAGTTAATAAGATTTGAATGATTTACTTTGACTGTAGATGTAATTGTTGTTATAAATTAGTTGTTTTATAGTCTAGTATGGACACTAGTTGTCCCCCTCCTTCCGTCCATCTGTCAAACTTTTCGGTACACAATAACTCTCCTTCCAATTCAGTGAGAGTTGTGAAACTTGGTGTAAATTTTCATTATATCATTACCTTCACTAAGTTGGATGATGAACCTTTTCTGCTTAGGCTAAGTTGGATGATGAACCTTTTCTGCTTAGGCTAAGTCGATGCTTCAATCTGATAAGTCAAGACATTGGAACACAATAACTCTCCTTCTAATTGAGGTAGAATGTTCAAATTTGGACAGTGTTCAATCATGTGCATTTTCTGCTAAGGCTAAGTAGAGATATGCAATTTGATTGTTGGAGACTTAGGAACATGATAACTTTGGTTCTAATTGGGTGAGAGTGATGAAACTCGGAGTTTAGTTTCATTATACCAATACCTTGACTACCTTGGTGTAGAAGTTCATTAGGTGAATGTCCTAACTGAGTTCAATAACATTATTTGCTAAAGCTATTTTCACTGGTCGATACTTTTTGTCAAAATAACTTTGATTCTACTTTTAATGAGTTTGATCATGAACAGTTTATAAATAGACTAAGTATAGATAATCAGTTTGATTGCTTGATAAGTTTGAAATGATCTATTTATTATGCTATATATTAGTAAGATTGATGACTCGATAAAATCTACAAGTGAATCTTTAGTAGAACCTGTTGTATATGTGTATAATCTATTGTAATATTGTTTATTACAGGTGTATTTAGTTTCTGGTCTCAACCATTATCCCATGGTAAAGATACTATCAGAGAATTTATAGAACAAGCTGTTGAAAACTCCAAAAATGGAACATTTCATTACTTTCTGCGCCCGTCTGGTCCTGGTACGCCACCACTTCCTATACGACTAGTTCACCCGATATCACGTTTCTTCAGATTACAGTCCCTACAACACATGTGTCGCTTTCTTATTTTACGTTGGGTTCGGAGAGATCATATTGACACTCTTCCTGTTCCTGAAAAAGTGAAGAATTATTTACGAGAAAATCAGTATTATGTAGAGTCACTGGAGGAAGATTAAGAGTTTGTGTAACACTGATGGACGGTGTTTTTATACGCCCACATTTTCATGTGGACGTATATTGTCGTCGCCCCTGTCCGTCCGGACGTCTGTCCATCCGCAATTGTTTGTGAACAGTCTACAGGTCACAATTTTTATCCAATTTCAATGAAACTTGAAATATAGGTTTATCACCCAAAGATCTTGGTTCCTTTCGATATTAGCATGCATCGGACTGTAACTTCATGGATTATGGCCCCTGATTGTACGAAAAATCATGTTTTTAGCTTGTGAACACTGTAGAGGTCACAATTTTTATCCGATTTTGTTGAAACTTGAAATGTAAGTTTATAACCCAAAGATCTTGGTTCCTTTCGATGTTTGCACATATCAGACTGTAACTTCCTGAATTATGGCCCCTGATTGTACGAAAAATCGCGTTTTTAACTTGTGGACCCTATAGAGGTCTTAATTTTTATTTGATTTAAAAAAACCTATTATTATATCACCATTACACCCTAAGGACGGCTGAGTTCAATTTCGTGAAAATCGGCTTAAAACTGACAGACAAAATGGCCGCCCTTCGTTCTCAAATAGCGTAAAAATGTGGTATATCAAGGTTATGGACCCTAAAGAGGTCATAATTTTTATCTGATTTTGTTGAAACTTGAAATGTGAGTTTATTACCCAAAGAACTCGGTTCCTTTCGATATTCGTGCATATCGGAACGTAACTTCCTGAATTAATGCCCCTGATTGTAAGAAAAATCGCGTTTTTAGCTTGTGGACCCTATAGAGGTCTTAATTTTTATCCGATTTAAAAAAACGTATTATTATATCACTGTTACACCCTAAGGACGACTGAGTTCTCAAATAGCGTAAAAATATGGTATATCAAGGTTGTGAACCCTATAGAGGTCATAATTTTAATCCAATTTTGTTGAAACTTGAAATGTAAGTTTATAGCCCAAAGATCTTGGTTCCTTTCGATATTTGCGCATATCGAATTGTAATTTTCTGAATTATGGCCCATGATTGTACGAAAAATGTGGGCGTATCCTGCCTTGCAGCCGCTGGTTTTTTGTTAATCTATAAAATGATAATTTGATCAGTACTTGAGTTGAGTGTTTGGATAGTATTTTTGATGTATTTGTCTATAGTACATGTAAATTACTGGTAAACATGTTGGGGGTTTTATTTAGACTTTAGATTAGTGACGGAACATAGAATGGTACTGAATAATAAATAAAGAAACAGTATCTTTTTGTATTTACGTTAGTTTTACAGGCCAAGTTATTTGTATAGCGAAACATGGGTAATATGATTATAAACTCTCATTGTAGCTAAATATACAACAAGAAATCATGCTTGGATAATATGATAGTTTTAAATCTGTTTGTGTTTAGTATATCAGTTGGGACTGTAAAATATTTGTTTCTAGCTTTATTACAATTTAAATGTGCACAAGGAACTTTTAAAATGCAATATCATCTGAAATGTATTTAGCAATATTGGTGTATATTGTACTACTATGTACATTTCACTATACCTTAATGTCACATATCAAACGGTCATGCTATATTCTTATCTGCAGAGCTTGCGCAATAATTACTATCGGTGTAGACTGGAATAACCAGATTGCCATTCGATGGAGATTTCTGGTGTATTTCACCGAACATAACTGATTTGAAATTGGAGTAAAAACGGAAACAATTGAACGTAAATCATTTTAATACATTCATATTATATTTGTTATTTTCTACGTCCCAAATATTAGCGATATAGCTTTTATAATAATTTATATCCAGATAACTTACGCTTTTCAAATCCATTTTTATTATTCTGTATTTAGTGTATATTCGTTCACTATTCTCTTAATTTATTGAAAACTTTATGTTGGCATGAATTATCGAAGGCATAATATTGGTAGAATAATATTATTATTTACTTATTTCTAAAATGATCATTTTTCTCATGATCATTTTACAATTTGACTTAGATTGGATGATGTCAAATTCTCAATTTTTTGCTCATAAGTGGTCTGTTAAGCTTATACATGTATTATTTGTGAATTTGTCCTTACAAAATATATTTATGTCTTGATGTATGTTTGTACTCAGCTTGACCAATTTCAAAGAATGGTATTTTCAATGAAGCCAGATTTGTGTAGAATTACAGTTTTCTGTGGTCAGATAATAAACATTCTAGAAGAGTTATCTTACCTTTAAAAAGACATCAAATTAGGTGGATAATTAAAGATAATTATAAAAGATTTAGGTAAAGAGCTGTGACAGTTCTCGCTATAATAGTTCAATAAAAGATCTGAATTACTTCATTCAGAGCAAAGTTATGAACGTTTTAAGAATGGCACAGTCACGATTTTCATTGCTATCATTGTTACAACTATAGACAAAGTCACAATTATCCATTTTTATAAGCCCACATTTTCATGTGGACTATATTGCCGTCGCCCTGTCCGTCCATCAACAATTTATTTGTGGACACTCTACAGGTCACAATTTTTATCCGATTTTGACAATACCTTGAAATATAGGTTTATCTCCAAAAGATCTCGGCTCCTTTCGATATTGGCATGTATCTGATATTGGCATGTATCGGATTGCAACTTCATGAATTATAACTCCTGATTGTACGAAAAAACAAATTTTTAGCTTGTGGTCACAAATTTTATCTGATTTAGATGAAACTTGAAATATACACTCTACAGGTCACAATTTTTATCCGATTTTGACAATACCTTGAAATATAGGTTTATCTCCAAAAGATCTCGGCTCCTTTCGATATTGGCATGTATCTGATATTGGCATGTATCGGATTGCAACTTCATGAATTATAACTCCTGATTGTACGAAAAAACACATTTTTAGCTTGTGGTCACAAATTTTATCCGATTTAGATGAAACTTGAAATATATGTTCATAACCTAAAGATCTTGGTTCCTTTCGATATTCACACATAATGATGGTTTAGTTTGAATTTCATGAAAAACGGACCAAAGTTGTGTGACAAAATGGCTGCTACTTGTATTCAAATAGTGTAAAACCAAGGTTGTGGACCCTCTAGAATTCTTGATGAAACTTAAAATATAAGTTTATGTCCAAAAGATCTTGGTGCCTTTCGATATTCGTGTATATCGGACCTTAACTTACTGGATTATGACCCCTGATTGTACCAAATTTTTTTTTTAGCTTGTTCTCTATCCATCTCTTTCAAAACGTGAGCGTATCTTGAATGGCAAACCGCTTGTTAAATTAGATAATTAAATGGCGATCACTTTTCAGTCCGTTAAAAATCACAACCACCGGATGGTTTGGATAGTTGATTATGGGCAAGAAAAAGATCTGTAATAATTCATGTATAATTTACGTTTTAATTATCTGATGTGGTCTATTTTCAATAATTTTTGGTAAATAATGTTTAGTGTTATTTGGCTTCATATGCAGGAGTTTTGATATAAAGGTTGAGGCAGTAGCACCTAGAGAAAGATACGAGGTACACTGTCAAAGAATTCCAGAGAAAAGTTAAATTGTTTTATTAATGTGTGATTCTTTGTTTGTATTATTTTAATTTAATCTATTGTTATTGTATCAATAATTTTATTTAATAAAACATGTCGCAAATATTTTTATTTTTCACTTTATTTGAAGGTATTTATTGATTTAGATTTAGAAATGGATGATTATAAGGTTATTGGACCCAGTGATAATTGAATATCATGTAGCTTACAGTTGTTAATTTTATCATATATTCAGACATTTTCTTGTTCATATTTATTATTATCTTGATAGCTCATCTGTGTACATCTTCCCTTTTTTACACACCATCATGTGGATGTATATTGTCATCACCCTTGTCCGTCTCCACGTCCATTTGTATTTGGTTTTAGACTCTAGCTCTCTGTACAGGCCAATTTTGACGAAAGTTGAACTATAGGTTAATAACCCAAAGCTCTCGTTAACTTCATGGATTAAGGCCCATGATTGTACAAAAAATCAGGTTTTTATCTTCTATACCTTCTACGGGTCACAATTTGTTTCTGATTTAAATGAAGCTTGAAATATATCCCAATGATCTTGGTTCTGTTTGATAGCTTGTGGACAATCTAAAGGTCAAAATTTTTTATTTCATTTTAAAACAATTCCGAATATATCACCGTTCTACTATAATTATGGTTGAGTTTGAATTTTGTGAAAATTGGATCAAAACTTCACCTCAAAATCGTGGAAAATCCAAAGATCTTGGTTCCTTTCAATATTGATACGTATCAGACCGTAACTCCCTGGAAATATGACCCCTGATTGTATGAAAACTAACGGTTTTAGCTTCTTGACCCGCTAGAGAACTGTTTATGTCCCAATTTGCTGTATTTTGGTATCTATGGAATCTGAGCTTCTTGGATTATGGCCCCTGATTGTACAGTTTGTGGACCCCTGGAGGAGACAATTTTAGATAGAGCTTTAAACATATGTTAGGCATCAGTTTGATTTCATGCCCCTGCCTTTTATGCAAAATGTTAAATATTTACAAAGTTTGTGGACCCTCCAGAGGTGGCAATTATTGTCCAATTCACTTGAAACTTAAAATATGTGTTTAAGAATCACATTTCTTGGATGAGTTTGATTTTGATACACATCTGGCCTTTCATTCTAAAGTTATAGCCCCTGGTTTTTAAGGGAAATGTGACATGTATGAAGTTTGAGGACTCTCCAAAGCTTGTTAATTTCTTGTTGTTGAATTATTTAGTACAAACACTTGTATTCCACATCAAACTGTGAGTAAACTGGTGAATATTGTTGTTATTATAATCAACATAGTAAACAACGGTTCATTGTTTCCTGAAAACTATCCAAAAGCCTTGATCAACTAAAGGACACTATTATTAAATCTGAGCACGAGTACCTGAAGCATTCAGACAATGAGAGGATCAGCCCTTTTGATTTTCCCCCATTCTCCGTCCATCTTTGCAAAATCTGGGCGTATCTTGCATGGCAACTGCTTATTTTAATTTAGAAGTCAATTATCTTCAAAATAAAAATAAATTAAAAAATTTATTATTTATTTATTTTTTGGAATATAGATCCAATATATTATATATGTGTCATTATGGGTCAACTGTGGGCTGATCAACAGTATTGCGTAGGTCAACAGTGGGCTGATCAACAGTAGTTTGTAGGTCAACAGTGGACTGATCAACAGTATTGTGTAGGTCAACAGTGGGCTGATCAACAGTATTGTGTACAAGTTGATGTAATATTCACCTCTGTATTTTACATTATTGAAGTGGGTAAGACACTAGTTCGATAACCTGGAGGTCTACGGTTCGATAGCCTGGAGGTCTACGGTTCGATAGCCTGGAGGCCTACAGTTCGATAGCCTGGAGGCCTACAGTTCGATATAGCCTGGAGGCCTACAGTTCGATAGCCTGGAGGCCTACAGTTCGATAGCCTGGAGGTCTACGGTTCGATAGCCTGGAGGCCTACAGTTCGATAGCCTGAAGGCCTACAGTTCGATAACCTGGAGGTCTACGGTTCGATAGCCTGGAGGCCTACAGTTCGATAGCCTGAAGGCCTACAGTTCGATAGCCTGGAGGCCTACAGTTCGATAGCCTGGAGGCCTACGGTTCGATAGCCTGGAGGCCTACGGTTCGATAGCCTGGAGGCCTACGGTTCGATAGCCTGGAGGACTACAGTTCGATAGCCTGGAGGTCTACGGTTCGATAGTCTGGAGGCCTACAGTTCGATAGCCTGGAGGCCTACCGTACGATAGCCTGGAGGTCTACGGTTCGATAGCCTGGAGGCCTACGGTTTGATCCTTGCATTGGCCGAGAAAGTTCATCAGGATTTCCGGCATGGATTCCACTTGTCAGTGGTGCAGGACGGAGGGTCTGACAAGGACAGCTGTCTAATCGTTCGGATGGTATGAAAAACAGAGGTCCCGTGCACGTAATAGATCCCTTGGCTGTTGGAATCCGATATTAGAGTAGCGCCGCTGTCCGAGCAAAATTTCCCTTATAGCAGACTATATGGCATATACCCGTCTTCATTAGCCCACTCAGAGCAGAACAGCAGAATGTTAAACCCCATTTCATTTCATTTTGTATAAGGACTCCTTAATAATCTTATTAAAATTGGTCCATCCGTCACACTTTTTAGGACACAATAACTCTCTTTCTTCAAACTTGGTGTAGGTATTTGGTAGATGCATGCCTTGATGGAGTTCAAAGATGAGCATTTTCTATAGATCTAACTTGTTACCTGAAGTCGGTTGTATAATCCTATAGTTCTCTAGAAAAATATACAAAGAATATTTTGTTCTGTAGATTTTGTGGAGAAAGGTATAACAGATGAGCATTCTATAGTTTTCTGTAGAATTTAGATGTATACTTAATACTACAGTATACTACAGTATTCCTTCCTATACATTACTGTAGAATTTAGATGTATACTTAATACTACAGTATTCCTTCCTATACATTACTGTAGAATTTCCTGCAGGAAGCAAATAAAAAAAAAAAGTCTATAGAATACTATAGTATTTGCCTATACAAATCTTCCCATAAATCTGTAGCAAATCCTACAGGCCCTCCAAAATCTGTAGAATATGGGGCACGCCCCCCAACAAAGCTCTATAGAATTTGTATAGAAACCACACTGATATTCTATAGGACTTTTTGCTAAAGGTAGTTATGAAATAGGGGTGAGGCTGGAGAAAGAGGCTAGACATCAGTAGTAGAACTAGTTCTAGGCTTTAGGTTGATGACAACTGCAACAACTAAAGCAAAGGAACAATCAAATCTGCTGATATTTACAGGGTAAAACACCAAAGACGGCAAGATGACATGGCTGCAGCAACTGAAGGACTTAGAACCTGAAATTACAAAATATAACAAGTGCTTGCCATGCAAGATATACCCACAATTGGTGTTATATTAAAGTTGTTTCCAGATAGGCCAACTATGAGCGCTTTTTTTTTGGTACTGGAGTAATTTATCAAACCCAGAGGAGCAACTTACTCCCCTCTCCCCTACAAACTTTTTTTTTTATAAATGGATGATAATAGTTTGTAAATTTAAGCAAATTAACCGCATATATACATGTATATACATGATTGGTCTGAATTCAGATTCCATTTACCCCCCCCCCCCCCCCAATGGGATTGACACATCTGGTTCATTTTGAGACTAACACATGGACCACACACACAATGTAGTAATATAACCCGACTATATGTCCGCCACACCATTACAAAATAGCTAATGTATATCCAGGGAGGGGCAAATGCCCCCCCCCCCCATTAATCTGGTTGCCACCCCAATAATTTTAGAAAATAAAAAAAAGTATTTGTGATACGTTTCGGTAATCAATACCTTCTACGGTGAATAAATCCCACATCCCGACTCAGTCATAAACTTGCATGTTGTAGAGCATTTCCAATAGTCTATTTTTCAAAATTTTCTTGGCGAGGTCCCCAATGGACTCGCTACTTTGGCGCTCACAAGGGGAATTCGTTGAGGTTCGCAAGTCCGTTCGTTTGACATTTTGTTCTCTAGTCGGATAAACTAGTGATCAGGCGACGAACGGTATCTGGGCAGATCTATTTATCTCGACGATCGGTGCCTGGCAGAATACTGTAAGACAGCATTTCCGGCAGTCTATTTTTCAAAATTTTCTGGGGGAGACTCCCTGCTTTGATGCTGTGAGTGGGCTTCGTCGTGATTTGTAAGTTCGTTCGTTTGACACTTTACCTCATCGATCAGTGCCTGAAATACTGCCAGGCTGTATATCCGGCAACCTGTTTTTCAAAATTTTCTGGGGGAGGCCCCCTACCCCTAGTTGAAGCTCGTGCCTTTGCCCTCTTAACCTTGGACTTTGCCCCTCCAATCACCGACGGCTGGCGTCGCCCCTGTGTATATCATAATTTGTCCAATAAAAATGATTTCCAAAAAAGCCCTGACAGAATAATTGTTGCTTTAAAATGCCTTTAAATGTGAATCTATTTCGAGTTGCTGAAGTTCAAGAGAAATTATATATAGGCCAGCATAAACTCTTACTGACTCAGTTTATCATGGAGATCCGTTTTTTGGCACGTTTGACCAATTGCCAAAAATTGGGCCCAGCACTAGAAAGGGGTTCCCGCAGCTCACCAAGTTCAACTTAAAAAAATTACCAGGCAATCTGGTAGCAGGCCTAGGGTGTGGCTTTTTTCAGGTACTGATGGCTACAAGAAAAATAGAGAAATATTCATTCACATTTGTGGCTATTTCAGAACATGCTGCAATGTATTCATATCCTGTAACTTGGGCCCCACAAATTCTACAACCAGCCCTGGTGTAACATGTGACATTGATATGGAATTCTATTTCTTAATGTGATCAGTCAGAAATAAACAGATAAGTATGATTTTGTTATATAAATAATACAAATAATATATAAATTAAGCTTAATTAATCCAACTGTTACAATTTATCCCCTTTATTCAATTTTAAATTATGTCACAAAATCCATTTGAAAAATAAAAATATACAAAGGCACCAAGCAGGAACGGAACTGGGTACCATTATGGTTGATGTTGTCAACGTATGTTTGAGATGTAAGATTTTGATGAGTTGGCTGTCTATGAAAGTCGTACCATTAAACTTAATGGCCACTGATCTTTAATCTTCAACAGTTACAAAATTCAACAATTTTCAATTGATTTGCATGATTTATGAAGTATATATGTATTATGATCATTGTATGTATTGATGAATAATTAATGTTTTGTCCAGCAAACAGATGAAATATAACAATGGAAACTATGCTATAAGAAAATAAAAACTCAAATTAAAATATGGCAGGAACATAAAATGAAAAATAAATGGTAATAAACATATTATTAATATACAACACCATAAAATATAAAATCCCTCTTGAATTGTTTACAACTACAAGTTTTATTCTTGTTTTATTAAGCTTCATTTAGAACTCTGTATACTGTAAAACAAGAAATTAATGTGGACAGAAAGGTGTAGTTACCTATTAAAATTAATTAATATTGATGATAACCTTTATGGTTGCTTCTTTTGAATCCAACCGGTGATGTACAAGTCAGATAATTTCAAAATGTAAGTTGTCATTTTACGATGTAATTAATGACTGTTAATTGTGTTAATACATTGAAGGTGAGTTATCTTTGGTAGATAATACTTAACAACTTTATTCAGTACATTCTTTACTTTTTTCCATTAATTTCTGTTAAACAATAATTTCAAGCTTAAGATACATAATGTAATAATAGTTCAAAAACATATAATATAAAGATAAAATTGAAAATTTTATTCAAATTACTTTATTCTGGACGTAGTTATGCCTGTTTGAATATGCAGCGTAGATTTTTTCTTATTGTAGAAATGGTACTGGACAACCGAGACCACAAGTCTCAATTATCCATGTTATTGTTTAATTTTGTATCTCGCGAGTGTTCAAATCCATTTTAATTTCAGCCATCTGATTGTGTAGAGAGTTGAATATAGGCTTATCAAGTAAATAAATGTTTAAATAATAATTTATAAAACATTTAAAGTCGAAAGAAAAGACGTGCAATAGGCAGATTTAGCTCTTACATAATGCATATTTAAATTACATGCAAACAATCCAACAGTAAACACAGCAGTGATAATTATTTCATCTGCCCTCTTTAAATAAATACTGGTAGCTATAAATATAGAATTGTGTTTAACACATTATGACGTAATTTCCTCATTTCTAGCCCCCTAGAAAATTTAGTAATAAATATTAACTGGACAAATCCACTCCGTATAAATATTGGCTGGACGATCCACTCAGTATAAATATTGGCTGGACGATCCACTCAGTATAAATGAACTGTAGTTGCGTTAAAAAAGATGAATAAATAAATATCTATAAAATAATCTGATTTTTGTAACATCCCGCTAAATCTTTATGTGGTAAAACTATAGAGTTTAATATAATAACTTCCGATGGTACTTGAACATCAGAACCTACAAAAGAAACAAAACAACAATTCAATTTAAATATAAATTTAAAAAAACCTTATCCAATACAGAAACAAAAATCAAATAAAATGGGGTTTAACGTCCTACTGTTCTGCTCTGACTGGGCTAATGAAGACAGGGCTTACGCCATACAGTGTGCTACGAGGGGAAATATTTCCTCGGTCCTACTCTTGTATCAAATTCCAACTGCCAAGGGATCTTTTACGTGTAAACAGGACCTCTCCGTTTTTTGTCCATCAGAATGATTAGACAGAGGCATCACTCACAAGGGGAAAATATCTCGGAAAGTCCTGATGAACTTTCTCGGCCAATGCAGGGATCAAACACGCGACCTTCAAACTAGCGAGCCAGCACCTTACCCACTTAGCCATCGTGGCTCCTCTGACAGAAACAAGTGGTTGCCATACAAGATACACTCAGATTTTGCCAGAGATGCACAGAGAACAAGCTTAACAGAAAAGCAATTTTTCTTACAATATAGGGCCATAATCCAGGAAATTAGGGTAGCATTAGCGCAACTATCAAAAGGATCCCAGATCTTTGGGATATTAACATATATTTTAAGCTTCATCAAAATCGGATAAAAAATTTGTGACCTCTAGAGGGTCCACAACCTTGGAATTACAAACTTTTACACTATTTGCGTACAGAGAGCTGCCAATCTGTCGGGAAGTTTCTATCTTAAATTCGAACTCAACCGGCAATATGGTGTAACAGTGATATATTTAAATGTTTTTTTGAATCAGATAAAAATTGTAACCTCTACAGTGTCCACAAGCTAAAAACATAATTTTTCGTACAACCAGGCGCCATAATAAACCAGAAAGTTAGGGCCCGATACGCGAAGATATCGAAAGGATCTGAGATCTTTGGGATTTAAACATATATTTTAAGTTTTATCAAAATCAGATAAAAAATTTGGTTTTATATATCTGAACGGTTTTTAAAATCATATAACCAGCGGCTGCCAGACAGGATACGCCCACATTTTCGAGAGATGGATAGAGAACAAGCTAAAAAGAAAGTGATTTTTCCTACAATCAAGGGCCATAATACAGGAAGTTACAATTCGATATGCGCGTATATCGAAAGGAACCAAGATCTTTGGGTTATAAACTTTCATTTCAAGTTTAACAAAATCGGATAAAAATTGTGACCTCTATAGGGTCCACAACCTTGATATACCATATTTTTACGCTATTTGAGAACGAAAGGCGGACATTTTGTCTGTCAGTTTTGGGCAGATTTTCACAAAATTCGAACTCAGCCGTCTGTAGGGTGTAACAGTGATATAATAATACGTTTTTTTAAATCAGATAAAAATTATGACCTCTATAGGGTCCACAAGCTAAAAACGCAATTTTTCATACAATCAGGGGCCATAATTCAGGAAGTTATGGTCTGATACAGTTACAGTACAACTTAAATTTATTGACGAACAATAATAAACATTGATCTATCATTATATCCCAATAGAGGCAGGTAGAGTCCCTATTCAATAGTTAATACAGAAATCTTACCTATTACAGTAATAGAGGGATTTAATTTACCATCTGTGGTAAACATTGAAGGTATTTCTAATTTAGCAAATGGTTTATTAGGATTAGGATCATTAGGTGTGCCCTCTACTCTTGACCAGACACCTATGGTTGAATGCCAGCCTACTATGGTATATAAAATACAACAATGATCCTACAATATAATAAAATATAGGATTATAATCACTATCCAGTACTCTTGTTCTGGCAAATCGAGAATTTACCTGCAAGGTATTTCAAAGAATTTAAATTTATAGTTTTAATTTGAAGAAAGAAATAAATTGGGTATCTGAAACCTGTTATTTCTAGTAGTAAGACTGTTTCTTTACCTGTAGTGTAGCTCCTTCTAAAACAATAGATTCCCTTAATCTGACCCCTTCACCTACTACTACATGTCTACCAATAGTTACATTAGGGCCAAGCTAAAAAAATATATTCAAAAACACCTTAGTTATATTATACATGTATGTCTATGAATATAAACATATAAGTGTCATTTGTCTCATAATATGTTATATTTATGATCATTAGGATAAGAAGACAATAGAAAATAACTTACAACAGCACTGGCATGAACTTGAGCTGTTGGATGAATAAAAACATCTCCTATTATTTTAGGTTTATTTTCACCATTCTTGGCCAATTGTTTTGACCCAGTTCGTTGATATATTGCCAGATAATGACGGTTTGCATAGATGGCAGCTCTGAAAACATAAAAACTATCACGGTCACACATAAATATAGTATAGATGGCAGCTCTGAAAACATAAAAACTATCACGGTCACACATAAATATAGTATAGATGGCAGCTCTGAAAACATAAAAACTATCTCAGTCACACAAATATAGTATCGATAATACAGAAGACTAATAACTATTTAGATCATAAAGATGGTAAACATAGCTTGCTTTTTACCCATATTTTCAAATTGTACTGCAAATTAAACATACATTATGCAAGAGCTAAATCTGCCAAATGCAGGTCTTTCTTTGGGCCTGAAATGTTATCTAAATTATTAATTAGACATTAATTAACTTATCAAAACCATAATTAACTCTCGATGGCATCACTAGCCTGCGATATTTACTGGATTAGAACCCGGTCTTGTGCTTCTGATTAAATAAAAAAATGGATAATCGAGACTATGTTTCTTATCGTACCGACTTTAGTAATGATAATCAAGGCTAGACCCAAAATTCAATCGCTAAATACTCAGTTCAGGGTGGATCAATTTGACTGAAATTTTCAGAAAATTCCCTTTACATTATTTAGTTTTTAACTATTATGGTGAGAACTACTAGCTCTTTATCTGATCTCCCATAATGTATCTTTAACTGACAATGTATTATGAATTATAAAAACTTACCCAGCTGATTTAAGTTGACTCCAGAATCGTTTTGTTTGATGAACAAATAATTTTCCATCACCAGCTAAAGGTATTAATACATCTTGTTCCAGTCGTATTACTTCTTTAGATGGAATGTTGAAATCAAAACTATATATAAAAAAACATTATTATTCATTTATTCTTTAAACTAAAATATTCATCCCAAAGACCTACTAGAGCAGTTATCACATATCTTTTAACTATATTTAATTATATTTTGCTAATACAAGAGAAACAGTAAAGCTGATGTCCGCATTGCAAGGCCAACATAAATAGATGACACATGACATATTAATTAATTGCACAATTGTCTTTTTGTAAAGTATCGAGAAAACTAACTTCGTCTAAGCAGAACGCATTCATGATTAAACGTAGTCAATGTTTTGAAGTAGTGAAACACTTTCATCACTCTCACTCAATTAGAATCAAAGTTATTCATTGCCAGAGCATCAACCAATCAAATAAAATTACTTTTCTTGGGCAGACAATGCTCATCATTGAACTCCATTAAAACATATACCTAATAAACATCTACGTGAAGTCTGACGGACAGATAGATGGACATTAATTAGAATATCTCGAGATGTGTTGTAGTGAACCTCAAGTAGAACTTTGTATATTATAACAAGCCAACAGTGAGGCATGTTCCTGAAGCAACGACCGAGAGTTTTACAACATCTAGCTTGATAAGATGTAGGTAGTTAAGGCGAGATTAAGCCTTCTATTGAAGATCACAGTGAGGCTGATTTCCTCCCGTCGCAATCCCAAAATAAATAGATGATACATATTAATTAATTGCACATTTATCTTTTTGAAAAGTATCAAGCAATCACATTAATTAGTCTAAGCAGAAAATAATTAATATCAAACTTAGGTAAGGTTTTGAAATACCTGGTAGTAAAACTGTACACTAAGTTTCCTCATTCTCAATCAGTTAGGATCAAATTGCTTATCTCAGCTTAGTCTTAGCCAAAAAAGCTCACCTTCAAACTCCAGCAACACTTACACCAAGTTTGAACATTCTAGCTCTAATTACTTATTGTTCTGCTTACCCCGAGTAGAAAATGCTCATTATCAAACTTAGTCAAGGTATTGGTGTAATGAAACTATACACCAAGTTTCATCAGTCTCACTTAATTAGAACTAAAGTTATCATGTCCCAAATTGCTTATCTCTGCTTACCCTAAGCAGAAAATGCTCACTTTCAAACTCCATCAAGACATTCACATAATTAACACCTACACGAAGTTTGAATATTTTAGTTCAATTAGAAGAAGAGTTTTTGTGTCCCAGAAAGTTTGATAGACAAACAGACGGACAGATCCATTTGAATAGTTCCCTACTTTCTTCGAAAGGTTGGAGACAATTATACATTTAGGCATCTAAGAACATGTAAACTTCGAAAGGTTGGAGAACATGTAAAATAAGATAAAGAAGTTAACAGACAAATCAGTAAATTTTGAAAGATTCCTACAGCCAACGATCTGATTTCGATAGCCTAAATGAAATGTTACACACTGATCCGCAGTGAATATTTGCTTGGCCGCGACAATCACTGATAAGGATGACATTGATGCGGCTTAATGAGCTAGAAATATTAACTTTTTTCCTGCGACAAATTAAATTCTAAAACATTTTTTGTATATATTGGAAAAATAAATAAAGGCGTTTGATGTATTTGTAGGTAAAAATTATTTCCTATTTAGTGTAAATGGGTATTAAAATAACTAAAATGCAGCATTCTCTCCGAAGCAGTTATGGCTTATGTAAACAGTGCACGCGTCATTCAGCCAATGATTCACACCGCGTGCTGTGACAGCACATGTTAAGGCAGTCATCTATGACAGAGGTATTATACGAGACTCGTAATTCTCTGTGAAACAGATTGAAAATGTTATTTAAGTAAAAAGAAGAAAGAATTTCCATGTTACAAGAACAACAACTTATACTGACATACAAACCAACACGACTGACATAAATACAAACCAACATAACTCAGACATCCACCCAGACATATACAAACAAACACAACTCAGACATCCACCCAGACATATACAAACAAACACAACTCAGACATCCACCATACACAAATATTTCTATCTATATTCAGTATACAGGTATCAATGATTAATAATCAGGATTAGTTAGAAGAAGGAATGATAATCAACACTGACATGTTACATTAGCAGTGTACCATTTAAGAAATAATACAAGTAGGAATATAAGACATTAGAGAGGAAGCCATTCTCCCTGAAACCAGGACCTATAACCACAATAAATAGAAGAACTACTGTATGATCAATTAAAACCATTTATTTTAATAGTTCCAATACCACAATGAGAAAATATAATAAATGTTGTATGTGACCTGTGCTGGCAAATTGAGTCGCACATTCTCCACTTCAGTAACTTCAAAATGATGTATAGTTGGTATGATGAATCGGGCAAATATTGACTGAGCTATCTGTTTCAAGTTTACAAAGTCAGAAAATTAAGTTAAAGATGTCTGTATGTTTGTTATTTTTTCGTTTAATTTTCTCTTGGTAGTCCATATTCCATACATTAGTAATCTAGGTTTTGTATATTATAACTTCCAATTAATTAGCACTTTGTGTTAGTGACTGCATGTGAGTAATCAAGTTTAGCTTCTTAATTATCAAAGAAGCTGTTCTGTAATCTTCGTCACACGACTGAATTAAAATATGGTTTTGTGTATACAATAGGTCTACTGTTTTTTCAGGTACCGTAATGGTATCAGAATCTGAACCCCTGATAGAAATTTCTATTTCGTTTGTAAGACTAGTAAGAGATGCTTACGTTCACTTTAGTGCATTTTGGTGGTGGTATATAATGAAACAAATTGCGGACCGTTTTCTCACTCGAGAATCAACACTATTTGACTCTTTCGTTGTTCTCACGTTTCTGACCCATGGTGATAAGAGAATTTTAAACAATAATATCCAATTAGGCAAGCTTGTATATTTTACATGCCGTGTGAAGCCACAACATACAGAATTCAACTATCGAAATATAATTTTTTTTCAGACGAAACAAAATAGATTAATTATTCGGACTTGGGGAAGCTTTTATATAAATATATCATTGGCAATTAACAATCAACTAATCATTAATCCATGGCAATCATTACTCAATGACACGATCTGGATTTTTAGCTAATTGATTAATTTATAGGATGACTCCACATGGTTCTGGGCGACACTCAACAGCAATCTATATACGATTAGAATTTTATAGATTTTTTTCCGCCCCTTCTCAGAAAGAATCGGAAGAACCCCAAATTTTTTATCGCCACTTTTATCGGGGTGTGTTTACATATTGTATTGGTTTCAATCATTTGTATTCATTAAAACTGGAATTATTGGTAATACTTTGGCAATATTTATAAACTAGAGATTCGTGGCTTCATAACGATGCCAAGTATTACAGAAGCAGATTGACCTGTCATCCCGCTGTGTACATCGAAAAAAATTAATTTCACTGAGAATTTTAAGAAAAAAGAAAGATTTAAGAATATGGTACTCTTACAAAACGTCCAAATATATGTGTTTTAAGAAGTTTTATTGCTTTTTAATCTTTTGTGTCAATAGATAGTATATTTATAAGACTCATTTTTGTGAAAATCTCAATTTCGATCAAAATTAATATTTTCACGTTTTGTCTGTAGCTCATAATTAGACTTTGCCCATTCTGACGCATTTTGCCAGCACAGGTCACATATTGTAAATACTACATAACAAAGTCATGAGGCCAATTTTATACTTCTTTTTTAAATTTATATGTTTGTCACATGGCTTTGCGATTATGTACAAAATGAGAAAATTATGACACAAGAGTTTTATCTCATGTTATGAAATATTCTAAGTGCTGATTATGCTTACCAATTATACCTGTTTACATCAATACTGTAAATTAATAGAACAATTTAATATTATCCTGTCAAATCGTGACACCAACAATAACTATACTACATAATCGTCAGTTAAATATAAAAACAAGGAGGATCATACAGGTATTCAGCCTAGTCTAGAAACACAGTTCGGCCTTGTGTACCTGAACGAAAGTGGATATTATTCTGTATAGAGAATCTAGTCTCAATGACATTAGGCACCTAATATCGGTGAAATGTATAAAAAAAACAGGTAGTCTAAAACTAAATGGTCTATGTTCTAGTGAGAAACGTATTGACTACAAAGCTAGGGCATATGTCCTATTTACCACAAAAACAGAGGAAAAAAACAATATTGAATACAAAGAAGCAAACGGAGAAAGTGTTACCTGTCTGGACAAATGACGTCAAGAGTTAAATGTAATAAAAACCAATAATAAATGTGATAATCCAGATAAGACAACGCCAAAAGGTTAATAAACTATCAATTTAGGAACTAATCAGAATTATTCAGCTATGTAATTTCACAAAATATAATAAGTAATACCCCTATAAGTAATGCAAACCAGACATGTTGAAGAAATGAAACTATAAAAGTGTATTTATATAAAGGCATAAAATAACGGCGATAATCCAGATAGAATTACGAAACTGCAGAAAATTTAAAAATAATTATTCAATTGGATCATCACCCAATCTGTAATCAGTTATATACTTATAAGAAATGTCAAACTTGGTATGTTGAAGAAATGGAAATTTCAAAATTTCTTTTAAAAAAATGTAATTGTGTTCCTCCTTTGACAGTGCATTTAAAATAGCTAAGTCTCTAACTCAAAATCATCCAAAGTCTTCGACATTGAAATCCCGAATTATTTGTCAGTTTAAATCAACATTGATGTTGTGATCTTACCGGGAAGAGATGGGCTTCTGATATCCAATATTTAAGACAAAATAAACATTTTACCATTGGTACACGAATCGTGTACAATGCGTTTCAGCGCCATTTGTAATAAGGGACTCGAAGAACGATGCTAGACATATTCCACAAGTCATGTCAAACAGTGACGTCATATTTTTATCTGGTGAGCACGCGCAATAAAATACTATCGGTGTAGACTGGAATAATCAGACACTAGAGATTGCCATTCGACTGAGACTTCTGGCGTATTTCGCCGAACATAATTGATTAGAAATTACAGTAAAACAGAAACGATTGAATGTAAATCAGTTTATATACATTCATATTACATTATTATATGTGTTGCGACCCATTAGTGTCAATTTCTAGGTCCCAAATATTAGCGATTTAGCTCCTTTAAAATAAAGAGATATTATTCGGGAAAGAAATATTTTTTTATCGTTACATATTGTTAAAAATCGTAATGCCTGTGAATAGAAAACATTATACAGAGTCACATCTTGTTTGTTACTATAAAGTGACAGGTATTTTATCACCTCAAAGTCAAATTTGTCTGTTTTGTCGAAAATACCGACATTAAATTTACTGTTAATTATATTAATATCCAAGTCAAGAACAAATGCAGTTATGGTGCCAGAATTTTCTTTATTTAATATTAGTTCTGGGGGATATATTTCACTTTTATATTTATTGAAAGTTCCGTTATCATTGATGTATCGGAGGGTATAGTTTAGACTTTTACTTTTAGCTACTTTGTAATTAGTTTATCATTTATGATCCTGAAAGCAGAATTCATATATTTATATAAAGGTGCATTTGCCATAAATGGGGCGGGGTCAGTTCCCATTGGTGACCAACTGTTGGCTGTATTATCTGTTCCCCAACCTCAAATATGGCATTGTCAATTAGAAAATGTATAATGTTTTGGAACTTTTCTTTATCAAAAACCACAGTTACTCATATGTCATGTGACCATCGTTTCACCCAATTTAATATCCATAAATCTGACCTATATTTTCATCTATTCCATAGTGAACAGACGGGAAAAATGTAGATTTAACCAAAATTTCATTGGTTGAGCAAATCTGTCAATCAAATTGCGATAATCGTGAATTCCAAACAAAGTAAACTTATTATTTCAAGATTTTGGTGCTAAAAATGTGTCCATTTAATATCACAGTTAAACATGCATTATGCTTATTGCACATCTTTATTTAGGCCTTAGCAAATATTATATAAACTATCATTTAGATATTTATTTACATGATAAGCCTATAATCAACTCTCTAGAACGCCGGTTGTCATGATCTACATAAAGTAATTTAAATGAAATTTTCAATATTTCAATAAATTTGGTATCAGTTGAGATTTCACAATTAAACTTTTTTATCCATAAAATATATAGTTTCAACCAAAATATATATAAATACAAATCTGGTTTCCATAATCCTTAAACTAATCATGCATATATTACAGTATTAACACATCTTTCTTTAGGTCTTAAAGATCATATAAATCTATTAACATGACAAGATTATAATCAACTGCATAGGTCATCAGATGGCTCCGATTTTAATTATATGTAGATTAGAATGGTTTGGCCATTTAATTATTTAATTTACAAATGGAGAAGCAATACCATGGTTAAAATAATATACAATCAATACACACATCTTGTCAAAACTTGAAAGAGTGATAACTTGGCTCAGAATAAAGTATTATCTATTTTTGAACTATTATAGCAAGAAGGCCATATCTTTAATCGTATTACTACAAAACCTGTATTGATAAGATATCGTTGATTGATTTTGTATCAATGATAATCCAGTCAAATCCTGATCATTGCCAGTCGTAACTGATGAAAATAGTTTCTTATTACTAGCTTCAACTGGAAAATTCTAGGACAAATGGCCCTCAACTTGGGTATAACTAGTATCATGCCCGTCTTGTATAATAACTAGTATCATGCCCGTCTTGTATAATAACTAGTATCATGCCTGTACTGTATAATAACTAGTATCATGCCCGTCTTGTATAATAACTAGTATCATGCCCGTCTTGTATAATAACTAGTATCAGGCCTGTACTGTATAATCAATTACCAAACAGAGAACATGGTGTTTTATAACAAAAATTAATACAGTGACTGAAAATTATTATAAACAAGTTTAAAGCTAAAAAAAGGCTGTCGAAAAATGATATATTGAAATACTGTAATTAAGTTAACCAGGTCCATCCATAACGGCTACGGCTACATGCATGGATGAACTAAAATCTCTTCCAAATAATGCTGAGAAATTTGTTAGTTTTCTAGTTATGAATAACAAAACAATACCAGAAATTATGAACCGACACATTTTTTTTTTATACAGGGCTTGTCAAATTTCTATTTTTAAAATGGTTTATTTGATCATAAACAATTTGTAGAATTGCTTCAATGCAAAAGACAGATAAAGAGGGATTGTGTTCCCGTTTATTGGAACAACCACAAATCATGCAACACACAATATACATAACTTTATAATGGTGATACATTTCAAACTTTAAACAGTGCAATCTCAACAAAATCATGCAAATGTCATTCTTGAACATAGCTAAGCAGACATTTGCTTACCCCACATAGTCAAAACTAGAGACACTAGAGGAGAAAAAATAATACTAGAATTTAGAAAATTTACAAAGTGAAAATATAATTAATTGTGAACAACTATTTGGGTTTTTATTAACTTTTTGATGCATGGACTGGTGTGATTTGAATATAAGGAAAACTTGCTAGTCTATAAATAAATATAATACAATTACAACCCTTGTGAAGCAGACTGTTGTATATTAAAGATAGTAAAAATATGGTAATGTATGTTGTGTGGAATAAGCACAATAAACAGATATAATTCACTTTCAGTAGAGAGAAAGATAACAAAATAAATTTAAAGCAATCAAAACATAATAAATTTTTACACTTACTTGTAATTTTCTTCCAGATTACTTTTAAAGGCTTTTTCCAGTGTTTGGAAAATTAGTGGTGAAAACAAATATATACCACAGTTAATTAAAGTACTGACAAATGTTTCTGGTTTTTCAGCGTAATGTAGTACCTGTAAATAGTCGAACATTCAATTTCTTTACTCACAACATAATACTCAACAACTCTTGAAAATTAGTCACAACATACAATTTACTACAATTCTCTTCAAATTAGCATAAGTGAACATGTTACCAGTAAATTGTTACAATGTTCTGTAAACTACCTATATTTATGTATCAACCCGAATGGTCTGTAAACTACTGGTACCGTTATATAAACTATGAGAAGTCCCGAAAGTTTCATTATGACAATAGAGTAACAGGATTAAACGATACTCAACACAACAAGTTCATTCTGTTACTTTATCTTATTATTCACCTTACAAAGAGGGCTGTGTGTGTGCACGTGCGTGCGTGTGCATGCACGTGTTGGGAGGTGCAATCACATGAGATTGAGGGCATTATCACTGGTGACAGCACCCAAGATGTTTAGTCCGCAGCTATCAAGTGAACACTGTGACCCATCTTGATCAGGTCTTCCCTGGCAATACAGATGTTTCATTCAGCCCTTGGAGAAATGCAGATATAACTTACCTCATGAGTATTCTGATCTTCAACTATACAACCAAATGTTAATGATTGCTGTCTTGTAGCCTAGAAAATAAGATGGTTATAATAAAAATTATTTACATGTCCCCTTTAAAACTCAAACTATAACCATATTTTAAACATGATACAGTCCTTCTAGCACACAGTCACAACAATTATCAGCATATACATTTGGGGGGAGGGGGGTATAACAATTGTAACCTCTAGACGGTCCACAAGCTAAAAACATGATTGATGTACAATCAGGGTCCACACTCAATGAAGTTACGGTCTGATATGTACAATTTTTACGATATAAACCTATATTTTAAGTTTCGTAAATATCGGATAAAAATTGTAACCTGTAAAGTGCCCACAATGAAAATGTGAACGGACGTCTAGAATATTATGTATACCAGTAAATATTACATATATCATGTATATGTATACCAGTAAATATTATGTATACCAGTACTAGACTTACTTCAGTTGCTAAAACCGTTCCAATGGAGCCTTCGGGATTTTTCTCGTGAGAATCAAGCATGTCTTGAAGAGGGAAATCCCCACAAACATCAGAATTAAGGACAAAGAAAGATTGAGGATTTCCTGTAAGTATTTGATCACGAAAATGATAAATACCTCCTGCTGTACCTAATGCTGTGTATTCTTGTAAATATCTAAAAATATACAATATTAAATAGGGCTGATTTCTGATTTCCTCACACCGGAACTTCATTGATATTTTGTATTTAGTATCCATGGCATTTATTGATCCCCTGGTAAAAGTTCTTCTGTCAAGATTTACAGACAGACTTACCACCATGTGGGTAAAATGATTCTTTAAAATTCCTCTGAGGGAATCCAATGCACTTAGTGAAAAAGTTAGATAGAAGGACTAAAGAAATGCTGAGTTTTATTGATGCCACAGAAAAATCACCAACTTATAATACTGAAGTGAGCAATGACATCTAATATCATAGACCCTGATCACTTACAATCATCAACTTATAAATACTGAAGTGAACAATGGCATCTAATATTTATCTTACAGATTAAAAGGCATCAAATAATATAAATACATTTAACACTGATACTTATATATTTATTTACCTAATTTGAATTTTAAATTCTTGTTGAGCACTAATTATAAATTTATTAAGAGCATCATTAGGTTGATAAAATCCAATCAATATGATTTCTTTCAGTCCTTTAACCTGAAACACAAAAGATGATAAGTTATAAGCCTGATAGATCAATTGGGTTGAAACAAACCCTTGTTACCAACAAGTACAATCATAGACATTAAACAACTGCAACTGTACCGCAGTAGTGTTATTATTGTCTTCGTACCAGACCACTGTTCAAAACCGGCTAAAGGGCTATCATCAACTGAGAGGACTAACCCCAACACAAGATGCATGCCGACATTGTCTCCACTTTAGGGGATGATGCCACTTCCTTTTCAACAGTCAAGAACTGGGCTGCGCAATTTAAGTGGGGCAGAGAGTCTTGACAATGATCCACACCCTGGAAGCTCATCAACAGCAACCATTCGAGAAAACATTACCTGGGTGCATAACATGGTGAAGGCCGATCGACGAGGGTTGAGCACATAATCACGAATGAGTTAGGAATGACAAAAGTTTCTGAAAGACTGGTGCCAAAGCTGTTGACTGCTATCAGGAAAGTATCAGATTCCTGATGTACCGTAACAATCTGCGCCCTTTGAAGCAGATCCTGATAATATTTTGACAGATTTATAACCATGGATGAGACCCGTTTCCAAAATTGAAAAAGGAACTAGCCGATTGTCATTTTCCTAGAAAATTTCTTCCAAACCAGCATCCAGGCCTTGCAACATCATTAACAAAAGTGTGTACACCTTGAAAGGGACTGTGTAGAAAAATAAATAGAAACCATCGACTTTGTACATGTCTTTCACAGATATGCTTAGAACTTTTCAGCCAGCTCTCGAAATATGAATGGAAGGTTGTGTGAAATGTGTTATACCTGACAACATGCTGCAATATGATGATAGATCATGGGAAATCCAGCAACAGGAAATAGAGGCTTGGGGATTTCTAGTGAAAGTGGTCTAAACCGAGTGCCTGAAATAATAAAATTAAAATATTGATAGTATCATATCCTTACTGAGAATTACTGCAATCCAGTGTTTCAAATAATCTACCATTTGGCATTTTTCTCAATTAATAAGCTTATTACTCAACAAAATTTGAAATTCAATTAGAAATTAAGTGTACCAGTAACTTGATTTTAGTGAAATAAACACATAAATTGAAACCGTTGTGTCCTATTAACGAAGAAGATGTTGAAAATGTATTGCAAGGTTTTCTTATAAATATCCACTTATCATTTCTATTTTACGGATATCTCATTTTTAACTCTTTAATCTACAATATATTGTAGGTGGCATTATTACTGAGTAATCTTCTCCTTCTTGGGGCGACACCTTTCAAACAAGGTTTGTCAATTTGATTAGAACGACATGAAATTTATCATGCTTGTTCTTTGGAAACTTGAGTATAAAATGATTGATAGACCTTGACTTTTGATATTTTAAAAGTCCAAGACTCTGTGATGATGTCATGGTAAGTTTCTAATTCATCCGGTAATGACTTGTTATCTGGTGGTCCAAGTTTAACTAATGGTTGCAGGTGTTTAGATGGATATGTTTTTATTTCAGATCTTCTGATACGTGTCTTAAAGTGGCATTATGGGAGATTAGATAGAGTTGACAGTTCTCACTATAATAGTTAAAAACAGATAGCGTAAATAGAGGCTAGTCATAATTATCATTACTAAAGTATACAGGTCACAATTCTATGGAATACAATTACTGCTTATTACTAAGCGACGTTTCCACTAGGCTTCTCTAGTCATTGCTTGATAATGACTAGAGAAGCCTAGTAAAAAAGTCGCTCAGTAATAAGCAGTAATTGTATTCCATAGAATTGTGACCTGTATACTCCAGTTCAATTACTAAATGACATTGAAACAATTTATCATTACTAAAGTTGGTACGATAAAAAAACAAAGTCTTGATTATCCATTTTTACATTTAATTATCCTTCACAAAATGTATTCCAATCCAGTACATATCGCAGGCTAGCGATGCCATCGAGAGTTGATTATAGTCTGGATAAGTTAATTAATGTCTAATTAATTATTTAGATAACATTTCAGGCCTAAAGAAAGAAAGACCTGCAACAGGCAGATTTAGCTCTTGCATAATGTATGTTTAATAGTAATGTTCCAGTTTTTAATTGTTTGATGTTATATACAGTTTGGCAATAAACTAGAGAATTTACAGTCCATTTCTTATATTTAACATTTGTAATAATGAACTCTCTTGAAAACCAAAGTCAACATATATCTTCGTTTTTGAGTTACGGCAATAAACATATGCCAAAAATAGCCTCTCTTTTTTTTGTTATGCTGTCTCACTTCAATTAATTGTATTTTGTAACTCAGATTAATATATTTTTTGTGATTTTTCTGGAAAGGACATAAATGCATGCCTATAAAACATTTCTTATAATAAATTTTGGTAGTTGAATTATACAAATAGACAGTGTATTAAAGGAGTTATGACTAAAATACAAAAACATGCATTTCTGTCAAATTTTCAGTATCACAGTGGACATGAAAAACACTGGAAACTTAAAATAAAAATGTGATCTTCAGTAATAGCATACTTTTTAATGTGCAATTTTAAAATCTAAAATTTATTTTTTATTCATTTGAATTTGAAGTTATGGACACTACATTGTAGTGTCTGTAACCATACAGTCAGGGCTCTATAAAAGTTGAGTGTGCCTGTGCACACACTTGATAATGTGCCTGCAGGGTCATACTGAAACACAGGGATGTAGCCATGATTTTGTGAGTGGTGTATAAATATATCTGGCGAGCAGAGCGAAGCAAAAAAATTTTTGGGAGGGGGGCGTGGTCTTTTATGAAAATTAAACCCTTCTTGGTGTATTTTCAGAGCATCTGCTGCCTTTTTTATTTGGTTCAGTGCAAATCAAATTTCCATTTATATATTCAAATTTTACCAAATTCACTTAATTTTCGTCAATGATACAGGGATCTAAAAAGTTTTTGACACCACCCGACCGAGCATAAAATTGTCCCGCCCCACTCTGTTTCTCTGGATAGTTGAGGACCTTTCGGTATTTGTTGTTTTGTTTTTTCATATATTACTTTATTACTTTGAGATTAAAAATTAAAACGATTCTTAAAACGGTGTTTGTGTTTTATTTGAGTACAACGAATTATGACAACAGGTAGATATTGATAATTAAAACACGTTGTATTATTTGACTTGTTTGTCAAGTTGTTGTACGTGTCTCACGAATATTATTATTATTACGGTGGAATGAGAATCAGGTCAGGCAGAAACTGAGAAAGTTCTCATCGTCCTCCTAGTCCTACTCTCGGGCCGTAGCAAATCCACGGTCAACACAGGTACAAAATAAAATAAGAAACATCATGAAAATTTGCAGGCACGTGTTGGACAATTACGACATTCAAACCTGTAACATTGGAGTGTCGTAAATTGGTCTGGGTGACCTATTTATGGCAAATAAAAAAAGACCGTAGAATAATTGTAAAATGAATATACCTAGGCCTACACATCTTTTAAGTATAAATAAACAAAATACCAATACATCTTTCTTTAAACTAATTTGGGATGAAAGGGTCTACTACGGCACACAAAAATAAATTATGTCGTGACAGACATGGTTTGCGTACGTAGGCTTTTATCATGGATTTGCCGTTTAATTGCCGTGGTAAATTTCGAGCGCCGAGTTTGTGTACAGAGAAGGACGAAGGGGTTTAAATACGACTGGGCGGCTTTCTTCGAATTTTTTTTAAAGCAAATGAGACATGTTTACCACAAATACTGTGTTTTAGAGGTAATGGAAGCTTTCGACAGTCATAAACTTACGCTATTGATTGATTTCTTAAAGATTTATGATAAATAATAAAGCTACGGAATATTGGACAACAACAGTTTATAACTGACAAAGTGGCTAAAGGGTACTGTTATTCAAACAGGTATACATGTTTAGACTATGACAGGTGGTGGTAGCCACGATGGCTCAGTAAGTAGAACATTAGCTCGATAACCGGGAGGTCGCGTGTTCGATCAATGCATTGGATGAGAAAGTTCATGAGGATTTTCAGGTGTGGTTCCCCCATGTCAGTTGTATACGACAGAGGGCCTGGCAAGGGACAAGAAAAGTTGTTTGAATGGGATGGAAGACCAGGGTCCTGTTTGCAAGAACCCCTGAAAGTTAGAATTTAAAATGAGAGTAGGCCATAGTGCCACTGTCTGGGCAAAATTTCCCTCACAGCACAGAATGGCGTATGCCCGTCTTCATTAGTCAATTAGGAGCAGAACAGTGGGCTTGAATAGGACATTAAACCACATTTTATGACAGGTGAATATAAATGCAAAATTTCATGATCAAACTAAATACGCTTGATATAAATAAAGCAAATCAATAGAAACTCAATGCTGAATCAACAGACTTATAAAGCCTACTTTAAAATGTTCACTGGTGGTAACATGTACCTACATGTTAAAGCAGGTGTTTTATAAACTACAACTGATTATTCTTGTCTCTTGTGTATTAGTGACTGGATCTTTGTTGCCAATCCAGCCAGCACGAGAACCCTGAAAATGTATTCTCCCCACCCCACCCCTTTTTATCATCAGCAATGTAGTTCTGATTTATTTTTAGCCAGGCTACAGCTACATGTATGTTTTCAATAATTCTGCACTGCTCGTTGCTTTGAACTACATGTATTCCAGTTTTGGCACTGGACTAACAAATCGCCAAGCATATGATATTGAAAGATAATTATAAAGCACCACTAAATCAAATCCAACTTGGCCAAAAAGCTTGATAATAAAGTGTGCTGATGACAGCAAAGTCTAATTTTCTCAGTTTAATGCCTACATGAATTTCCATCGTATTTGGCATAAACAATGCTAATTGCAAGTCCAAGAAACCCAAGGGACACTTTTTGGCTATAGCCTGTGGTTTGTCTGGTATCCATGGAAACGCTCCCAAAAAAAAAGAGTTTTCTTGGAAATTCTATTAGTACATGCTACAAAGATATATCGATAATCCATTCCCTAAATCGGAAGTAGCGAGGTAATAAGTGATATTTTGACACCAAAAACGTTACATAATATCAAATCAGAGTTTTTTCAAGTCTACGAGATTTTGTGATTTTCAGTAAATTCTTTGAATACGCCTACAAGTTTTAAAATACAACAATTTGGATGTAAAAAGGAAATATTTACTTCATTCAGTGCACTACTCCGCCGCTCTCAAAATCATTTTATACATTCTAAAATGGCAGCCTTCGACCATAAAAAATAATGAAATTCTGCGATGTTCCAGTCCTGATAGATGGTAGACCTGGATATTCGCATCTTAGAGGGATTTTCTTCTGACATCATATATTGTAATTGATTGAGGGCAATGGCAATGGTCCAGTGTGAAACTGTTGCTGGAGACAGACATATGTCTGTTTAGTGTTACTGCTGATGACGTGACCGATGCATGTGTACGATGTCATAAAAGAACTAATCTAGGTCCGGGAAACCCTCTCATTAGCTATAAATATATAATTATTAGATTTTTCCAAAATGAAACTTGTGTTATTGCGTCATGCCCCTATGGGTCGATGACGATCGTCCTGACCATTCTCTAGGCCCTGACATAATCACATTCGTCGATCTCTCATCATGATCATCATAGCGAAGTTAAGTTGGATTAATTAAGATAATATTATACCTTTCAACGGCCCACCTATCAGAATAATTGCTTTGAACATATCTTCTGTACTTTCACAAACTCCAACCTAATTACAAATTAATGCAGCCAACGCGTATCGAAGCCACTGCAGTGAATGTAAACGTCAACAAAATCAGACGACGGAAGCTGATTGGATTATACAGAGCTGATGCTGGCCCTAGTTGCCATGAGTTTCGTACAAACAAAATTTATGATGGCCAAGTCGATTGTCAGGAGATTATGGAATATAGATCTACACACGTTAAAACAAATTAACGTGATAAGACTAAAATTAGAGTTGACTAGTTAATTAATTAGGGATTAATTCGCTGGTCACTCCTCTAATCTACTGCTATCTACCCCGCCCTGAAATGCGCGGCAAGCCGCAACAGGAACAGGACTAAGTTAGGACGTTAAAAAAGTTAAACCGATAATACCATGGACCTTATGGTTATAGAAATGAAATGAAATGGGGTTTAACGTTATATAAAAATATATATATAACATTAACTCTATGGTTTTTAACCTTGCGCTGGCACTTACAAAGTTACACTGTTACAGTGTACACACTAACTGCTATAGCCGTATAGGCCACTACAGACGATTTTCTCACTAGACACTTTTTATGTGGCTTAATTAGTTTTATAAGTACCGGTATGATCACAGAGTTTGATCTGCACCATTATCGTCATTATTAGGCTATTATCATTGGGCCGGTATCCTGCAAAAAGGTTCGAGTAGGATTTTATTTTTAGAGTTCGGGGACGATCATTTATTATTATGATTTATGAAAACAAAAGGTGTTTGAGGATTGAACCTAATTGTGGTATGCCTATTCCATATAGTCGATTGACTTTAGTTTTAGCATGGACCTTATAATAATGTATTATAAGGTCCATGGTTTACGAAGTATACCGTAATCTAATCTATAATGATCCATCAACATAAGTATGTCTACCCTCCTTCCGTTGAGTAACCTGGTTGAAATTTAAATAAAAGATTGTTTGCTGGCAGGACATTATAAGTATAAGATGTTTGTCTAAAGGCTTTGATATAATATAGCACAGGGGGAATCAAATGGGTCTGTAATTATTTGGCTCATAATTAGACCCTACAGCCTGATTTGAACAAATTAAGGTGAGCCTATGACTTTGGACTCCTTGAAAATGCACAGAAATTCGATCAATACGTTGATAGACAAAGGTTGTAAATGAAAGGTAAATGCAGACATAAAAATGGTGCACCGAACTTAAGAAATTTAGCATTAAAATTATCTAGGCCAGTTGCTTTAGAGACATCCAACTTAATTAAAATAAATACCTATACTTCATTGGTGTTTATGAAAGGAATTCCAAGTCTACTACTAATTTCGTATTGTTTACATTAATGATTTGTAGGCTAATTTAATTAATTACTTGCAACCAGATGATAACTTTAATTTCTAGAGCGTCCCAAAAAAATTTCAAAATGAAAGGGTGATAGCCTAACCCTTACTGTAATTATTTGTGTTTCTTTGTCTCATGTTAAAGTCATCTCCAAATATGGTCCCAATTAATCAGCTGCATACTATAGATTCAACCATCTATCCATTTTATATTCCCAGAAAGTTAGAATCAACCATCTTTAGCTCCAAAAAATGTAAACCAGTTTATTGTTTTAAACGAAAACTGTCAAAACAAATTTGGATAATTTACCAGAATTGCCCTCCAAGATATTTAACATGAACTATTATTCTAGAATGTTTTGTTTGATCCTAGGGTAAGAGAAAGTTATTCATGACAAAACACAACACAAGGTATATATGGATATAACTAATTCTCTATTATTTAATAACGACGTTTCGTAACACATATAGGTCACGTTTTCAAGTTAATGATAAATATCCATCTAGTCAGCCTATTTATTTCTGATTTCTTTTGTGTCTTGATGAAATCAGCATTGATTTTGTTTTCGAAGGATTGATTACCATCCCATTGTTTTCACACCATTTAGCAACCAAATAGAGATCATTTTGGAGATTATTGGCGATGGATAAAATATCTTTGTGTGAACAATGCAGGGTACTGTCATCAGCAAACAAATCTATCTGACTTGATTCAATATTGAGTGGGAGATCATTTATAAAAATAATTAGGAATAGGAGAGGACCCAGGATCGAACCTTGTGGAACCCTGCATTTGACTGTAGTAATTGAGGAGGTAATTGATCCTAAACATACTTTTTGCTTCCATGAGTCAAGATATGATTCAATCAAAATTTGTGAATTATTATCAAATCGATAAAGATGTAGTTTTTGAATAATAAGCTTGTGATCAATGAGATCATATGCGTTGCTAAAATCAAGATACATTATACCACTCATCGCACCATTAACGATAGCATCAAGCCAATTATCTGTCATTCGGATCAGTGCAGTAGCACATGAATGATTTGATCGAAATCCAGATTGGTAAGCATAAAGAACATTGAAGGTTTCCAAATAAGTTCGAATTTGAGTGCTCAAGTGCTGAGAAGAATTGAGATTGGCCTATAATTGTTCGGATCATCTTTAGCTCCCTTCTTATGTATAGGAATAGTTTTAGCCAGTTTAAGGGCACTGGCGAACATGTTTTGAGAAATACAAAGATTAATTATATATGTCAAACTGCTACAAATTTTATACGCAGACAATTTTAAAATTTTGGGTCCAATACCATCACTGATCACACCTAATGGCTTTGTTACTATTTAAACTCAATAAATGTTTTAATACCTCTGTGGTAGTAATACAATTAATAGAAAAGTTGTTATTTGGGGGAATCTTATCATTTAGGTAATCCGATATCTTTCGTTTGCACTCTTGGGAAAGTGGTGTATAGGGAGGCTTAATGTCATCAGTTAAATTAGTGAAGTAATCATTCATCACATTAGCAATAGCATTTAGATCATTAACTGTTGTTTTTCCATATTTAACACTATTGGGATAAGGGCAATTATTGGGTTTATTCTGTATGTCACTAAAATATCTCCATATGTTTTTAGATTGCTCTTCATTTTCGATAGAGTCCTTGATAAAGTTTCTTTTGGCTTTATTAATGAGATTTTTGGTTTTATTTCTCCATATTCTATAGTCGTCACACCTCTTGGAGGCTTTAAAGAAGTCCCTGAACTTTCGGGCTTTATTTATTTCCTCATTAAACCACTTCGGTTGATAGTATCTTTTTACTCTTTTTCGCTTTTGCTGAGCATGGAAGAGCATGGCAGTCTAAAACACCTATAACCAGCGGCTGCCAGGCAGGATACGCCCACATTTTCGAGAGATGGATAGAAAACAAGCTAAAACGAAAGTGATTTTTCCTACAATCAAGGGCCATAATTCAGGAAATTACAATTCGATATGCGCAAATATCGAAAGGAACCAAGATCTTTGAGTTAGAAACTTACATTTCAAGTTTCAACAAAATTGGATAAAAATTGTGACCGTAAATAATATGATTTTTTTTAATCGGATAAAAATTATGACCTCTATAGGGTCCACAAGCTAAAAACGCGATTTTTCGTACAATCAGGGGCCATAATTCAGGAAGTTACAGTCTGATATGCGCAAATAGCGAAAGGAACCGAGATCTTTGGGTTATAAACTTACATTTCAAGTTTCAACAAAATCGGATAAAAATTATGACCTCCATAGGGTTCACAACCTTGATATACCATATTTTTATGCTATTTGTGAACGAATGGCGGCCATTTTGTCTGTCAGTTTTGGTCCGATTTTCACGAAATTCGAACTCAGCCGTCCTTAGCGTGTACGGTTATATAATAATACGTTTTTTTTTAATCGGATAAAAATTATGACCTCTATAGGGTCCACAAGCCAAAAAACGTGTTTTTACGTACAATCAGGGGCCATAATTCAGGAAGTTACGGTCCGATATGCGCGAATATCGAAAGGAACCGAGGTCGTTGGGTTATAAACTTACATTTCAAGTTTCAACAGAAACGGATAAAAATTGTGACCTCTACAGTGTTCACAAGCCAAAAACGTGATTTTTCGTACAATCAGGGGCCATAATCCATGAAGTTACGGTCCGATAGATGCCAATATCGAAAGGAACCGAGATCATAGGGTGATAAACCTATATTTCAAGTTTCATTGAAATCGGATAAAAATTGTGACCTGTAGACTGTTCACAAACAATTGTGGACGGACGGACAGGGGCGACAATATACGTCCACATGAAAATGTGGGCGTATAAAAAGGTTATACCAAGTATCAAGGGCAGAATTTGGGTCATCAATTGACTCGACTAGTTCAAATAGAATTTTAGCAAGATCATTAATAAAATTAGAATCATCAAAGTTTTTGTAATTTTTGTATAGAATTTCCAAGTGGTTGTGTTTTGTGATTTTCTCTTGCAGTTTCCAGTGACAAAAATAATCGGAAAATGGTCACTAATACCATATTGAGGAACTTTAATTTCAACAATATTATCCGGTGTGTTTGTATATAGATGGTCAATGACAGTAGAAGAATTTTTAAACAGCGTGTAGGGGCAGTAATTAATTGACGTAATCCCTGCATATTGATTATGTTTTCCCATCGTTTTGGAACAGTAGTTGAATAATCTATATTAAAATTTCCTATTACATAAATAGATTGACCAGTATTTATGGAATTTAAACTAGTTTCAAAATCATCAAACCAACCTGTACACGAAGAAGGTGGTCTATATACAAGACATAATAAAAATGATTTTCCATATTCTGGATGGAGTTCAATCCAATAATGTAGGCTAATGTGAATGTATATAAACTGATTTACATTCAATCATTTCAGTTTTTACTCTAATTTCAAGTCAGTTATGTTCTGCGAAATATGCCAGAAGTCTTAATCATATGGTTATTCCAGTCTACACTGATAGTATTTATTGTGCATGTCACCATTTGCCACGACTTGTGGAGTATGTCTAGCCTCGTTCTTCGAGTCCCTTGTTACAAATGGCACTGAAACTCATTATGGTACACGATTCATGTACCACTGGTAAAATTGGAAACAATTGAGTGTAAATCAGTTTATATACATTCATATTACATTATTATATGCGTTAGCTACTTTCAAGAACATGTTTCTGGTAGGCCTATACATGGTTGTTAATATTTGTAATCAAGTCCTCCTATACCACTCCATGTGAGTAAAGGGTATGGTATATCATTGTAATCAAGTCCTCCTATACCACTCCATGTGAGTAAAGGGTATGGTATCTCAATGTGTTTTAACTGTCAATTTAAATAATGGTAATTCTATATATACTGTATCCTTCTGTCTGGTTGTAAAACAAGGATTTAATGTTATATAAGGCTAGGGAGTCACAGTGGTTCAATGAATGAGGTGCTGGATGTACCTAGGAACAGCATTTAATCTTTAAGATGGGACAAAAGCTTGGTGTGCTGTTTACTTGGTCTCATGAACATAACACTGTATAAACTGGATGATAACTTTATCGTCAAGATGGTCAGGGGTTATGATAATTTACAACCTCTGTGGTGCCCCTGTCCTCTTAAATAGCGATGCTGTTCAGTCCTTTCGTATTCAGACACATTTATCTTTGTCATCTAAGCCTATTTCCTTCCAAACTCCAAAGTAATTCATTCAGGCATTCTTGAGCAAAAACCATAAACATAATTTTGAAAATACACAATTATTTTATTTGTATTCCATGATAAAGTTATACTGATTAAATAAAACATCTTATCTTACAAACATTAATTCATTCATTTCAACAGGTCATATATATATATATAACAAAATAATACTTGTTTAGTTCTTATATTCATACATTTCAATCAAATTCTGGGAAATGGAAATAAATCATTTCTTTATTCACATTTTAATATGTTATGGGTATTTGAAGTTTTTATTTGACTGGATGTATTTAAAATTCCATATGGAAATAAGCTGTTCCAAATTTATAGTCAAACAAGCCAACAGTGAGGCTGATGTCCCCCGCCGAAATCCCAAAACAAATAGATGACACATATTAATTAATCACACATTTATTTTTTTCAAAAGTATCAAGCAATCAAACCGATTATCAACTATACACCAAGTTTCATCACTCTCTATATTAATTAATCACACAATTATTTTTTCAAAAGTATCAAGCAATCAAACCGATTATCAACTATACACCAACATTCATCACTCTCTATCAGATAGAATCAAAGTTATCTGGTCCCAAAGCATCGACCAAACATAACGCTAACGCTACAATATACGTCCACATTCCAATTCTGCTTTGATTGACAAGGTACTTTGTCAAGAAGGCTAGGCTTTTGGTTTGTTTAGCGTTGAGGGTCGTGCATCAACATCAATAGTTCCTGTCCTTAGAGTATAACTTATTAATAAGTATACCAAGATAATGCATTCAGAATTGTGCCTTTCACATTATAAGTTAAGAAATGTGGCCTGTAGACGACAAACAAACAAATACTAGAAATGGGCGTGGCTCTGCCCCTGGGGGTCGGGCATGCACCAAAAACAATAGGGATCTTCCTTGGGGTATAAGGAATAAGTATACCAAGTTTGAAGAAAATCCAGTAAGAATTGCGCCCTGTAGGCGACACAAAGACACACGAAAAGAAAATGGGCGTGGCTCTGCCCCTGGGGGTTGGGCATGCACCCCAAACGATAGGGATGTTCCTTAGGGTACAAAGAATGTGTATGCAAAGTTTCAAGATTATTAGTTAAGAAATGTGGCCTGTAGACGACAAACAAACAAATACTAGAAATGGGCGTGGCTCTGCCCCGGGGGGTCGGGCATGCACCAAAAACAATAGGGATCTTCCTTGGGGTATAAGGAATAAGTATACCAAGTTTGAAGAAAATCCATGAAGAATTGCGCCCTGTAGGCGAACCACAGACACACACACACACACACACACACACACACATACATACATACATACACACACACACACACACAGACATGGGCGACGGCATAACACGTTCACATTATGAATGTGGACGTATAATAAAATTGCTTAGCTCTGTTTAGCTTTAGCTCGATAAATTAATCATTGAACTCAGTCAAGACATTCACCTAATGAACATCTACATCAAGTTTAAACATTCTACCTCAATTAAAAGCAGAGTTGTTATGTTCTAAAGTCTCGACCAATCAAATTGCTTATCGATCCTAAGCAGAAAATTCTCATCATCAAACTTCGTCAAGGTAATGATATAATGAATCCATACTTGGAGTTTCATCACTCTCACTTAATTAAAACCAAAGTTATTGGCCCTAATGCATCAACCAATCAGATTGCTTATCGTAAGCAGACAATGTTTATCATCGAACCCCATCAAGGCATTCACCTAATGAACGCCTACACTAAGTTTGAACATTCTACCTCAACCAGAAGAGGAGTTATTGTGCTCCAAAGTCTCGACCAATCAAATTGCTTATTATTATTATTATTACAGCATATTTATAGTGCACCCTTTCATATAACATGTTCAGAGGCACTTTACAAAGTGACAATGTAAATCATACATAAACAACAGATTATGGACATGTTAATGATTGTATACAGAGTCAGTTAAAGTTGCAATTGCAAATTTTCAAGTTATATTTTTAAAATGTATTAAAATAAAGCCGTAAAATAGATGGTATACATAAACAGTCCTACCTTGTTAAAGAATAATCCTATTAATCCTATAATTCGCTATTGCCAGCTGAGAAATTGGCAAAAATATCATTTTTAACTTCAAATTCCAACGTTGGAAAATGGCTGCCCCATGTTGTCATAAGCAAAACAGGGGAGGTAATTGTGTTATTTCCTGTGTCATAGATTTTTAAGGGTGGGAAATAATGGCCATGATCGTATAATAGTGATTTGATAACCTATTGAGCAAAAGACATAGAAATAATTATGTTTTGACTTTCTTAGAAAATTTGAAATTCTCGCTTTAAAAGCCTGATTAAATAAATGTGTTTTAAGTTGTTTTTTAAAAGAATATAGAGATGTACAACATCTTAAACTAAATGGTAGATTATTCCATAAAACAGGTGCTTGATAACTAAAAGAGCGCTGACCATAAGAGACTAGTTGAACAGTTCTGGGCTTTAAAAGTAGTTTATCTGATGTACGTAATGTTCGGCCAGGTGTATAAAGTTCTAAAAGATCTGAGAGGTAAACAGGAGCTAAATTATTTAAACATTTAAAAGTAAGTAATAAAATCTTAAAATCAATTCGATATTTAACAGGTAACCAGTGTAAATTATATAAAATAGGAGTTATGTGGTCACATTTCTTAGTTAAAGTAACAAGTCTAGCCGCAGTATTCTGTACTTTTTGTAATTTATCTATAAGCTTTAAAGGTAAACCAACTAAAAGTGAATTAAATCGTTCTGCTTACCCTGAGTAGAAAATGCTCATTATCGGGCATGTAATGAAACTATACACCAAGTTTCATCACTCTCACTTAATTAGAACTAAAGTTATGTGTTCCAAAGCATCAACCAATCAAATTGCTTATCTCTGCTTACCCTAAGCAGAAAATGCTCATCTTCGAACCCGATCACGGCATTGACCTAATAAACACCTACACCAAGTTTAAACATTCTAGCTCAATTAGAAAGAGAATTATTCTGTCCAAAAAAGTGTGACGGAGGGACGAACGAACAGACAGACAGATGAACCCATTTTAATAGTCCCCTGCTTACTTCGAAAGGCAGGGGACAAAAAGCTAGATATTGCAATAGCCATCTATAAATTTAAGAACCAATCAGTTTTTACCCATCTCTGATTGTAAGCAACATGGTAGCGGCTTGTGTTTGTGATATTTTAACTATGTATATTACATCAGATGTTTACCTAGTCTCATTCAGATATCAGGAGTAAAAAAAAGGTTATATTGTAGGGAAACAAACTTAAGCCCTAGTTAGAAAACTGGATTAATTACTCAGATAAGAGTCTTGTCAAGACAGAAAATTAAATAAAATAGCAGCCCAATAGCATGAGGCCTATCAATCCAGTAATACTCAAAGAAAATACATTCACTCCTTTGGGTCAATTGAGAGACTCATAGTTTTTTCCACAAATAACCATGGGAAAAAAATATAAATGCAATTTTTCAGGATACTCATCCAGATGGTGAAAGAAAAGTCTCATTCATTGTGAATCAATTATACACAATGTTTAAAATAATATATTTAAATAATCATATTTCTACATGTAGCTACATAAATATTTTTTTACTGTGGCAAGCATAACATAATTTATCACATAAAATGTAACTTATTATACTCTTGAATCAAAACAATACCTGCCCAATTCATTTCAAGTTAAAGGGACATTATGGGAGATTAGATAAAGAGCTGACAGTTCTCACTATAATAGTTAAAAACTAGATAATATAAAGGGAATATGCTGAGATATTAGTGATTGAATTTTAGGCCTAGCCTTGATCATCATTACTAAAGTCGGTACAATTAAAAAACATAAGTCTTGATTATCCATCTTAGGATTAAATGAGCATTGAGCAGCAAATCGGATTCAAATCCAGTGAAAATCAGACAGACAAGATGGCATCGAGAGTTGATTAAGGTCTTTTAATGTAAATAAATGTCTAATAATTTAGATAACATTTCAGGCCCAAAATAAGACCTACAATAGGCAGATTTAGCTATTGCATAATGTATGTTTAAACCGGTCTCTTTCATTTAGATTACAAAACTAATTTTGTTTCGTCTTGACTGAACATTTCTCTTGAGATGCCGGTTTTTTTTTTACCCTATTATTTACTAATAAAGATGTGAATTTTTTCAAGAGTGTTTATTAATGATGCATTATGTAAGAGCTAAAATAATCAACTTTCTAGGCCATTTGATGGCTCCAATTTTAAGTAGATTAGAACAGTTCAGCCATTTGATAATTTAAACATACATTATGCAAGAGCTAAATCTGTCTATTGCAGGTCTTTCTTTAGGCCTGAAATGTTATCTAAATTATTAATTAGACATTAATTAACATTAAAAGACCTTGTTATCGAATCTCCCATAATGTATCTTTAATTAAAAAATGGAGAAGCAAGGCTAAGTGTTGAAACAAGTATCGTTGTTACGATAATAAACAATCAATGCACACAACTTGTCAAAACTACAAACATTTTTATCTTCAATGAGAATAAAATAATTTGAATGAAATTTTTAATATGTTCATTTTGCATTATCTATTTTTGAACTATTATAGCAAGAACGTCCAGCTCTGTATCTAAATCTTTCATTATGCATCTTTAAAACACAGATGTGACCTCATCCTTTGATGTTGGCGTACCATTATTTCAAATAATGGTCCGGATAATGTGCCAAGCGTACATTATTTATACTAGTTGACATTTTGGACCTGTGTGACATGTTTCATTGCAAAGCATGTCCCTTTGCAACACAGTCCCTAGCATTGCTTCAGTATATTACCGGTAGTTATTTACCAATATTTAGATAAGCAGACAAATGGCAAGTGGCTTTGTTTATTTTCATAGTTCTTAAAACTACCTGTAGGGGGAAGCATATTAACCATATGTTGCTAAGTAACAAGGTCATCCAACCAAAACAAAAATTTTAAAAGGACCATACGTCCATACCATAAGATGTAAACAAGACATTGCAACAAGGGAAATAACTCTGGAGCTAAACAACCGATACAAATTTCAAAATGATCACATCATAATACCATTCCATAACCAGTTATTATTAAAAATCGTTCTTCCTTTCAATATCTATATCAAAGATAGGTTGGCAGGAAACAAAACATATGCCCACAGATGTCCATAAAATTTGTTGGATAATAACTATAGCTTCTGGAGCATCTGCAAGTTATCAGAGGCCTTACCTATGTAATTATCAGGAATAAGTGAACGTCAACAGGCTTCTTCGTCACATGACTATAAACACTGTCAATTGAAAAATATCTTTAGTCTCTAGAGGATTTTTGAAGGGATCAAGGGCTATGACTCAATAGGCTTCTTCATCTTAAAACTACTGTACGAATTTGAAGTCAACTTAAGCCTCTAGAGCATCGAGAGGCAATTGTGGATGAAAAACGGGCGTGACTACAGTATATTATTATTATTATTATTGTATGTATTTATGACCAAGTGCTCATGTACAACCACATAAAAATTGAGTAAACATATAAGTTTTACAATGTTTTATAAACTCTCACTAGCCAAAAGTAACAGCAAATCATGTGGGCAGAAAAATAATTAATAGCATATTCTGCTTTTCATGTGGCATAGCGTTTGGTCCACTGACGAGCTATTCTATCATGTTCTTCTCGGCTACTAGAATATTGCTGTGCGATACTCCCAACTAGGGGATCATTCGGGTTACAGTCTGTCAGAAGAGAACACACAGATAACAGAACTTTAGAGATTGTTAAGGCTGGACTCCAATTGTCTTTTAATATATCCAAACAAATAACACCTTGACTGTTGATATTACAGTGATATATTCGGGTACGAAATACTACCTGCAAGTAAAATTAAATGTTAAATTTTTGATGTTCGAACTCATGTCAACTGGCAGACTATCGCCTTCAAGAAACTCAATTCAGAGACCACAATGTTATTTCTATTCTTGTAAATCATTGTTTTGTTCATCATTTTGAGTAAAGCCTGCATCATTTACAAGTTGGGACTGTACAGCACAGTGAAAGCTTACAGCCGGCCCCTGAATTGTTATTTGTTGTTTATTGTTTGTGTCAAACCTTAATGACATAAGAAGACTACTTGAGACTAAAACTTAGACTAAAATATGAAATTAAAGAAGCATTATGTAAGAGCTAAATCTGCCTATTGCGGGTTTTTATTTAGGCTTCAAACGTTATATATTATTTAAACATTTATTCACATGACAAGCCTATAATCAACCCTCCAGACCATCTGCTGTAAAACAATGTATTAAATTTAATACTTTAATCAAATACTTTACCCTAACAGAATTTTGGAAAAAAGAGTTTGCATTGACTTCATGTCAACAAAGATCCAGAATTCAATCAAAAATATAAGGGATTCCATCTGTTACTCAAAGTTTTCAGGAAAACACAATTTTTATTAATTAAATAAACAACTGACAGAATCGTAACACTGCTATATGAGTACTTTACTTAAATTTCAATCAAATATCTCAAATTTTAATAGTAATAAAAAATTCAGGAAAATCAAATTTCAAGAGTAGAGGAGTAATAAAATATACCTTTGGTGGTTTAAAGGGATAATCTTGTGAAAAGAAAATATCCAGAAAAAATACCCCTCCTTCATATACTGATCCTTTCGGCCCCAATATCGTTGATGCCCATTCATATAAATTATCTCCTTTAGGACCCGCACTGCAGCAACAATGAAAAATATATAAAAAAAAATAATTTACTTGAAATAATTCCATAACATTTATATCAAAAAATATAAACCAGGATTCTAATTTTTGATAGGATTCTTCCTTTGATAGGATTCTTTCTTCCTTCCCAATGATTTTGAGAAAGTTATTATTATGCCCAAATGAACAGTCCCATAAAACTTGAACAGATAAATGAAATGAGTTGACCATTCTACTTTTCTGCACCAACCAGGTTAATGAAGACTGACAAACACCAACCAGGCGACATACACCAACCAGGTGACATACACCAACCAAGTGACATACACCAACCAGGTTAATGAAGACTGACATACACCAACCAGGTTAATGAAGACTGACATACACCAACCAGGTTAATGAAGACCGACATACACCAACAACATACACCAACCATGCGACATAAACCAACCAGGTGACATACATCAACCAGGTTAATGAAGACTGACATACACCAACCAGGTGACATACACCAACCAGATTAATGAAGACTGACATACACCAACCAGGTGACATACACCAACCTGGTTTCATCCCATCTCAATGATTAGATGCTGCACCACCTTTAAAAGATAAGTTGCCAGGCAACAAAACATATCCCCATAGCAGCCAAGTCATCCAAGCAGTCAACAAGCCAACATTGAGGCTGATGTCCTCCACTGAAATCCCAAAATAAATTGATGCCACATCATTTTTTTTTTTTAAAGTATGAAGTAATCAAACTAATATCTATGCTTAGTCTAAGAGTAAAATGTTCACGATCAAACTCAGTCAGGTTTTCAAGTACCTGGTAGTGAAACTCTACACTAAGTTTCATTACTCTAAATCAGTTATCTTGTCCCAAAGCATCAACCAATGAATTGCTTAGTCTTAGCGGGAAATATTAATCATTGAACTCAGTGTGCTATGAGGGAAATTTTACCTGGGCAGCGGCCCTATGGCCAGCCTACTCTTATATCGAATTCCAACTACCAAGTGATCTTTACATGCACGCCAATGTATACAAAGGACCTCGGTTTTTCTTCTCATCTGAATGACTAGACAGCTGTCTTAGTCAGGCCCTCTGTCTTTCACCAGTAACCAGGGGAAACCAGGTCGGAAAATCCTGATGAACTTTCTCAGCCAATGCAGGGATCGAACACGCGACCTTCAAACTAGCGAGCCAGCACCTTACCCACTTAGCCACCGTAGCTCCTCAATTAAAGGCAGAGTTGTTATGTTTCAAGTCCTGACCAATCAAATTGCTTATCGCTACTTAGCCTATGCAGAAAATTTTCATCATCGAACTTAGTCAAGGTATTGATATAATATATCTATAATCAGAGTTTCATCGCTCTCACCCAATTAGAACCAAAGTTATTGTGTTCCAAAGTCTCAACCCATCAAGGTATTCACCGAATAAATGTCTACACCAAGTTTGAACATTCTAGCTCAATTAGAAGGAGAGTTATTGTTTTCCAATGTCTCGACCAATCAAATTGCTTATCAGTCTGCTTACCCTGAGCCGAAAATGCCCCTTATCAAACTTAGTCAAGGTATTGATGTAATGAAATTATGCACCAAGTTTCATCACTCTCACTTAATTAGAACTACCGCTATCGTGTCACAAAGCATCAAGCAATCAAATTGTTTATCTCTGCTTACCCTAAGCAGAAAATGCTCATCTTCGAACTCCATCAAGGCATTGACCTAATAAACACCTACACCAAGTTTGAAAATTCTAGCTCAATTAGAAAAAGCTATTGTGTCTCAAAAAGTGTGACAGACAGATGGACAGACAGGTCGTCTACTTTAATAATTGTCCCCCTGCTTTGTTCGAAAGGCGGGGGACAAAAGAATTTTCACACATTTATTCTGTTGTTGGTAAGAGTCACAACCCATTGAACATCTATAATTTTTTTAAAGTGGTCAACTTTACAGAAGTAATCATTGGAAATTGTTGAAAATCAAAAGGCTATGTCGTCTGATGTAAATAAATTCCATGTCAATCAGTTAATGATAAACACAAGATTTTCCTAACTCCGGCAGTAATTATCGCATATCTTTGAAACAGAATAGGTATCAAGATTTTTCAAAGTGATCTGTGACAGTAATTATCGGAAAACAGCACTCTAAGGCAAACCTGAAAGATATGTTCACAACAGTTAAGTTTTTCTTTTCATGTCAGAAATGAAAACATTTACAACACACTAAAATCTGATTATGAGCAACAACCCATTTGGCTTCTAGTTCTGCCCCAATTCTACCATTTAGCATACAAAACAGTTAATATCAATTGCCATAATTATTGGAAATCGTTGAAAATTGATCAATATAGGCTCCTTCGTCTCATGACTTCAAACAATGTGTATAAATTTCAAGTCAAATGGATATTAACTTTAGCGTATAGAACTTCCAAAAGATATTTCAAAGTGATCAAGGACCATAACTCTGGCAGTAATTATCGGAAATCGTTGAAAGTCAATAGGCTTTTTCGTCTTATGACCTTAAACACTGTGTATAAATTTAAAGTCAATCGGATATTAACTGTAGCCTCTAGAGCATCCACAAGATATTTCAAATTGATCAAGGGCCATAACTCTGGCAGTAATAATCAGAAATCATTGAAAATCAAAAGACTTCATCGTATGATGACCTTAAACACTGTGTATAAATTAAAAGTCAATCGGATATTAACTTTAGTCTCTAGAGTATCCACAAGCAATTGTGGACGCCAGACCGATGGATATTAACTTTAGCCTCCAGAGCGTCCACAAGTGTCTTTTAGAGTGATGAAGGGGCATAACTCTGGCAGTAATTATCAGAAATCATTAAAAAACAATAGGATTCTTCGGCTCATGGCATTGAACACTGTATAATTTAAAGTCAATCAGATATAACTAGCCTCCAGAGCGCCCACAAGATTTTTTTAGAGTGATCAAGGGCCATAACTCAAGCAGTAATTATCAGAAATTGTTAATAATCTATAGACTTCTTCATCTCATGACGTTAAACACTGTGTATAAATTTCAAGTCAATTGGATATTAACGGGGGCTGCAACAATATAAAAATATGACAATATGAAAAACAGATGGTCAACCTAATTGTAGTCTGGGTATATAAAAATGTATAGGCTATATGTACCTGCAATTAGGTGGTGGGTCTAATGTGATCTCTGCCAATTCTCTTTGTAGTCTGAAAGAATGTAAAACAACATTGAGTCAACAATTTACTTTCTTTATGAAGGTCTGTTGCTATTTCATTGTGCATTCCCCTCTTATTGTAGATTGACATGCAGTTCGTAAAACAAACTTGTTTTAATCATTTTAATGCCCAAGTTTACTTGGATTAATTCAGTCTAATAGCTTAGAAATATTTATCTGCTGATAAAATTATTTTACATCACTAAATTAATGAAGAAAGGATTTTCTATATGCTAGGTTCTTCCACTCAGTCTGGTAGTATTTAGTAATTCAAATATCTATTTCTTCTTTAATAAATAATCATAAATTTGTGTTTACATATTTCTAAATTGAACAGGTGCTTGAACCAATACCAAGAAAATAATTCGAAAGGTAAGTAACCAATGTGTAAAAATTTTTATAAAAACAATATGGCGTGATTATAAACCGTTATGTTCACTCGTCAACCCATATGCAACCGGTGTGTATTTCCCTATAATTTCTTCCGTTTCTATTTTAGCCAATATTTTTTGATACCATTTTAAAGCTTGTGTTAAACAGGTTATAAAATTATATAATATGGCCCACAGAAAATTACTTATAACGGGTAAGAGTTCAAAAAACATTATATGCAAATTAGATTGGGTGGACGAGTGCACGTGCTACTACATAGAGACTAGCTAGAGAGTGCAAAAACGAACGATAGGCCTCACAACTATTACAGACAGTACAACAGAGAACCGCTTAGAACGAAATAAAACTGTTAGCGTTTAGCAGGAATAATACCTCCTGGCGCTCGTGCTCAAAGTTTTTGGCAGTTTTGTGGGTGTTTTTGTCGATTCTTTCTCGTTAGACGATGGTCGAGACTCGACTTGTTGACTCGAAGTTGAAGACCCTGCTGGTTGATTCGGTGGCCGTGTGGTTGACATTATTTCCCCAAGTCTAGGTAACTCTGGCTCTGGAACAAAGAATAATATAAATAAATGTAATAAGAATGAACCCTGTGTTTTCTATGATAAGTGATCTACAAAGTGTAGTACACAATAAATTCCGCGCAGATGCATCAAAACGGAATTTCTCATTTTCTGTCTTTTCCACGTACGGTTACGAAACGAACTCAGTAGCTCGAATATGACTAATATGGTGTCATGAATTCACACAGACCAGTGTCAGTGGGAGAAAATGCATAATATATTGCGGAGTTAAGAAGAGCCTAACAATTATATCAAATTATTCACCAATCAAGGAAATGTCGTTCAATATTTATCGACTATAATATAGTAAAGTTAGTAACACATGCACGTATGGGTCAGTCAAGCTTCTTCTATCTAGAGATATACGTCTCGTTATTTCCTCTTCCCTCTATTAATAACCATTGAGCCCGGTGTAAATAAACAGGCGGTATAAAGGATAAATGGTTCTAGCAGTCCATTATAATATAAGTTCAATCAATTAACAAATTACCCTATATAATACGGATATGTTATAAAATATCCCTTTCTGTCGCGCGTCTTTGAGTATCAGGTTGTCATTAGGCTGTTCCTTCCACCCCCCACTGATATTTCACCGACCTAATACTTAAAATGAAATTACTGTTAACATGCGAATTTAGTTCATTATTTAGCGATATTTTTTACATCTTTAAATCACAAACTTATAATTTGGTAGTTATGGTAACCATACGTCTTACAGGTGAAAAAATATCAAGAATATGACAAAAGAACTTTCGATTTTACGGAGGGAGTAGGGTTGACATAACTCTGCAAATAGGTGGATGGACGAAACCATTTCTAATAGGGATGATGGCGTATATTGGCGTTTGATAGCTTTGACCGATATACTTATGTGAAGGTATGCAAATCTGACACAGTTTTTCCCAGAAAGAATTATGGACATTATTATCATAATTATATAATCTATACGTGGACGTTTCACAATATTGGTTTTATAGGTCTACTGACGAAGACGATTTCTAGTCAAATTATTTACAGTCCAATAAAAGCAATGCCTTTAAAATGTGATATTTTAATAATATCGCCTGTCTTACTAGATACTTTAGTAAAAACGGTGTCTGGTCAGACTAGAGGACATAGTCCCACCACACGCCGTCACTAAAGTAATCATTGTCTCACATATGTCCCCAATACAAGCAGTAAACAAAATAATAATAAAAATAACACATTAGGCTAGGAGAACTTCGGATTTACGTGAGCTGGGGAAAAAAATCCGAAACAAATGATTCTTGCTTTTTATGAAAGATCTATATATTACAACTTCAGGAAAAAAATCCAATCAAATCGGACTTGGGCAAAAAAAGATCCTGGCGTTCTGGTGTTCGTACCCATTCGACTTACAAATAAAGATCCTCTCCAGACATTTTCAGTGGTGGGGTAGGCTACTCTCTACTACCCAATACTAACTAAATACTACCAAAGTGGGAAACTAGCATAATACTTTAGTTTATACAGTACTGGGTGAACTTCCCGCCATTGCATCCAGACGTTCCTATTTCCCCACACCAAAGGCTAAGCCAGATGAACCCATTGATTGCCGTATCGCGCGATACTTGTTTCAAATTGCTCAGCATAAGAATGGCAATGGCCAGATTTTCGGTACTATTTCAGTAACGTATCTCTACCAGTTTCCATGATCGTAGCGACTTGAAATTTTCAGGGGGTATTCATGGGGCCTAGCCATGACCTCACACCAAATTTCAGCCGAATCTGTCAATAACTTTTTATTTTACCGTAGTTTAGCTTATAACGAGAAAGTTTATCCGATTTTGACGCCATTTTGTTTGTTGGCCATTTAGACTCGAATAACAAGACAAGGTTAGGGTTAGGGCTAGCCCTGTCTACATCTTGAGACTATGACGAAATCTACAGGTCCTAGCCCTTACCCTAACCCTTATCCTAACCCACAATCCACGTATGACGTCATTCGAGCCTTAATAGTCAACAAACAAAATGGCGTCAACAGGAACTGGTAGAGGTACGTTACTGAAATAGTACCATTTTTTCAATAGTGCGGTATCCCAGCCAGAAATCTAATTGCTCCACCCGAAAAGCTAATGTACATTACCACATGATTAACGAATAAAATGTATCTGAAAACTATCAACATATTCAAACGAATCATAAATGGCCACTCCAAGGCATATTTAGTGATGAAGTATCCCTGCCATGCGGAACTGTACAAACTGTAAATCGGACCGTCGTTCCCAACAATAATTAACTCGCCGTGCTCACTGTAACCCTTTATAGCGAGAACGAACGCATCTCTTGTTGACCTTAGTGGATCATGAAACCTTGACAAACGAGGACGTATATACCAGTCTTTTTAGCTGCTCACTGACTCTTAAATACAGAACGTTTCAGACATGTCACATGACACAATTATATAAATGACAGGTTACTAAGATGTTTATTTCTGGCGAAGTTTCAATGCGGATTCTCTCGTCGTTATTAAGGAATGAAAAACAGTGTATGTTCAAATTATCTGAAGTTCAGCTTCATCAGCTCACCTGACTACGTCAGCATTATCAACACACTTCAAGACCAGTCAAACTAAAACTGATAACGTAATACCCCATTTCTGCTCATCAAACACGTCTTCACCATCAAAATCGACCCAAATAGCCAAGTTACATGTGTGCTCCCAAGACTCTGTCTACTACAAAAAAACACAATACAAATACATTTCGAAGGTTTTATTTTCACCTGATTCGAATAACATCAACGTAAGTTCGTCGGTCACGCCCCACCCCCAACCAACCCACACACTTTACTAACTAAACTACCTAAACACACAACATAATGAAACCAAGTTCACCTTGGTCACAGTACAAGACAATAGTCGCCCCTTTCTAGAGGTCATTATCAGAAGAAACAAAAAATCGACCCAAACTTAAGTTTATAAGAAACCAGCCCACAACAACCAGTTTCTCCATTACAAACCCAACAACTGCGTCAAATCAGAACAAGAAAGCCACCATCACGACACTCACCAGCCGCCCCTCAATATTTGTGACCATGATCTCCTCCATAATGCAATCTCAAACAATTTCTTTCAACATTAAACCACAAACCTGCTACTCAACACCACAAAGTCAACAAACACTGAGCCATCACCCCATCCGCGTCAGCATACAATTCTATGGCAGTTCATCCTACCAAATCAGACCAGTATTGTGGATATATTGATGGTTGCGCTAATAATATTATTTTTTTAAAAAAAATTATGGTGTTGAGTGTGTTTGTTACTTACAATTTGACAATACAGATTACGTAAAGTCGAGGATAACTTAAATAAGGCGGTTTTGCAAAGGATCATTCATTTTGAGGTTGGATGCCAAAACTAAATCGTCCATAAAAAAAAGACGGAGAGGCATCCATTTAAATCATCCAATTAATTCAAATTCAAACTAATAATTAATTTTCTTTTCTAAATATAATTAATAATTTGAATATAATGTTATTGAACTTGTATAGCGCCAAAATCCAGCTTGTAAAGCTGCTCTATATGATTATGAGTACACAGTGTAAGACAATATAAATGTAGATAGAAAATTATATAAGAATAAAATAAAGCTATTTGGTAAACAAGATAATATGATTTTAAAAAAAAATTAAAAAAATTTCAGGATACAGGTACAGATAAAATATAGATAGAAAATCTTAAATTAAAATTAATCTATTTGTTAAAACAAATAAATACCAGTGTACAAATAAAATATAAAACAATTAAAATAATTGGTAAAAACGTCGAAACTGGAATTGGTTCTTGTTTTTAAAGGATATGTCGTTCCAAAGTTTCGGTGCTGCCACTGAAAAGGAGCGTCGGGCGAGGAGTGTTTTACCTTTTGGCATCTCAAGGAGGTGAAGATTTGAAGAAAGAAGTTAGCGTAAAGGTTTATAATGGTTAAGAAGATCTTTGAAATATACGAGCGATTCAGGACAGTTTATTGGCAGATATATAAGACACAAAATTTTGAAATAGATGCGAAAAGAAACAGAGAGCCAGTAGAGTTGTTTAAGGACAGGGGTGATGGGTGTACAATAAGGTGTTACGGAAACGATGCGGACAACTTTATTCTGAATGAGTTTAAGAGGGTATAAACTTTTTGCAGGAAGTCCAACAAGCAACGAGTTACAATAATCGAGCCTGTGTGTAATAAATGAGTTGAAAAGTATAAGTTTACAGGTTTCAAAATTGATTTAAGGAAGGATTCTACAAATGCTGTACAGGTGGAAATTGCACGATTTACAAATAGATGAGATATTTGATTTCATGTCCAGTCGAGAAATTTACACCAAGATTTCGTACAGACGTTGACATCTCCAATTTTCATAGAATTATGTGTTAACTTTAAGATTTGTATTACATTAAGGTTTAAAAAGTCGCATTACGTCCCTTTTATCATCGTTCAATTTTAAACGATTTAGTTTCATCCAGGATCTTACATCCGCAATGCAGGCCCTCAACTTTGTTATGTTTTCGGCTCGTTACTCCTCTTCAGCGCGATATACATTTGTGTATCGTCGGCGTAAAGTTGGTGGTCAATTTTGTGTTTTCTTATGATGTCTCCTAAAGGAGAGGTGTATGGTGTGAACAAGAGTGGGCCCAGGACCGAACCTTGCGGCACACCATATTTCAGCCTTTTTGGAGGAGATTTACGATGTTTTAATCGGAATAACAATATCCAAGTGTCTATGGTGTCGAAAGTGGCACTAAGGTCAAAGCCAGGAAAATACAGTCCTTGTTGTCCACCCGACTGATGATGTCATTATGGACTCTCAGTGCTGTGACACTTCTTGTTGGCAGACTGAAATGGCTCATCTAAACTGTACTGTACAATATGATTCTTGAATCTGGAAGCTGTAACCTTTTCTATGATTTTAGATACGTACCCAAACCTGTTATCTATTTTTTTAAAAGGATGTATGACGACAATAATACTTTTAAAAATCTGTAATTTTGCCAGCTGTTCTGTTAAAATAAATAAGAAAAACTTATAGGAGGTAGACCACCATTAATTTCCCCATCGACTTCAATGTTAATTTTGTGTCTTTGCCCGGCTCCCCCCCCCCCCCAAATTTTCTTTGGGCTGAATGCTTTTCACTACAGACAGAGAAACAAATGGCCATGTCTTTGCACTAATTTCTTTATGAAATTGACCACTGGACCACCCAAATTTCGAGATACACAAACTTGAACATATATTCGCTTTCGTTTCCTTAAAGAAGATAAACCCCTATTATTTGGCGCATAGAAATAGACACAAATGGGTCACCCCCCCCCCCCCTCCCTGCTCAGACTTGAAAATTTGAAGGGTCCGAGAAACTTAAATCTAAAAGCCTGAATCTGACCCAAAAATTGCGAGTTTGTATACATTGAGTTGAGTCATGACTTTCATTCCACTGTGGGCAAAAACAAATAGTCACATACAGCTCTGACAATTAGCCAAAAACGTCGACAGCATAAACTGCCGTTGGGACCATTTGACCCCACGGCAAATCGCCTATTGACGACGGCAATTTTTTAATACCGTACTGTATGAAAATATAAGTTTATTGAAATTTAAAGAGTTTTATTAACGCTGTTCGCCTGTTGACGTTGAATATTGTTGTGTTTGCTTTTTAATTTTATCGGCAGCGTTGATAAGAAAAAAAACCTGGTCATTTATTTTATCAAATTTAAAAAAAATAAAAAAATATGCTAGCGGAATTTATATGATTGTTTAAAAATTTGATATATAACATATTCACCGCTTATGTTTTATTATAATTATTATTATTTAATTATTATTATTATTATTACACCTGAAGAGAATGTCTTATTAGGTGAACTTGGAACATGTCCTTACCGCGAAACAGTGGAAGGTAGGCCTACTACAGCGATCAAGAGTGCAGGTAAAATACTTCCGAGAGGTCGTCATTCGTAAGACTTTTTTTATACGCGAATTTAAAACAATTGCTGCGTGAGACGTAACACCGCGTGTGTTTAAAATCGGGTAATTAGAGATTAACAATAAACTAAATTCATCATCAATCCTCACCTGTGAAGGGAGCATTCCCCATCAACATTTTAAGGACATTTTATGCGATTTTATTGGCGATTTTTAGACCTGTAATTTTGGAATTTACCTTCCGGAAATACGTCAGAATGCACCAAATTACAGTGCATTAGTCAATAGTCATGTGCAACTCGTATCGGGTTAGTACTTTGATTGGATGTTGTAAATGTCATAAATATTAGCCCTGCCTTCGGCGTTCGCGGCGGTCGGCTATTATGCAAGAGCTAAATCTGATTATTGCAAGTCTTAATTTAGGCTTCAGATGTTATAGAAATTATAAATTAGATCTTTATTTAAACAACAAGCCCAAAATCAACTCTGTAGACCCACGGATGGCTCGACTACAGCTCGGATTTAAATAGGATTTCACTAATTGATTAAATCAAGTATGGGCAACCTGATGAAAATACGCCAGTTAGATCGAGGCTAAATGATAGAGTGTACTTAGCGAGGCCGCTGTAAAGCGTTTCCGTATGCCATTGAAAACTTTACTTGATAATCGAGATATGTAGGTGGAGTTAACGCCTGTCAATCAAACGGTCGGCCAAGGTGAAGACGCATTTTTCTACCATTTCTAGGCAAATATTACAACGATGATAACTATGTTCAGAAGAAAGTAATTTGACTGAAATTTTCAATATATTCTTCTTTCATCATCTACTTTTGAACTGTTATAGCAAGAATGGCCAACTCTCTATAAAAATCTCCCATAATGTATCTTTAAGCAATTATCCAACCTAGACCCCCCCCCCTGCAAAAAATCCTGGATCCGCGCCTGTGAATGTATATAAACTGATTTACACATTCAATCGTTTCTGTTTGCTGTAATTTATGATCAGTTATGTTCGGCGAAATACGCGAAGAGTCCGAATTGAATGACAGTTTTTAGCGTCTGTTTGTTTCCGTCTACACCACTAGTATTCTCCTGGTGTTTAGTCTCGTTCACCGAGTCGCTTCACAACAAATGGAACTCGAAAGCATTCTGGCATGCGATTCGTGGGCCAATTTTAAAATTTTAATTTTATTTTAAATATTGGATATCAGAAGCCAACCTTTTCACGGTAAGATAGCAATGCTGATTTAAATTGACCATTGAGTCGTGTTTACAATGTCGAAGACTGTGGATGATATTAAGTTAAAAACACATTGTCCACGGTAGCGTCCAAGGTAAAGTTCGTCTAAAGGAGTTGCCCCGGTTACTAACAATAGGGTTTGTAT